CAAGATTTAATCCACCGCCAGTTTGCTGGGCCTGTCTTAGTTTAAGGGAGTATTACACCAGATGGATACCACACCCGACAAACCAGATCCCTGTAGCCTAAGACCTCGCTGCCTCAACTGTCCATATGCACACCAAGCTATGACCTCAATATATGGTAATTACTTAATCATTACTATGCGCCCCCCCCCCCCCCCACCCCCACGTAAAGCATAGGGTACTTTCTGCCCTCACTTAAATAACAGGGTACTTTCTGCCTTCAGTGAAAGCTTAGGGTACTTTCTGCCCCCAGTGAAAGCTTAGGGTACTTTCTGCCCCCAGTAAAAGCACAGGGTACTTTCTGCCCCCAGTAAAAGCACAGGGTACTTTCTGCCCCCAGTAAAAGCACAGGGTACTTTCTGCCCCCAGTTAAATAACAGGGTACTTTCTGCCTTCAGTGAAAGCATAGGGTACTTTCTGCCCCCAGTGAAAGCTTAGGGTACTTTCTGCCCCCAGTGAAAGCTTAGGGTACTTTCTGCCCCCAGTAAAAGCACAGGGTACTTTCTGCCCCCAGTAAAAGCACAGGGTACTTTCTGCCCCCAGTAAAAGCACAGGGTACTTTCTGCCCCCAGTAAAAGCACAGGGTACTTTCTGCCCCCAGTAAAAGCACAGGGTACTTTCTGCCCCCAGTAAAAGCACAGGGTACTTTCTGCCCCCAGTAAAAGCACAGAGTACTTTCTGCCCCCAAGTGAAAGCTTAGGGTACTTTCTGCCCCCAAGTGAAAGCTTAGGGTACTTTCTGTCCCCAGTGAAAGCATAGGGTACTTTCTGCCCCCAATGAAAGCTTAGGGTACTTTCTGTCCCCAGTAAAAGCACAGGGTACTTTCTGTCCCCAGTAAATGCACAGGGTACTTTCGGCCCCCAGTAAAAGCACAGGGTACTTTCTGCGCCCAGTAAAAGCACAGGGTACTTTCTGCGCCCAGTAAAAGCACAGGGTACTTTCTGCCCCCAAGTGAAAGCACAGGGTACTTAATGCCCCCAGTAAAAGCACAGGGTACTTACAGCCCCCAGTGAACTGTAGGGTACTTTTAGCATTATTATGTGTCTAGTATGGCTTAGGGAACTTCACCATGACTGATCCTGCTAAAGTATACACTACTCTTATGACTACAGCCTATGTAAAGAACTAATTAAGAGCAGCTTGCTGTTTTACAATCAATCGGCTCCTCTACAATAAAGATTTAGAAAAATACAGAAAAAAAACAGCATTTTTCACTTCAAAATGAGCGGCTGGCCAAGTGTTTAGAATTATGAACTCACAGTTGGGAGAGCCGGGTTTGAGTTCTCAATAAAGAGAAGAAAGTTTTCTGCCAAAGGCAACAACTGTAGACATGCAGCCCTAAATCCTTAGATTCAAGACCCCCCCCCCCCCCCCCCCCACCCCCCAAGTGCTAAATACAGACAGTCTGGGCATTTAAAAATGAGGTCAGTCATGACTATTAATAAAACAAGGTCATTATCACCATAGGTGTACATTCTATGTGAGGAAATACACTACAGTGATAACATGCAACGCAGCTGCAGGAAAACTATATGACACTGATGGTGTCAGAATGTGCACATTCAAACCAGTCAAAATATGCACATTCATACGTCTGCTGTAAAAAAAAAATTTTAAGAACAGGCAACTTAAATGTTTTAAATGTTCAATAAGATATAAATGTAACAACCTGAACAGTATGTGCCAAATGAGCCTGCTGGGAAAAAAATGTTCACTTAAAGTTAAGTTACATAAAAGCCTGACAAAATTTTGAAAAAAAAAAAAGGTTCAGCTGGTGTATATGGATTCACTGAAGACATCTTTATTTCTTGTCCAACTGGTGTATTCTGATTCACTGAAGACATCTTGACTATTTCTTTACCCATACAGAACTAACTTATACCACAGTTCAACATAATGGGACAAGGGTAGTAACCCATAAGTGCTCAATTTTACTAACTCAAGTCTGAGTCTAAAGAATCTCAGTGCAGGGCACGAACTCCATAGCACCGGTGAGGATATCTGATCTACTGGTCTGCCATCCAAACTGAGGTTATCTGTGTAGCAAACCATCAGGTAGCTGGAGGGGACAAACCAATCAGTCGAAGAGAATGACTAGAAAACTAAATGGGAGTGGTTGCACTGGAGCCGTAGGGGGCATATAAATAAGGCAAACTATATAAAATACACTGCCGTGTTGGGACCAGTGTCTAGGATCTTTCTTGTGCTACATATCTATAAAGGTTTTGGCCGAAACTGTATCCGGGTGTTTTCTTCCTCCCCTACATTGAGCTCCCTAGTCAGTGTTTTCAGATGACAAAGTGAAACATGAACTGGCTGAATAAAACAAATATAAATGCATTCAGGAAAAAACTAACATTTAAAATTCCTTCAAAGAAGTACACATGTAAACAAAGTCAAGGGACCTTCTCATGGCAGTGGTCCATCGGGCATATGGTGACTGACCGATATCTGTATAACTAATCAGCGTATGACGGATGATGATGATGATGACTGAAAATTTTAATTTAATTTACCATATTTTTTTTCATGTTTAAGACTATATGTTTTCCCCAAACTTGTTCAGTCTGAAAATACGAGGTTGTCTTACACACAGAATGTTTAAAATATTTATTTCTTAATTCTGAGCTTTAAAAAAAAAGGGGGGGGGGGGGGGCGGGCATCTTATGTATGGAGGCATCACACTTGGAAAAAAAATATGATGATTATTGGTATGAGTGGAGCTGCGCTAGCATAGTGGACTAGTGCTTGCCTGGCAGCCTGAAAGTCTTGAGATCAAATCCACATCAAGTTGGAATGTCACATTTTGACCTCGGCTCCCGGGTCTACCCAGCCCATGTCAAGAGAAGTCAAGGTGGCTAGCGTACTGTTGACCCCATTACCCCATGAGTGCTGATTGGTGTATACAAGCCATATCTTAGCATCATGGGCCACAGGCGTAATATGATGTAAAGATTTCTGTTCCAACCTACTAATTTTTGTAACGCATCTTGCTTTAGGTTCCTTTTAAAACTAATCCTGTACAACTTGGTGGAATACTGCTACATGATAGGGCAGACGTGGTTAGTGCCTTGTGGGAGAGCGTGTACAAATGCAGAGGAGCAGATGGATCACCGCAGTTTGGTGAGATTGATGCAGTTGGGGGTGACGAGAGGTTCTGGCAGAAGCTCAAGGCTCAGAGGAAAGGCAAGACGGACATTTAATCAGAAAGCTACTGGCACCATTAGTATTGGAACTCTTCGCTGGCTGCTGAAGATGGGGACGGAGCGCTTATGGGAATGCCCCGAGTGCTGTGATGTCGGTTCTTGAATCAAATAAATCAAATCAAATCCTTTTAAAACAAACAATACACTTCAAAAAGTCTGGGTTGTTTGTGGCAACTGCTAGGAAACATGTAAATCAGGAAGTAATGAACATTTAAAATAAGGATGTAAAAATTCACAAGTAAAAGAAAATGGTTTACAACTAGATTTATGGTACAACTTTCTTCTTAGGATGTAACAGATTCCCTGTTATAGGTTCTAGGGCCCACTGAGACAGAGATAGAGTGGGTGAGTGTGTAGGGGGGTGGCCAGGGCGTGGTGCGGATGTATATGAGTATTTAGGGGTTTCCTTCAAGGTTGGAGTGCATCTGCCTGACAGGCAAGGAACCAACAGTATGCATACGAATAAGCCAGATGTGTAAAATGTGTGCGCATGCAAAGTTCTGAAACAAGACAAGTCCAGAAGTGGATAAACAACCAACAGCAAACTACTCAACATAAAATTTGCCTAGAAAAACAGCCATAACAAAATGATGTGGCTGGTTTGCTACGTCCTGTAAAGGATATGCAATTAGCTTTTTTTTAAAGTAGATTATTAGGCTCTCCTGTCAACTACGGCCGGTAGACAACAGTAGACAGCCGGTTAGTCAGAGTTCTGTCCCATGGCTGCAGTGCAATTACAGACTGGAGAAGGCACGAATCAAACAACAAAGTGAGGTCGGCATGCCTGGCAGAACCCGCGCTGCGTGACTCAAATTAGCGACTGCGTTCAACTACCGCTTCTTGGGACGCATTACGGAGTGGATTAGAGGGACGGAATCCAAACGCTAACCCAAACCCTAACACTAACCCTAACTCTACACCTAACCTAAACCCTACCCCTAACCCAAACCCTAACCCACACCCTAACCCAAACCCTAACTATATGATGACAGTAGGGCACTGCACGCTGTCTATCGCCAACACACAGTAATTATGTCATTTGATTCATGCCTTCTCCAGTCCGTAATTGCACTGCAGCCAAGGGACAGAACTCCGACTAACCGGCCGTCAAATGTCTACCGGCCGTAGTTTACAGGAGAGCCGATTATTACATGCTTTCAACAATGATAATGTATGCAGTACAAGCCCAGCAGTATATTTTTGAAATATGGGTTAGCTGTTTATACTTAGGCTTATGTTCCATTTATAACGCCAGTGTTGGCTTTTCCCTTAATTCTCTCAATCTTCATGCCGGTGTGTTGGGAAATGAGCAGACAGACTGGCTGGCTCTGCACCACTTGGTGATAAATTGATGTATGACAAGTTAGATTTTTTTAGGGCCCTTTGGGAGCGAGTGAACAGTGAGGAGGAGCAGATAGATCATTACGGTCTGAGAAGAATGGTTACCAGGAGATCTGGCCAACACTCAACGAAAGGATGAGACGGAGATACAATCATACAGTGTTACCATCGGAATTGGAACTCTTCGCTTGCTGCAGAAGATGGGGACTGAGCACATATGGGAGTGTCCCGAGTACTGTGATGTTGAAGGTTAATTCAACATTCAACTTTAATCCCAATCTAAGAACAGAAACCCCAGCCATCGGAACACCAGAAATAAATTTATGAAAATGCTATCATCATGTACCCTGCCGACTGGCGTAGGCGCTCTTGCCTCTCCACAGATCGCGTACTGTACTGAGATTAAAATGGTCTACCTGTGTTCATGTCTGGCGACCATTCCTGCTCTGTGCTTCTCGACTTGGCAGAATCAAACATTCTGGATTTCTGGTTGACAAACAGCTTCAACCCGTGCTGGTGTCGCGAGCCTATAGAAACATATTACAGATTATACTATAAACCTGATCACACTTCCATCTCTAGCATTTCAAGTACTCAATTATATGTTCTAGTATTTTCAAGTTTCATTTTCTGTTCTAGTATTTTCAAGTATCATTTTCTTCTTCTTCTTCTTCTTTTGTCATCTGATACCCAGGTTGTAGCCCAGTGTAGTGGTTTTCTGTATTTGTCTTGTGCTTCTCAGGCGGCTTGAGTGATGGATTTGTTCATCTTTTTTTGCGGGTTTTGGCTACACCATTCATTCATCTCTTTCTTGGTCTTCCTCTCGCCTTCCTCCCAGATGTTCTACTGTAAAAGGTCATATGCAGTCTGGTCTGGCTGCATACTCACTAGATGGCCAAAACATTTCATTCTTTGCCTGTCAATATAATCCAGACTCCAGACATGGTCTTATTTCAACTCTCTAATGCTGGTAATCGTAACCCTGTCTCATCTAGAGTTGTTAGTGACCTTGCGGATTCACCGCATTTCACATGTGGTTATTTTATATTCTAGTGCCATGTTTGGCACTGATAATATAAAGCAGGGATAAAGATGCTATTATTCATTTGCTGTTCTGCTGCAAGAGAGACATCTGGGCAAGTATCATTCAAATTATATATCTGGTCATTTCAGGTATTATTATATATAATTATATATAATAGCATTTTTAACACCATTCAAATTGTATGTTCTAGCATCTCATAACAGTATAATTCAAAATATATGTTCCAGCAATTCAGGAAGTCTCATGCAAATTATGTTCTAGCATTTCTAATAATCAAATTAAATGTTCTATCCTTTCAAGTAGAATTCAAACTATATACTCTAGCAGTTCAAGTATTAGAATTATATACTCTAGCAGTTCAAGTATTAGAATTATATGTTCTAGCATTTCAAGTAGTATCGTGCAAATTTAACGCCCTAGCATTTCTATTAGTCCAATATTTAAAGCATAATGTAAAATATATGTAAATAGAAATCAATAAACTGAAAACTTCAGTACAAGGAACTTACTAATCATATAAACATTCTGTGAAACCGAAAACATCTAAATAACAGACTCACCGCTTATATCAATATGTGTAAACCTTCCCAAATAACCCGCTTAGTAAGTTTTAAACTTTTTAGCATGGCGGTGATACAGTCCACGTTTCACAAGGGTACAGCATATATAACAACATAATCTATCTACAACTGATAACATACAAATAAGACATTGCTTGTAACAACATAAACTGTCTACAACTTATAGCACACAAATAGACTACTTGTATCAACTAAACTGTCACACACAAAAACCAACAACATACAAAAAAGACATTACTTGTAACAACATAAACTGTCTACAACTTACAACATACAAGTAAGACTACTTGTATCAACTAAACTGTCACACACAAAAACCAACAACTTATAAGATATTACTTGTAACAACAAGCTGTCTACAACTTACAACATACAAATAGACTACATGTATCAACTAAACTGTCACACACAAAAACCAACAACATACAAATAAGATATTACTTGTAACAACAATCTGTCTACAACTTACAACATACAAGTAAGACTACTTGTAACAACTTAATATCTTAAAACAAAAAAACTGACAACATGTAAATGAGACTTCCTACTTGTATCTGAGACATTCTTCCTGGCTCCAACAGTGACTATATGCTCAAATCTGGATACTGGTGAGTCAGTCATACTTTCTCCACTATGGATGAGATAAAGAGAATCGTCTCAAAATCATAGAACAAAGAGGACATTTTATCTTTCAATGAAAGAAAATTCATCATCATGTGCCATGTGGATGTGTGTTGGTAGTCATGGTCTGCCACTTCAGATGATCCCTAATATCATGGATCAAATTTGTGTTCCACCCACACCATGTTGTCCAAGTAGGTTGAGGTCTTTGTTTTAACACCAGTGGTGCAACAGGTATATGGTGCTTGACTAATTGTTATAGACCTATGGTAGCCTAATGTGTGATGTGTGATGTCAACATCATGCCAGCCGCCTTCACTTCCCAGGCCACTACCTCGTACCTATTTTAGGCTGGGTCAACCTGGAGCCAAACTGACAATGTAATCTTTGATGGCCTCAAGAAGGGACCATTCTCATGGCCGTCAGACAGTGGTATAAGGGTCAAACCATGGAAGAGACACATGAACACCAGGTAATACCCCTATTCAGCCATAGATACAATACAGTCAAAGAACTAGTTTCCTAGCCATTTAGTATTCGTATAAAGGGTATGTAAAGACGATGGAGAGATAATATCAAGACAGACCTGCAGACACTTGGTGTCACCAACTGGAAAGAAGGCACACCAGAAAGATGAATGAGGCGGGTGATATCTGCAGCAATAAACCTCAAGGGCTCGGAATGCTGAAAAAGAAGAATAAAGGGTGTGCCAGCAACTGTGGTTGAGGTGTTGCGAATGCCCTTCATAATTATAGGGTGCTGGATTTAATCCCAGCTGTAGGCAATTTGGCATCAGACAGCCGTGTGCTGGTTTGGACACTGATATCAAGAGCCAACCATTTTAATGGTGATGGCAAACTACTGAACGTAGAACTATACATATTAAAAGGAAAAAAAGAAAAAAATAAGATGCTAGGGTAGGTTCTTCAATGTCCTGTAAAGGATGCATGATTTTTTTTAATTTTTTTAATAAAGGGTATGTCTCCCATAGAACGAGGTGTTCCTGTTATAGATTGTGACTGCTATAGACATCCCTAATGGCTATCAGTTTAAAGAAAGAAAGAAAGGTGCTTTTGCCTTGACGACAATTATGGAGGTGATCACAGTAACAAAAGCAATGATCTGGCTAGAGATATTTTTCCCCCATGTGTGCTTTCTGATTCCATGAACATGCTGATGAAGACCAAGACAGGATGGGTTTGAAGACAATAAGTGAAGTCTTGGAGAAATCCCCTCTGACTTAGTTCCATTTTTGTGCCAGGACGCTCTAGGGTAGGAGGGAATTAACGAGTGGACTGGCTGGCTGGCAGGGCCACAGTAGGCACAGGGAAACTCAAATACCAGGCTGACGTTTTCAATGCCTTCAAGCAGGCAGGTCAAATAGGTGATTCAGGAGACTGAATTAGCAACCTCGACAAGACTACAAGAACTTCCTGATCAGGCAGGTCAAATAGGTGATTCAGGAGACTGAATTAGCAACCTCGACAAGACTACAAGAACTTCCTGATCAGGCAGGTCAAATAGGTGATTCAGGAGACTGAATTAGCAACCTCGACAAGACTACAAGAACTTCCTGATCAGGCAGGTCAAATAGGTGATTCAGGAGACTGAATTAGCAACCTCGACAAGACTACAAGAACTTCCTGATCAGGCAGGTCAAATAGGTGATTCAGGAGACTGAATTAGCAACCTCGACAAGACTACAAGAACTTCCTCATCAGGCAGGTCAAATAGGTGATTCAGGAGACTGAATTAGCAACCTCGACAAGACTACAAGAACTTCCTGATCAGGCAGGTCAAATAGGTGATTCAGGAGACTGAATTAGCAACCTCGACAAGACTACAAGAACTTCCTGATCAGGCAGGTCAAATAGGTGATTCAGGAGACTGAATTAGCAACCTCGACAAGACTACAAGAACTTCCTGATCAGGCAGGTCAAATAGGTGATTCAGGAGACTGAATTAGCAACCTCGACAAGACTACAAGAACTTCCTGATCAGGCAGGTCAAATAGGTGATTCAGGAGACTGAATTAGCAACCTCGACAAGACTACAAGAACTTCCTGATCAGGCAGGTCAAATAGGTGATTCAGGAGACTGAATTAGCAACCTCGACAAGACTACAAGAACTTCCTGATCAGGCAGGTCAAATAGGTGATTCAGGAGACTGAATTAGCAACCTCGACAAGACTACAAGAACTTCCTGATCAGGCAGGTCAAATAGGTGATTCAGGAGACTGAATTAGCAACCTCGACAAGACTACAAGAACTTCCTGATCAGGCAGGTATAACTAAAGAGGCTGCCAAAGAAGAAAAGTAAACCGACATTTAACTGGTGTACCCAGTCACTACATACTGAGATACTGAAGGTGGGATCTAAGCGATTATGGATGAGGTGGATCTGTCGATCGATTAACTAACTTTTAGATTAGCGACAAATTATGGCATAAAATGAGCCCAGCTTGCTAGCACAGTTGGTTAAACCTGACTTAGCGGTGAACGGTTGACGAACTCCTTGTGGTCCGGGTTCACGCCCGGGACGTAAGGCTGAAAAGCCACATTTCTCCCAGATTTACAGTATCTATCATGGAATCAATGCCGAATGGTTGTGATATCCATAATACCAAGTCAAAGGGTTAACTCATGGTTACTGGATACTTAATAAAGAAAAGAAGAACAGCATAAAATGAATGAATGTAGTGAGTGTGTGTCCAGTGTAGTGCTCACCCCTGACTCTGACGGTCAACACTCTCTGTATCCATCTGATCATGTGGTGACAGGTAATCCCTGTGCCTCCTGCTACTGCTGACGGTGGTGATTGTTAGGCTGGGGCTCTGAGAACAAACAAGTTATGAGAAAGTGTCATTTCACACAATAAGTGAACACATGCTTCATAAGAATACCAAATAGTGGTCATAGATTTTTACATAAAACTAGCTGTACCCAGCCACACGTTGCTGTGGCCCCATCTGGCTAAGAAGGAAATCAAGAAAAAGCGCACATATATAATATGGTTAATTTCACAATTATTGTCTGTGCAGATAGTCTGGTCTGCCCACTCTAGAACACGCAACATATAATTGTGTCCTTATATTAGTTGTTTAAAGTGTATTATTTTATTTTTATTTAATGGTAATTTGTTCATCAAATGCTAAAGCCTTTTGTATTTTTTTTAAGAGCTGAAAGTAAAGTTAACAATGTTTATAAATAATGAAAACTAAAATCATGTTTTAAGCCAACCGAGTTAACACCCCCCCCCCCCCCCACCCCCCTTTTCCCCAATTCATCACACATTTTTTTTTATTGACCTTAGCATCTGAGTCCACTAAGACTAAAATGGGTAGTTGGAATTGTAATTAGAAATAAATGCAGCTAGTGTAATATTTACCACATCACCTATCGCGTACCAGTACTACTACCACCATCACCACCAGCACCAGAACTAAAATAACTCACTACTGCCTGTTTTATCACCTGTCTAGGTCAGTTGTAGACAGGGGGTCATGACCCATAGAGGCCACATAGCTAGTGCTGTTGCCACGGACTGTGCAGGTTAGGATGTTAAATTGTGCCCCTGACAGAAAAACTTATCACCTTACTGGGAGTTGAACCCAGATCTCCCACATGACAGCCTGACGTTGTAATGACCCGGCCAACCACAATAACTACAACTACTATTCTGTGACTACTACCACTGCTGCTACTATGAGCAGATGAATCTTGTGGGCAAGGCAGTTACTGTGACATCCTCTACATGGGCAGTAGTGATGTCATTGATGTCCAGTGACATGCGTCACAAAGAAGATCCTGTCGAGAGTGGTGGATATGGGAGTGCAGCCTGGAGCGCCATGGGCAAGATTTGATTAATCATCACAGAACAGGTGTCATTAGTGGTTTTTGCCTTAGTGGAGCTATCGAGAAAAAGATCTGAGAACCTATGGATCTGTCATGATGATAGTTCTAACTAATTAGTAATCTTTAATTCCTATATTCTTTCATTTCCATACAGTGTTTCAACAACTTTTTATTCCCACACCTATTAATTCCTTTTATTCCCACATCTTTTCAGAGATTAGCCCTTAACAACAAATGAACATTTACATTTGTATTTATATAGATCAATCATTCTACTGGGTCTTGATGCCTCTTGTCTGCGAAAAAGTCTACTGAGCAGTTAAGAGCAAGGATTCTTAGCGTTTGCTGGCTGTAAACTCAGGTGGGAAAGTTCTGGTTGTTTGTCCACTAATGGACTTTGGTCTTGCTCCAAAACGGGTTCTGAATGTTTACAGATTTGGCTTATTTTGTATTTGCTCCCCATCTCTCAGGCAGATGGACTCCAACTTTGTAGTTAACACCCCTTATTAGTTGACTTTTATGACATGCTTTGGGGGCGGGGTTCCCCCCCCCCCCTAAAATTAGATCCTGGAACCCACGTGCGGATGAAGATCAAGTTGATGTGTAGCATTTATATCCAAAGTATGCTCACTACCCGTGACCTTCTCAGTGAAGCTTGCCACTCTGCTCAAAGCATCCATGTCTTCACCTTTCTCAGCATGCCTTCAGTCTAACAATTACGACATGTGTATGCATCTTGTTCTCTAGCCACCAGAGAGCTGCAGTTACTACCTCCACCTCAATTCTCATGCTACATGTTGTGATGTCGTATGCAAGGTTGTTTATTCACAGACAAGAAGCATCAAAGAAAACAACACAAGACCTTTGATGTAAACCTCAAGACCATTTACTCCAGGAGGAGTACTCTACAGGTATAACAAAGACAATATGGAAAGATAGAAACTCAACAACTATTATGATATATACTTCTGGCTGCCTAGAAACCAAGAAACTTTAGACAGTATGATAACCAAGAGAAGATGGAAATGGCTTGACCACGTTATGAGAATGAATCCTGATATACCTGCCAAAACAGCTCTCACATGGAATCCAGAGGGAAAGAGAAAACAGGGGCGCCCAAAAACAACATGGAGATGAATGATAGAAAGTGACCTGAGTGCGGCATCTTTGACATGGGAAACTGCACTGAAGATTGAACAGGACTGGAAAGCATGGAAAGTCCTCTCTGAAGCCTCGTGTGCCACTAGGCATAACCAGAACTGATGATGCCTAGACAGCAGACACATCTCCCTGACACCCGAAATGGTAAAAGAGGAAGTAAGAAGATCAGATTTCAGGTATTTTCAACCTACTGCTGTCAGTAACACTTATCCACAGACAAGAAACAAAGAAAACAAACCCAAGACCTTTGATGTAAACCTCAGGACCATTTACTCCTGGAGGAGTGATTGATTATAAACAAAATTATCTGTTAGCACCATTATCAAATCAGGCTGTGAGTTTACATTTGGTATCCAGACTGTTCGTCACTGGAATTGAAATAAGTGCTCAAAATAGGAAGTAAAAATTACTGAAAATGGAGAAAACATGCCTGAAGAGCATGGGTATTTCTTTACAGGCATAAAACTATCTTTACTTATCTGGGAAGAATAGGATTCAAATTTGAAAGATAACTAACTGTCCATCAGAAAACTATCATAGAACAACAATGATAACAGTGCAATGGATCTTCGATCATGCTAAAGTTAAAGTTAGAAGTCCACCGCACTGGTTTTATCCTATGTGGCTTTGTCTCTCTCTGCAGAACAGCCAGCTGACTACGGAGAGTACTGCACGAAGCACAAACTCTGATGCTCCAGTGCGATCCCCAGGGATCTTTGTTAAAAACTGTACTGATGAACCAAAATGACACAGCCGTGGCATGAATTAATAAACTTCACAATGTGAGGCAACCTTGTGCTAAAATACCTGATAATGACAGGCAGGTAAGACAACATTGGGATAAAGGCAAGAGTAATCGCTATAAAAAATAATTGAAATACAGGAACATGATTAAGGGGAAAGCAGCAGTGTACACCCATGTACTTCACATGCTTCTTTAGCATTATGAGTCGTGTTTTCAGCGATCAAATCACTAGGACCATTACATATGACTGGGTCAGCCCTGCGGCCATAACCAGGTTTTATCCCATGTACAAAAGTTTTCTTGAATGTTTAAAATTTTAAATTGGGGGGTCATCTTTCACACAGAATGTGACTGAAATATTCATTTCCTAATTTTGAGCTTTAAAAAAGGGTGAAGGGAGTAAGGGTGTTGTCTTATATATGCCTTTCCTCAGAAAAATAAGGTATATCAAATAAAATGAAGGAAAAGAAGTTTCTGAGATGCACAAGATGAAAAAGAAATACATTACCCTCAAGGTGTGTCCTGCATCCTTATCTGACCACGGGTATTCATTTTCATTCTCAGTGGGCGGCACTGAATGGACGTGTCTTGCCTGTATGGCCATACCTCTCTGATCTGAGACAGGAAACATGTTTTAGCAATACAGCCTGTAAAACATACATTTTCCCTATCTCTTTGGCCTTAAGTAACAACATAATCATCAGTATTGCTTTTTTTTTTTTTTTTTTGGCAGGGGTGATCATATCTGGTACACTGGCACCTTGGAATAAGAACATGATCAGTTCTGAGACGGTGTTCAAAATTCAAATTGTTCAAGTTTAATTGTGCAATTTCTCCCACTGAAAATAATGGAAACCAATCTGTTCCAGGGTCTAACAGACTGAAATTTTAACATATGCATTGTAAACATGTTAACACATCAGTCAATCGGTCAGTAGCATGTCTTTTGCAGAACCCTGCTCCCATAACAACCCTCCAGAAAACTTCTTAATCACAAGCAAGATGTCCCACATCCGATACACCCATCTGGAGATCATCCGCCACATCGTGCACCTTTAGGCCTTCCTCTTCCTCTCTTCAAAGGTCTATACCCTTCCATTACTGTTCTCTCTAAACTTCTGTGACGTTTCAAGTGACCAAAATATTTAAATTTTCTGTTTTATCGTCTTTAATAGCCAACTTTCTTCAATATTCAGTTCATGAAGTATGGATTCATTTGTTCTTTTCTTGACCCATGGTAACGCAGTAACACATGATGATCGTATCTGAATATGAATTTATTTTTTTAAAACAAAGATACAAATGTATTTACTGTACCTTGATCAAAATGGAGACAAAAATGGGGGAAGGAAGGGAGATTTAGGGAGATTATTTAGAAGGTGAGGTACCTTCTATGATAAAACCAGGAATCCTTTCTGGTATTTCATATCGTAGTCGTTGACCTCTAGTAGAGGGTTTGGGGTCACTAGTTTTTGTTGACAGCCAGCATTACATGTGCTATTGTGTTGGCGACCATTTTTAATTTTACTAAAATGTTCAATATTATAATCAGTGAATAAGTTAATACACTTGCTAACATAAAAATTAAAAGCTATGGTCACATCCAAATGATGTGTAGAGCTCGCTATGGAAGGTGACAGGTTTGATTCTAGGCACGTTAACTATAGCTTCCGATTGTTATGTTGTCTAGTGTCCTATCTTTCTAAAGTGCTGATCAATACATTGTCTGTCTATTATTATATATATAATTTTCTCAGGAATTTCCCCTCTGTTTATGTGAATTAATGTGAATTACGTCTCTACATACAGCAAAGACCCCAAGTATGGCCAGTTAGCACTCTGGTGGAAACCAAGCTGAATGGAAGAGTGGGGGGACATGCATGGTGATGTGTGTGGTTGGGGGATGCCGCACACGGGCAAGTGGTCTAGGGGATAATGTTAAGTTAGGTAAATGCATCTATAAATTTCTGTCCTCGCACCTACACACTGGATTCCTTCTATCTAACAACCATGCTGCCCACTTCCGGCACATACTGATGGTGATTATAACGGGTAAAGGAGGGTCAACCCAATTAACCCAATTCAAAAGCACCACCATAAAAAAGGCACAGGCAACACGCCAACATGTCCAAGTAATCATTAACATTGTCTACGAGTACCGTAAAATACTACACCACGCCAAGTATGCTCTTGTAGTGCAGTCAGTCTCTTTACTGAGGACAACACATTGTGACAAAGATGAATTAGTGAATGATGACTCATTGTCAAGTCTTCTACTGCCTTCCACAAGCTCACATGAGCAGTCCCTCTAGACAAACAAAGACCCCAGCAAACTATGTACCCAGGTGCCTGCTGACAGCGACTCACATCCGATCGTGCAGATACATCTATGTGATGCACAGTGACAGTTCATACAAACCACTGGTAGGAGAAGCACTAAGGCATTTAAGACAAATTACCTACAGTATTTCGCTTAGAAGTTGGAGTGCATCTGTCAATGGCAATAGCCAACAGTCTGCACACAAATAAGCCAGATCTCTTAAACAGATTTGCATAGAAAACTCAAGTTCTGAAACAAGACCAAAGTCCAGAAGTGGACAAACAACCAGAACTTTCAGCTGGAATTTACAGCCGGAGAATGCTAGGTATAATACTAACAGATACTCACCAACTGGGAAAGCATGCACCCATCTCCTCCGGTTGCTTGTCATTTTAAACTGCAGTCGGGAAGGAGCAAAGGGGTTGATCAGGGCCCTGTGTGGCCGATAGGCATGCAGATGTGAATGTCCCACGGGGGAGCCTGCGCTGCCTACAACTGGTCGTTGATGGATTAGCTCGTCACTCTCGGATGATTCATACGAGTCTCTGCTGACAGCTTTTTCTGTTTTAGAGAAACAAACATGTACAAATCATCTATAAAATAAACTTATCCTATTTTCTTCTTTCGTTCGCTTGAAATAGATTATCTATATCTGCAATGTTGTCTCTAGTATGAACTTCACTGTCTTTTGTAATTCACTCAGTGACCTGTCAAGTCTGACTCGCACCGATGTTTCTCTTGGCCAAAAGTGTAGCCATGATATGTTGTATTCTGGACAGTCTTGGAGGACATGAGCTGTTGTCTCAAGTACCAGTTCACATGTGCACATGGCTGATTTGCCGATTTTAAATTTTGTGTAGATGTGGCTGCAAAGTCGATAGTGTCTAGATCTATTCGCATATATAGTTATATTTCCTATAGTGTTTGTACGTGGCATCCTGATTTTTAGGTGTGCCTCCTGGCTAGTTACCTCCGACTTCAGCACTTAATTTTAATTATTCTGGTAAGCTAGATCAATGTACTAGCATGCAGAACCAAAGGAATTTTGTAAACAAATAGAAAAGTGAAAATTCCAGCCACCATTTTCTTACGTCCGGTGCGCAAATTTTATCAGTTATCTTGTGACAATGATACTGTTAGGTTCCAGGTATTTACAAATGCTAGAAATCTAAATGTTACTCTTCATACCTTTCCTTCTTGTGGACAAAAGTGTTAGTCCAATGACTGTTATAATGAATAATAGTTGAATGTGAAAACTGGCTTTGTAAAAATAGGGTAATTCCCCAATCCTGCTATTCTAGATTGACTCATCCTAAAATGAGTGCCAGGGAAATGTCCTGGGAAGTAAGGTGGCTGGCATGACCAGATCACATGAGTTTCGACTGATCTCTAAAATGATGGATCTAACATCATATACTCTATATGCCAATGATGAAAAACAGTCCTTTACCTCTACTCATATAATGGTAGAGAATCAGTGCAGTTGATGACCCAGCCTTTAAAAGAGTACCAGGTAAAGATGTGGGAAGTAAAAACAGCTAGCGTGATGTTATCCACATACACCACCAAGTGCCGACTGGTAGATCAAATTAGGTCTAGCCTTATATGCCCATATGTGTGGGAAAAGGGTCCTTTATCAGAGCAGTTATGGTGCTGTTCACATTTCCAGGCCCAGTATTAGAGTAACTTCCCTTGCCATTCATGCCACCTATGTTGTGGGGAAGTAATGTTTTCCTTATTGTGATCGGTGTAACCATTGCCTTTTCTCAGCCTCTCACCACTTGCTTGTGTGATTATTTTCACATTCTGCTACATGCGTGACAGTTCAGGAGTATGGAAAAAGCAATATTTTTCTATTCCTACACTCCTTGTAACTGTGTTCTTTCTCTTGGGGGAGGAAGTCACCGCCAACGAACGCAAAAATACAAAAACATCCAAGTTTTGATAGCCAAGAATCGTCATGTCTATGGCGCGCTTCTCTATGCACACAAAAACCAACCAACTGAAGAAGTCTCAGGCTTGGCAACGAGTAGGTTGAAATGTATGCTTCAGTGGGGGAATAATACGCAGACGCAAGATTTGGGAATAGATTAATCTTAGTATACCAAACCCTCAAGGTTTACTGCTCTAGATACAATCCACCTCCCTTCACCTCTGGCTGGCTTTCTCTTGCCAGTTGGTGACAACTGATTGTAGGTCTGTCTGTCTTCTTGTTATGCCTTGGGATCCATAGCCATTCAACTCACAAGCACACAATTTTTGTGTCTCTGTTTATCAACCATTCTCTCTATATGGTAGGTAGGTAGGTAGGTAGTTGTACCCCACCAGGACATAACAAGCAATAAACACCCAGTGACACAAAGTGCCACCATGCAGATGGGGATTACCCATGGAGAGGTCCCAGAAACCCCCAGAAACTCCTGTTAGCTATTAGGCCATATCTTTGGCTAGTCCATAACTATGCCCCAGCTATATTCAGGGCAGAAACCAGATTGGGCTTCAAATAAAAAAAATTACATCCCACACAGAGACGACCATCTCTATATGCTTCAACATCAGTCTATTAAGCCCTCTTGCCAGATTTTCAATTTTGTTGCTAACAAAAAAAAATTAAAAAACGTAAAATCTTACCATGTATAGGATAACATCCAAAGGAATAAGACATGTCATCGTGTGAGCCAACTTTGCTTGGTATTAAAATAGCCTGTGAATTATTCTTCGGCGATTCGTCACTACTCCTGTACATAGCAAGCTCATCCGAGGTATGCCTAGTGCGTGGCTTCAGTTTTTGCTTGGCTTCTACAAATGTTTTCGGCAAGGCTGGACTGCGAGAAATTCCTGCACTGCTGGTGCCTCTTACTGAGCTGAAGAGAACATACAAATATGCATAAGTTATTACAAGACGCTTTTAAATCTTTGATGTATCAGGTATTTTTTTCCCCCTTCTTAGCATTCATCGGCTGTCAACTCCTGCAGAAAATGTTGTTGTTCATCCACTTCTGGACTTTAGGCTTGTTCTAGAACTTGTTTTGCATGCATATTCATTACACAGATCTGGTTTACGTGTATGCAGTCTGTTTCTTTCTTGCCTCAGGCAGATGCACCCTGACTTTGAAAGGAAACATCCCCAATTAATCACCTTGTGCAATGTGCTTATTAGAAGGGGGGTGTCAAGAAATGGCTGTGGTGCACCATGGACTGCCACTCTTGCACTTGGGACAGATTGGTCAGACTAACATACAGTCAATGTCAATGTAATGGAGCCACTGATGTCATATTTGTATATAAGCAATTGCTAGACCATTAGTATAAGATTAGAGTCTATGAGATGACAGATGACATATTATGAACACCATAATCACTGGTATCATCCATGCTAATCCTGATGGGGGAATTCCCGTTTACAGCATACTAAAGGGAACTCATAAACGATATCAGTGCAGCTATAGTCACTGAATAAGGTGAATACAACTGCATGAAGGATGATGTCTGTGCCTAGGCTATATTTAGTAACGAAATAAGCACAGGAAGGAACTCTCATGATCCTACCAGGAGTTTGTCGACTTATCGGAAGCGTACCTACTTCCGTCTTCTTTCAAAATCGCCATCTATGTGGAAAGGACGTTTCCGCAATTATTCGCAAGTACCATCAGGTTTAATTTCGTGAAAGATAAAATGTTTTCTGATTTGGAAAAGAGGGCACTGTTTCTGACACCATTGCATTGGAGTATATTCCTGTTTGGGAGGAGCTGCATTAAGACAACTGAACGGATCACTGAAGCCTGAAGTTAAAGTTTCACCAGGTGACTGTGTCGCCCCATGATCTTGATTCCACCTCAGCTATAAATTTAACTCCGTTCCAAGGATGAAATTTAGCTGTGTTGTTGCCAATCAGTCTGTATAGTATCCCATTACACTATATGGTGTATAACTTTTACCTACCTTGCTAGTCTTTTATGATACGGTGAGCGTGGGCATGGAGTGAAAGAGTTTGAAATATACCTTTCTGGGGGGCTTGTAAGTCAATTGGCAGGAGTGTGTGCGACAGAATTATTAAGACTATCCTGTGCTATACCTATACCGAGCTAGTCTTACCTTTCTGACTCCTGTCACATGACCATGTCTCAAATACGCGAGGCCCTCCCCCTAGTTTTATAACCAAAGTTAGTAGCCAAATTTATCGTGAGACTACTGACGCTGTAATGAGTAGGGAAGTCTGTAATAAAGATTTCTTTTTACATCCGCATTTCGCCACAGGCAGTGGGTCTATTCATTCCCCACACCAACCCCCCCCCCCTCCCCTTCCACCCCCAAAATGAGGATCAGGAACCCATATGGGGATATAGGGCATATGGTGCCATAAATTTTTATAGACAAATAGGGCTTCGAAGTTTGAAGGGGTCAACATCATTATGTCACCTTTATTTCCCAGCACATCTCCTGCTAACCATTTTAGGATAGGTCAAACTGAGAATGCATTTTTTTCTTCTTCTTCTGCAGGTTTTACTTGATGTAAACAACAGTGGGAACTTCTGGCTGTCCATCCATGTCTGGACTTTGGTCTTGTTCCAGAACCTGAGTGTTGCATGCACATCCATTGTACAGAGCTAGCTTTGTATACGGACTGTTGACTCCTCACCTCTCTGGCAGACAGACTGACTTCGAAAAAAATACCTCTAAATTAGCCGCTTTTTACAATATGCTTGTTGGAAATGAGGTTGAGCGGATGGGTCTGTTCTTTTAAAACAATCAAAACTGCTACCAAAATAGAGTATGCATATTCTACATGCACATACCTATAGTCATACATAGAACTTGTATCAAGAAACATTTGTGGACAGTGTGACGGAGATTTGACAATGAAACACTAACTAGCCATACAGGAAACATGAACATAGATATAGCTCCCACCAGTCAAGTGAACCTTGCCTAAGCATAACCTGTTACAACATCGGTATGCCTCTATAGCAATGAAGTGCTATATTAAGTTTATACAGGTTTCTGAGCTTGTGGGGAAGGAGAGCTCTGTTCTAGTCGAGACAGCTTTTGCTCAGAAAAATCATCATGTTGGGGGGGGGGGGGGGGGGGCAAGCAGAACAGACCCACAGCCTCCCCCCCCCCCCCCCCACAAGTGTGTTGTGTTTCCTTTAAAGTCAGAGTGCACGTGCCTCAAAGATGAGGAACCCAACAGTCTGCATGCAATATAAGCCAGATCTGTAAAGCAAATTTGCACACAAAACTCAAGTTCTGGAATTAGACCAAACTTTAGAAGTGGACGAACAACCAGAGTTTACAGTCGGTGAACACCAAGAACAGCAAGTCAGAAAAAAAAAGGCTATACTATCTTCCCTCACAGCTTTAAACAAAAAATGCGAGGGCTCAAATGATCCCATGTGAGTTCTAGGGCCCCAGTCTATACTATCTTCCCTCACAGCTTTAAACAAAACAATGCGAGGGCTCAAATGATCCCATGTGAGTTCTAGGGCCCCATCTGGGAGTGTGTGTGGGGGGTGGGGGGGGGGAGGACAGACTCCCTTCCGTCCTCAAAAAGTTTGTCACAAAAGGTGACTAATCATGGGATTGCTTAAATGTGTTTAACATAAATGTGCAGATATTGCAGCCTAGCTGTAAGCCACAACATAACATGCCAACCGCTTTTTTTTTTTTTAAGGGCAAAAAAAAAAAATGTCAATGGTTTGGATTCAAGAGTTGAAACTGAGTCTTCCAGTGAAGTCACCAAACAACTCAACCATCAACAAATCCTCACAAACACTCATACTTTCACTGACAATGTGAGAACTCATCTGACATACAGATGAGGGCCTCTGGTGAAGTTCAAAGCAAGGCATTTCTTAAGATACTTACAAAGTCCTAGGCATGGTTCCCACAGGTAATTTGAACACCTGAGCATCATATTCATCATAGTCAACAAACGGGATGTTGTCATTAGAATCATACTTGGTAGGCAACATATCTAGAAGTAAACAATTCAAAATAAAATACAAAAATCTCCACTGAACCTTCTCCAAATACTAATATATGCCACATAATTCTTCTTCTGCGTTCACCAGCTGTACACTAGCAGAAAGTTCTGGTCGTTCGTCCAAATCTGAACTCCAGTCCTGCTCCAGAACCTGAGTGTTGTGTGTGCATCAGTTTTACAGGTCTGATTCACTTGAATACAGACTGTTGGTTCCTTGCCTCTCCGGCAGATGCACTCTGACTTTAAAGGAAGCACCCCAATTAGTCAACTCTTACGACATGCTTTTGGGGAGGCAGTGGGTCTATTCTTGTTTTCCCTATAATAGGGCCCCAGAACCCACACAGGGATGTCATAATTCAGTACAGAAGACTCACTAATGCTTAAAAAAATTAAAAACTAATTTAGAATTAAGCAACTCGGTTTTTAGGATCCTTTAAATATATGCTTTCATTTATGACTTGTGGCAGGACTTTTTTCTGGTGTTTACTGTGATAAAGAGAAGCAGTAGGCCAAGTGGTTAGAAGGTATGGCTCGGAGACTCAGGTTCAACCCCCGGTAAGGTGATGAATTTTTCTGTTGAGGCAAAATCAAACGCCCTAACTTGTATAGCTGCAATGTGGCTCTATCTAGGGTTTGATTGAACTCATCATCAAATTGCTATACTGATGTTCTTAGGTATACACAGTTACTAAGAATACACCAGACGATGAACACTCAGTTATTGATCTTTATTCGCTGTTCCCACAACTGTACTGTCCAGTCGCTCACTTGTGTTCTCGTGGTTGCTAGGCATGGCTGATTCCTGATGACATTTCCAACTATCTCACATGGTGATTCTCTCTGCCATTACCTTTCGGATCATACATCTGGATCAGGCTAACATATTGTACCTAGTACCTGTACACAACTGAAACTAGCAGTCTGTAGACATTCATCTCTGCTCTAGAACAAATACATGTGGTGAGACTCTGCATTCTTATCTCGCCTTCGACCACACACATCCAGGTCCAAACTTCAACTGACTCCCTATCCTCTCTGGGGTTCATACCTTCCATTGAAGTCTCACGCTTTCCTCATATCCCTATTCACCTACCACGGGATACCTGAGACATGCTTTCCACACTTTCGTGTTTTTTCACTGGTCCTCTGACCTTATCGCCCCAATCCGGAACTATCTGGAATTTCCCCAGGAATTCACAACATTACAATAGCCCCGGCGACAGCATTAGCCATGTTGCCCTAAATCCTAATGCTCACAATCCCCTGTCTACACTGCCCTAAAAAGGTTGTAAAACAGACAGTAATGACAGTGACTGTAATCAAAAACACTAATGAGCACCATTACACTTTTTAGACAATGAGTAGTCAGTTTTTTAAATAAAAAAATCCATTCTGTTGTAACAAGCTATTCTACATTAATTTTGACCAGGGAGCAAAGGTCTTTTTTTTTTAAAGTACCGGCACCCATGACCTTCCGATCCGCAGGCCAGCATCTAACTGCTAAAGCACAGCGGCTCCCCTTCTGCATAGTAGTATGACTTTAACCTCTTCAGTATGAAACAGTAACTTTAAAAAACAATAATATAGGATAGGAGGAGTCTGTATGTTGAATACACACACAAAACTGACTAGACAGATGTATGTTTGTTGAATACACACATTAGACTAACAAAACAGGTACAAAGACCCTATGATGAATTTTCAAGGTCTAGCTGTAGGCACAAACTGATCATATATCAAAACATCCGAGAAGGCTAACCTGAATAACAAATACCCAAAGAAGTCGATGTGTCAGCCGAAAAAGAATTTTTTTTGTTTTTAATCAAAGCACCAAATATATTTAAATTGTTGGACGAATGGATGCTCTATAAACCAAACAAACAGCGGTTTGTCGTTTATACCCTCTCAGACTACTCTGGAATATTTTAACTCTCCTGAAATAAAGTTCATTTTTTTTTAAACTACAATTACTGTAAAGCAAAATTATTTAAAATGCGAAGTCAAAAATTAACCTATGCAATTAAATTTTCATCTTGCATGTAGAAAAAAGAGGCAAGTGATATGCATTTCTCCTCTCACCCTGCCCACTCCTCCTCCCCCAGCCCCCTCCACAAATCCCTCTTCTTTCAGCTACTGCGCAAGCGGAAGGCGTGCCAAAATAAGTATCAAACCCAAGACTATCATGTTAGACATGCACTAATCCCACCACACATTATACAAGTTTTAAATAAAATGCAATTAAACAAACACCTACTTTTCTGTGGTAATTTAGGCCGCTCTTCCAGTTCTTTCAATTCTTTCAACTGAAAAAAAAAAAAACATTCTAGAAAAACTTGGATTACAGTAATGCATCTTTCTTTCAGAATAAGAATCCAACAAATTTAAATGTCAGTTTGAGACTGTTAGGCATGTCTTCATATTGCCCAATTGTCCAAGTCTGTCTTCTACAAACAGTTCCTTTCTGAAATCTGACCAAAGTTGTTTGCTTCTGTGCATACCTTATAAATGGCAGTTGGCACATTGTGGTTTACAGCTAGGCTGAGATTGCTGATCTTTTAGCCCAACACGTCCCATTTCAACCAATTAGTCACCTTTTGCAAAAGTTGTTATAGGGGTGTGGGGTCTGTTTCCCCTCTCAAAATGGGACCCTAAAACCAATGTGGCAGAAACCCATTCTTTGCTTTCACAGGCTGTAAACTCTGACGGAAAGTTCTGGTTCTTCGTCAACCACTCTTCACCTCCAAAGTTGTGTCCCAGAACCTGAGTTGCAGGCACATCTGTTTTGCAGATCTGGCTTATATGAATGCAGACTGTTGGTTCCCTGTCTTTCAGGCATATGAACAAGGAGGCAGTGGGTCTGCTCTCATTTTCCCTATAGTAGGGATCCAGAACCCACACGGGGAGGTTTCAAATCCCAATAAGCAGCAGTAAATAAGATTATTACTCAACTTTCAGCAAGGAGATTTAAAGAAGTTTAAGAGAATCAGTAAACCACAGAATCTGGCTAAATATGAACACTCAGAAGAAAGGATTAGCAAAAAACGAGATGCACACCAGACACACCAGAAGACTTGTTAACATAGAACTGGTACTATTAGCCATCGGACGTTGGAGTTCATACTGAGGGGAGGATCTGAGCACCTATGGGCATGTCTGGAGTGCAATGATGATAACCCAATTAACTAACTAACTAACTCAGAAGAAAGGCAAGATGGACATATAACAAGACTGCAGCCAGCATCATTTGTATAAGAACTGCCAACTACTGACAACAGAAATGGAGTATCTATGACAGTGCTATGATGCTGATTCTCAACACGAGAGTCAAGTACACAGAACTGATTTAATTTCACAACAAATCATGCCTTCAGACATTTCACAGTTTAAAATAAAAAGTATGCAAGTAATAGCAAAATATCTTTCAGCTGTTATGTGGTAAGATATATCTAATAGGCATCCACTGCACTATCAAGTGGATGATGAAGAACCTTCCTTTCTAAGAGAACTAATCTAATCTGAAAACGAGTTTTATGAAGCCGTCAGTCACATCAATATTGTCTGTGGCGATGAAGTTGGTAACAACACAAAATTAATGGTTAAATGAAAAAAAGAAAGACAGTCTTAGGATAAGTTAAAGGTGCTTCTATGACATCTCACTTAGGATAAGTTAAAGGTGCTTCTATGACATCTCACTTAGGATAAGTTAAAGGTGCTTCTATGACATCTCACTTAGGATGAGTTAAAGGGGCTTCTATGATATCTTTCTTAGGATGAGTTAAAAGTGCTTCTACAATATCATTCTTAGGATAAGTTAAAGGTGCTTCTATGATATCTTTCTTAGGATAAGATAAATGTGCTTCTTCAATATCTCTTAGGAAAAGTTTAAAGTTCTTTTATGACATCAAACTCGGGATAAGTTAAAGGTGCTTCTACGACATCTCTCTTAGGATAAATTAAAGGTGCTTCCATGACAGCTTTCTTAAGCTAAAGGTGTTTCTATAATATCTTTCTTAGGATAAGTTAAATGTTAAAATTGTTGTGTATCCTTTACAGGATGAAGCAGAAACAACTCCAGCATATTTCAGCCGTTGTTTTTCAAGGCAAATTTATGTCTAGTAGTTTGCCACTGATTTCTGGATGGTTGGTTTCTGGATACCACTGTCAAAACCAACGCCAGGCCAGCAGCTGGGATCGAACCCGGCACCTCAACATTACGAAGTGTGTTCACAGCGCATAAGCCACAGATGCCGACTAGTTAAAGGTGCTTCTATGACTTCTCTCAGGATAAATTAAAGGTGCTTCTATGACATCTCACTTATGAAAAGTTAAAGTTGCTTCGATAACATCTCACTTAGGATAAGAAAGAGGTGCTTCTATGACATTTTTTGTTCGATAAGTTTAAAGTGCTTTTATGACATTTCTTACGATAAGTTAACAGTGCTTCTGTGACATCTTTCTTAGGATAAGGTAAAGGTGCTTCTATGACATGTCTCAGAGAGTAGAAAAACAAATAAATCACATCCTTGTGAACTGTTAAGGATCACTTACAGTAGGCAGGTCATCTCTTAATGAGTGTTCCATCCCTACAGATTATACCAGGAACATCTCAGCACAGTATGAATTCCGTGGCAACAAAATGTATACCAAAACTGTGCTATAGTCTTTCTTGTAGACAGGTTGTCAAATTTTTTTTAAGTTTTAAATTCACAGTAAGTTTTTTCCCATTGCACACTTCAACCTTTTATACCCCCGGACCAACAAACACAAAAATATATATATTTCCGGTGCCAAATTACTGCATACATCGCCTCAGTGGTTATGCAGAAATGTAGTGCTGGAATCATGTAGCTTCTACACGATTAGGCAGAAAGTTTTGGCACCCCACCAAAGCATATTCACGGCCCACCAGCAGTCTGTGGACCACTTGAAGAACTCTGGTATCTTCAACCTTTTCTTTTCCAATTTCCATTTATTTATTGGGCACATACTGAATCATGCAGCAGGCTACAGTATGCCAATCAGTTCCCTGCCAACTCTGCTATCTCACAAGGTTTTATGAATTTATTACAGGCATAATGTACAATTTTTACACAGTGAATACAGCAGTATAAATTAATCTTAAAACCAACGAGCAAGCTGACAGGTTGACAAGAAGTCAGTCACATACCAAGGCAAGTGGAGGCTTGATCCGAGGCACAAAGGGAGAATTCATGTGATTCTCTATCTGGTTTTTAGACATGTAGAAGCTATTGGAAAATGCAGTCATGAAAAGAGTCACAATTTGTCAACACAGGCACATCAAATATATAATGTAAATATGTGGGTAGGGGCTTTAAGGAATTAATGAAACCTTTACGTTATAAGTGGATATTTCACAATCAAAATATTTCATAAAACCTATGCTTGACTTCAATGATCGTGTAACTACAGCAGACCTGTAAAATCAATCTTTGCATTCACCAGCCGTAAACTCAGGCAGACAGTTCTTGTAGTTCATCTACTTCTGATCTTTGGTCTTGTTCCAAAACTTATTTTGCACGCACATCAGTTTTATAGACCTGATTTACATTTATTCAGACTTGGTTTCTCACCTCAGCCAGATTTATTCTGACATTTTGACATAAACGCTCATAATTTGTCCATTTTTATTACAAGCTTGTAATGCGGAAAGGAGGGGGGGGGGGGGGAGGGGGTTGGGGGGTAGTGGGCCTTCTCTTGTTTCCTCCAAAAAGAGGCCCTGGAACCAAAACAGGGATTTTAAAATCAGTGATTTACAAGTTTTTAGTTTTATTAAATGAAATTATATTAGTTTGATAAAGTTTTTCACCTTAAAGTCAACACCAAACCACTTTCTGTTTTGACAAGAATAACCTTGTCTGGCAGTTGCATTCCATCCTCTAACATGTTGACATCTGCCCACTGCATTACTGGAGATGAGTATGTCTAATTTCACCAATACAGGAGAAGGATACTTTCTGACCATTACATCTTTCAGCCTTAACCAGGGTCATTTTTAAAAAGTAAAAAATTTTCATTTTCTGAGAATTATGTCTGGTAGTTGAGGGACATTCCATGCTCTAATGCAGTGGTTCTCAACCTTCCTAACACCACGACCCTTTAAAACAGTTCCTCCTGTTGTGGTGACCCCCCAACCATAACATTATTTTCCCTGCTACTTCATAACTTCACTGAATATGTGTTTTCGGATGGTCTTAGGAGACCTGTGTGAAAGGGTCATATTCCACCCACAGGTTGAGAACAACGGCTCTAATGTGATGACATCTGTCCTGTTGCATAATGTATTATAACTGTATTAGAACTGGAGATGTGTTTCTCAAGTAAAAGTAAGTAAAGTAAAGATCCCTTTTCACGCCTTTCGGCGCATAGGGCATATGGGCAGAGCGTCCCATATTTTTACAGACCATCAGCACTCTGTGGGTAATGTGGTCAGCATTACGCCGGTGTTTCTCAAGAGCTATTAGTATCCAGTATAAGACAGCTGTCATTGAAGTAACTGTTGTTCGTCCATCACAGGCGATGATGGCCAGTTTTTTCACCTACTGGTGATTGGATTAGGTTTTGCGAGTGCACAGAAGGCTTATAAGGCCAATTCTAGCTCTGACAGTTCTTGACCAGTGTGGACAGGGAATTAGGGCTGCATTTCTCTGGTGATTTGCTTCAGTGTCTTTCCTGGCTTGTCTTTTCTGAATTGCTGCTGCAGCTCTAGCAGCTTCATGGGCCACAGCTTCTCAATGATGATGAGCACGTTAAATCTATAATGTAAATATGTGGAGTAATTACTTTTGCAGAATCGGCTGTGGCTCTTGGTTCATCCAAAAAACAAATTGTCCAATCTTTTGAAGGTTTAGGTTTAAACAACAGATCATCAACACGGCACAAGGGTAGTTACCCATAACTGCTCTGTTTTGCTTCTAACTCAAGCCTGAGTCTAGAGAACCTCATCACAGTGCACAAACTCTGGAGCACAGTGGTGGATCCTGAATATTGTGTGGGTAGATTTTCAACTTCAAATGTTGCCAGGGCAGTGTCGTTAGGCTAGTCTTTTCAATTTTCAACTGCCAAGGGATTTTTTTACGTGCTCAACAATACACACGGGCACCCAATCTTACTACCCAGAGACCCGGGGGAAAAATTACGTCCACTTGAAAAAAATCCCAGCCTTCACCAGGGCTTGAACCAAGACCACTCAGCTACATACACACAGCAACCTAGCCTAACTACTGGATAACCAGTCCTCTTTCTGTCCACCCACACCCTCCAGTGTAAATGTTTAACCTTTTTTTCTTTAACTCTCCCAGTCTACTCAAAATTGTTTTCTCAAAATACAGAAACAGTGACAGTACCTGTGATTCATCCAGTGTGGTATATTGTAATCATCTCCTACTTCAATTGACTTGTGACTGCTCTTGCTATGGAACTAAAATGGAGAAAAATGGATCACGAGTAGGTTCAAACAATTTACAGACGTATTCGTCTTAAGAAAACAATACAGGATTATTTGTCAAAACAACATTGGAAACTTCAAGATCAACTTCGCTGTATGTTGTGCATACCCATAAGTCCTCCGACCTTCTAAGCATATTTCTTAATATGTTTACATTGATGACTCTTGTTCTACACCGGTTGAAGTAGCGCTTGAGCTCTTGCATGGTTCACAGCAACATTAAAACAATATTTGTCAAAGTCAGATTGCACTTAAGAGTTGGCAATTGCATCGCATAAAAAGCTTCAGATGCAAAAGCCAACCAATTAAAGAGGAGCCTAAGTAAGGGCCGGCATGAAATGGCTAAGGACCAATGTTTCGATCACACTGTAACAATACGCAGTATAGTTGTTACGATCACACTGTAACGATACGCAGTATAGTTGTTATGATGACACTGTAACGATAACTAACTTCGACACGTTACCCAGTGGCGAATTTGGCCATCCTTACACAGTAAAATTGTCCTTGAAATTTCTACACGTTTTCTTCAGGTAAATTTCTACACAGCAACTGGTGTTACCACGGATGATGGCTGTACAGCCGCCTTGACCCAGTCCCCCACTTACGTCAACTCTGCAGCTCTGCTTTGAGCTGTGAAGTTTAACTGGTCCAACCTGCCGGGTTTTTGGTCCCTACACTGGCCATGTCTGTTGTTGCTTGTTCTGAACAAATAAATTTTGACCAACAACTGTTGTTACCTCAGACGATAGCTGGACATCGACCTAGACACAGTACGCCACTTACATTGACTGTTCAGCTCTGTTATCAGCTGTCGAGTTCAATTGGTCCAACCAGCTGTGTTTTCGGACTGTTCCGGCCGCCTTCTGTCCTTGTTTTTTGTCCCGGATTGTGTCCGTTTTAGAGCCTCCAACTTGTAATATGCTCTGCTAGAGGCATGTGTTGTTTACATTACTTTCAGAAGAACAGAGAGTTGTAACGACACAACATGAACGAATCTTGAGTTGCTTGCTTTTATCTGTTGAATCACCAGTTATCGCACACATACATTCTCGCTTCCTCGTGCTCGTCTTGCTTGGCTGAATCTAGCGACCTGGTCGGACTTTTCACACACTACAGGAATTCATCAGCGTCTTTCAAACCACCCATCTATCCTTTACGAACCCTGGTATCTGACATTACGACGTGTGGAAAAACATTCAGTCCTCCTATTGAAATATAACATTCGTTTCACAAATCATTTATTCTTCTCAAGCGTCCACTCATGCGTCCTCTCTCAGTCAGGGCCGAACTTCAACTGTCTTACTTCTGTCTCCCGGTTCACGTCTTCCGTTCTTATCTCATGCTTTTCTTGTGTCCCTCACTTCGTTCACCATGAGACACACGAGACCTACTTATCCCATTTTTTGTGGCACAGCTGCTTCCTTTGCTGCCTATTCTGATTTCGCACCCAGGTTCGTGTTTGAGTTTGCCAAAAGGGTTGCCGATGATGATGTTAAAGACGAGAATAGACATAGTCGTGTCGATAATGGTTATGATGATGACTGTCTTGTTAGTCGCATACTTCTCACTCAACTCTAAGGCTTGTGAAGAGAATCGTTCTAAAACACAACTGTTCTAGTCTGAAATTTTTATTATGACACTTCAGCAATGACACAAACAATATTAATAATATTTGGATAAGCTCTGTGTTCTCCCTATGGGCTCCTAGTGCGGGTTGGTCTAGTGAGTTTTCATTTTTTTCTTTTTAAATACAACAGGGGATCTCCGGGAAGTCTGGCCTATGTGTAGTTTTAGTTTATTGTGCTCCTGTTTCTTCTTCTTCTTCTTCTTCTTCGTCTGACCCCGAGTCAGTATCCACTCCCGAATCTGGCTGGGCCCATGGTGGGTTAAAACATATCAAATTGCCTTACTAACAAAGTGTGCACACGCTCTACTCCGTTTTCATATGTAAATACTAATGTTATTTCTTGAACAAGTCCACGGTTCCTGACGTAAATTTTTAATCGCGTACATCTGTTTCAGGTAATTAACGAATCCGACTCTACTATAATTTCTAATTAATCTGCCCTCAAGCCTGACTTCTCTTTCTGTTCTGCTGGCCAGTGCTTCTCTCTTTCCTTATGGGGTCCCGGCAGTCGTTTTTAAAGGCGCTACTAGCCTGCTCCCAGGACCCTCCAGCCACATGTTTTGCAGAGTCTGCAGCGACTTTAGCTAGCCGGGTCAGTGAGGGTATTCCAACAATGTGAAAAACAACTTATTGTTTTTGGGCTGGACGGGGGAGTCACGTGATGTCTAGACAGACGGCTGGAAGTATCGTGGGAACCAAGGACAGGGACCTAGGTAGTTTTAGTCGATCACTAAGCTCAGTGGAAAAGTTCCAAAAACAAGGGTGAAGGTGATGGGCCTTGTCGTGCAGACAGCACAACACTAAAACGCAGTATGGGTGTTGACCCTGCTACATTTTCTCTTCTCTCACGAGTCCTCCGACTTTTTCCTCCCCATCGGGAACTCTCTGGGATTTCCCTGGGAATTCACAACATTACAAGGGATAAAGTAGAGGACCCTTTTCCATGCCTTCAGCCATTTTGGGCATGTGGGGCTAGACCTGTATTTTACAGACCAACTGGCAACCGTTGGGTGATGTGGTCAGCATTATACCGGCCACATTTACTTCCCAAGACTTTACCTGGTAGCCATTAAAGGTTGGGCCGAGATAGTAGCCAAGGTCAATTTTGGGGGGATTTGAAGTCTGGCTTCGTTATGATCTGAACCCACAAAATATGGATCCACAGGTAAGCATCTAGCCACTACACCACAGTGGCTCCCATTTAGGTATAAAGGCAGAGGAAATATCTGAAATATCCCGTTGCGTGTGTGTGTGTGTGGAGATATTTAACCAGTGTGTACATCAAACAAATACGATACCTTGAACAGTGGGGCAGCATGCAGTGGTTGTTCTCCCATGCAGACCAAGTCACTTCCAACTCCTGTAAATTTACAATTCAAAGAATATTTTTTTAGTTCTTTGTGCTGCCCTGCTTTGAGCTCTGGTTGTTTGTCCACGTCTGGACTTTTAGTCTGGTTCCAGAACTTTAGCTTTGCATGCATACCCATTTTACCAATCTGGCATATTTGTAAGCAGACATGGTTCCTCACCTCTCAGGCAGATGACCTCAGACTTCAAAGGAATAAGCCTAATTAGTTGACTTTCACAATATGCCTGTTAGGGAGTCTATCTTTTTTTGGACCTATAATGGGGCCCCAGAACCCACATAAGAACAATTAGTTCAACACAGTCACTGACTGAGGTGAGCTGATATAAGAATTAATATCACAACACTCTGAACACTGGCCACCTGGTTGTCCACTGGCTGGCCGGTAGACGACTGTCACTGGTCGGGACAGTATTTGGGTCTGTCTCCTTTGAACACATCCACACTGCAAGAGTTCTTTTCAGAGCTACTTGGCGGTGAGCGACACTAAGCCATTTTGTATGGTGCACATAATCTTAGCCACAATTATAACCTAAAGCTTGAATGTGAATATTTTTTCACAAAGCAAGCCAAGCACCCTGGGACATTACCAGAAGCAATCTGTTCCCATATTTAGCAGCAAGTTCCAGTTTCGATGGTAACAGAAGTCGTCAGATAGTATGTCTTGCCTTTTCCTGAGTATCGGCCAGATGCCCTAGAAACTCCCTTCTGCCTTTTTTCTTCTCCAAACCATGATCTATCTGTTCTGTACTGTTTTCACTCACTCCAAATGGGACTTAACATCTCACTTGTCCTGCATCAATTCACCATCAACTGATCTAAGAATCAGCCAGACTCCCTTACCTCTAACATCTACCTTTTTTTATCCAGAGTATTCCAAGTGGCATAGCAAGGTCAGATGGTATTTGGCATGGAAAACATCCCCCGCTCCCATTTATATATATTTGTTTTTAAACATTTTTTTGGCCAACTTGTAACCCCCCTCAGTGTTAGCACCCGGCATCCCTCTGTGGCACCAGTGACAGTACACCTGCAGCCTTGTTCCAACACCACTGGGTATTCCCACTCCTGTCAAAACCAGTACACGTATAACCATAATGGAACACAAGCTACTTTTTGTAACTGAAAGGTGCCCTAACGCAACAGTTTAAGAGAGTATAACTGGACTTCTTTCTGTTGGACTGGCATCCAGTTAGTGGCTTCTTGAGTCACTAAATATTTTCTGTGTTTCATCTTTAAAAATTGGTTGACTGTGGCTTACAGCTAGGCTGTGACATTTGCCTTTCAGCCCAACACACCTGACTTAAAACTCCAAATTAGTTGCCAATTATTATTTTATGTGTGTGATTGGGGGCAATGGATCTATTCCTCTGGCCTTTTCTGTCTTTGCAACATTAAGAGAAATTATGGCCTTTTCTGTCTTTGCAACATTAAGAGAAATTATGGCCTTTTCTGTCTTTGCAACATTAAGAGAAATTAATTCTTCACGTTCACTGGCTGTTAATTCTGACGGTAAGTCCTGGTTGTTCCTTCACTTTTGGATCTTAGCCTGCTTGTTCATCAAGTTCCGGTTGTTTGTTCACTTTTGGATCTTAGCCTGCTTGTTCATCAAGTTCCGGTTGTTTGACCACTTTTGGATCTTGGCCCACTTGTTCATCCACTTCAGGATTTTGGCATTGTTTCAGATCTTACACTTTGCATGCAACATCCTTTTTAACGCTCAGGCAAAATTTGTATGCAGACTTCTAGTCCCTCACCTCTCAGGCAGAGATGCAATCTAAGGAAATGTCCCCTCCTGTGACATGCTTATGGGGGATAAGGGTTGGAAAAGAGGGAGGGGGGGGGGGGGGGGTGTGTGTGTGTGTGTGGATATTTTGTTTCCAATACAATGGGACCCCAGAACCCACCAAGGAAAGTAAGAACACAGGTATAGCATATGAACATTAGCACAGGTGAGAATTCATTGTGTGTATTACCAGAATCACAGATGTGTTTTTGTAGTAAGTAACTGACACAAGCGTCCATAATGTGTATATGATTAAGGAAACGAACTGCATCGTACCATCTACGTAACAACTATTCAGCATCATCAAGTGCTATGCTGATAAACAGGCTGTCACTTATTGCCATCTCATACGAGCACTAGAATCACCGATCAGGTCAGTGTTCTAGTCCCACGTCATCCATATGATTAAGCCATCGAGGCAATAATCTCTTTGCCTTCCCCCTGCTCTCTTTCCATCAATCTTTGTCAGTCGTCACCAAGTTCTCTAGCCCGATTCTTCTTATATGTCCGAACAGTCAGGATATCACAACCTACAACTCATCATGTTCACTGTCACTGTCCTGTTGTGCCATTTTGGCATATCGGTCTGGCAGTCTATTCCTCCATTCTGTTATATCTGTGCAATCAATTTGATACCATGGATGGAATCCAGTTCAGAATCTTTGGCCTCTCGTTTTAGAATTTATTTTGGATGTCCTCGCTTTCTCAGTTGTTCTACTTCCCACTGTAGTGCCTGTTCTGTGATTCTCTGCTCGTTTCTTCTCAAAATGGTCTCCAGAACAGCACCATCTTCTTTGAGTTGTTGCCCGGACACTTCCCTTAATTCTTTACACCTCTTGAATTCATCCCATTTTATGCTCAACAATTTCTTAGGAGCATCTCCGATATGTTTCCAATCAATAAATGGGTGAGGCAGGGATGTGTGCTAGCTCATCTTTTATTTACTATATACATAAATAGTATATCTAAAGAAGCCAGTTTTTAAAGCAGTCGACTCAGAAAACGAGGAACTTTATTTTCCCGAGGACGAATTAGACCCACGCACAATAAATGAGCTACTATTTGCAGACGATTAGTGCCTGTTCTACAATGAGGGGATTAGACTGCAAGACCACTTAGACTTTCAACATGCAGAAGATCAGTTAAGTCAGTAGCATGTCCTTTGCGGAACCATGCTCCCATAACAACCCTCCGGAAAACTCTATCACAAGCAAGATGTCCCACGTCAAATACACCCATCTGCCACATCCTGCACCAATCTTCTTTTTGGCTTTCCTCTTCATCTCTTCAAAGGCATATACCCCTTCATTGCTGCTCTCTTAACTTCTGTGATGTTTCAAGTGACCAAAATATTTCAATTTTCTGTGTTTTATCGTCTTCAATAGGCAACTTTCTTCAATATTCCATTCTTGAAGTACGGATGCATTTGTTCTTTTCTTTACCCATGATATTCTTAGAACCCGTCTATAACGTTTGTATTCAAAGGCATTTATGCGCTGTTCAGCTTGTTTAATAAGTGTCAGGTCTTACAGGGTTACATTGCAATGGGAAAGATGCATGCTCTTAGAAATCTAATTTTTGTAGTTCTGCCTGTCTCAATCCATAGTTTATTCAGTTGTTTTAGTTTTTGAAGAGCAATTGATAGTTGTTTTCTTTCATTGTGTCACCATTGTTGGTAATCAATGACCCAAGATATTCAAAAATTTTCCACAATCCCCAATCTTTCCTTATTAACATTTATTTCTTAAAGGCAGAAATGGAAATTGATGATTTGTTTTCAAATGCATTCAACAAAACAAAATAAAATATGCCACTGACCGCAGTCAATAGTTCTCTGCTTGGTGATGTTTGCCAGCTGCCTGTCCACTTCAAACACTCCTGGACCTGGTGTGATGACCACAGAAACTTTACCCGTTCGGTCAAAATTACGGTCAAGGTAGTAGTTCTCAAACACTAAGGAAATGAAGAAAAAATTATCTCAGGTATGCTTCAAAACTTCAGTAATTTAAAAAATCATATGGAGCCTGCTCTAAGAAAGTCTTATGCAAGACATGTACAGGACTCAGTGTGTACAGACTTGCACGCTATAGTCCTGTGCCTGCCCTGATTCCTGTGCCTGTCCTGAGACATGTGCATGTGTTGAGTCCTGTGCACACATACTATCAGTTCTGTGCATGCCGTAAATCATGTGCACATCATGAGTCCTGTGTATGCCATGAGTCCTGTGTACATGTGTCCCGTTGCATGCCATTAGTCCTGTGCATACCTCAAGTCCTGTGCATGTAATAGGTCCTGTGTAAATTCTGTGCACACCATGAGTCCTGTGTCTGCCCTGAGTCCTGTGCCTGCCCCGAGTCCTGTGCCTGCCCCGAGTCCTGTGCCTGCCCCGAGTCCTGTGCCTGCCCCGAGTCCTGTGCCTGCCCCGAGTCCTGTGCCTGCCCCGAGTCCTGTGCCTGCCCCGAGTCCTGTGCCTGCCCCGAGTCCTGTGCCTGCCCCGAGTCCTGTGCCTGCCCCGAGTCCTGTGCCTGCCCCGAGTCCTGTGCCTGCCCCGAGTCCTGTGCCTGCCCCGAGTCCTGTGCCTGCCCCGAGTCCTGTGCCTGCCCCGAGTCCTGTGCCTGCCCCGAGTCCTGTGCCTGCCCCGAGTCCTGTGCCTGCCCCGAGTCCTGTGCCTGCCCCGAGTCCTGTGCCTGCCCCGAGTCCTGTGCCTGCCCCGAGTCCTGAGCCTGCCTCGAGTCCTGTGCCTGCCCCGAGTCCTGTGCCTGCCCCGAGTCCTGTGCCTGCCCCGAGTCCTGTGCCTGCCCCGAGTCCTGTGCCTGCCCCGAGTCCTGTGCCTGCCCCGAGTCCTGTGCCTGCCCCGAGTCCTGTGCCTGCCCCGAGTCCTGTGCCTGCCCCGAGTCCTGTGCCTGCCCCGAGTCCTGTGCCTGCCCCGAGTCCTGTGCCTGCCCCGAGTCCTGTGCCTGCCCCGAGTCCTGTGCCTGCCCCGAGTCCTGTGCCTGCCCCGAGTCCTATGCATGCCGTGAGTCTTGTGCAAGCCATGAGTTCTGTGCATGCCTAAGTCTTGTTTAAGTGTGCAATAATAATTATGTGCGGAATAACAAATAAGTACATATTTGAAATAATATGAATTGTTCAAACAAAAGCTTAAAGACAAAGTATATGCATGGTTAGTGGAAACAGCCTTTTCAAATTTTTCTAAAGTGGTTTGGGGGGGGGGGGGGGGGGGGGGGGAGGGGGGGGGGGGTCCCTGTTCCCCAATTTCCCAGATAGTGATGAAACCTGCTTTTAAAAAAAACTTGAAAGTAATATGAGACATGCAACATTATTTCCCATTTTGCTTTTAATGCCCAGGGTTGCAATCTTCAGGATGTTCTTAAGGATGAGAATCAAACAGCTAGAAATCACAGAAACCCTATTTCTTCTTCTGTTGTCTCACTGATACCAAGTTGTAGCCCAGTGTTGTGGTTTTCTGTATTTGTCTTGTGCTTCTTGGATGGCTTAGTCTTCCTCTCTCCTTCCTCCCAGATGTTCTGCTCTAAAAAGATCTCATTTGCTGTTTGGTCTAACTACATTCTCACTAGATGGCAATATACCTCAGTTACGGTCTTATTCCAACTTTCTAATAGTGGTATTCGTAACCTTGTCCATTGTGTTGTTACTGACCTTACAGAGACTACGCATTTCATACGTAGTTATTTCCTGTTCTAGTGCCCTAGTCATTGTCCATGCCTGGCACTGACAGCATAAAGTAGGGATGAAGATGCTATTAATTATTTGCTGCAAGGGAATCATCTGGGTGTCTGAACAGTTGGTAGGTTACAGCATTTGCCTTCTGTATTCTGGCTTCTATCAAGTCTGCCATCTTGTTTTCAATTATATAACAGTAATATTAAGGTATCCTACGATTACAAAATAATTTAATTTACACATTTATAGTAAAGTGCGAACAATTAAAGGAACATTTACAGTAAAGTGCATACAATTTAAGGAACATTTACAGTAAAGTGCGTACAATTTAAAGAACATTTACAGTAAAGGGCGTACAATTTAAGGAACATTTACAGTAAAGTGCATACAATTTAGGGAACATTTACAGTAAAGTGCGTACAATTTAAGGAACATTTACAGTAAAGTGCGTACAATTTAAGGAACATTTACAGTAAAGGGCGTACAATTTAAAGAACATTTACACTAAAGTGCATACAATTTAGGGAACATTTACAGTAAAGTGCGTACAATTTAAGGGAACATTTATAGAAAAGTGCATACAATTTAAGGAACATTTACAGTAAAGTGCGTACAATTTAAGGAACATTTACAGTAAAGTGCATACAATTTAAGGAACATTTACAGTAAAGTGCATACTTACAGTTTAAGGACATGTTTAAGGTTTCCAGAAAATTCCCTTGGGAAGCCAGAGATAAACTAGCCTTCGGCATCTTTAATCCCTTGCTCTCATGGAAATGAAGAACCTCTTTTTGATACTCGTTACAAAGTATCCGCAACTGACGTAAGATTGGTGTCCACTCTTCATAGCGCTCATTTTGCACAATAACTCTGAAATGTGTCATCGGAAAAAAGAGCCTGAGCACTGGAAAAATCCATATAGGTCAATAGAAATGCACATGTGTTGCTCACAGGAAGCGGCTACCGGGCCCTCACAGGAAGCGGCTATTGGGGCCCTGACAGGAAGCGGCTACCGGGGCCCTCACAGGAAGGGGCTATCGAGGCCCTCACAGGAAGCGGCTATCGATGCCCTCACAGGAAGCGGCTACCGGGGCCCTCACAGAAAGCGGCTACCAGGGCCCTCAAAGAAAGCGGCTACTGGGGACCTCACAGAAAGCGGCTACCAGGGCCCTCACAGGAAGCGGCTACCGGGGCCCTCACAGGAAGCGGCTACCGGGGCCCTCGCTGGAAGCAGCCTCTGGTGCCCTCATAGGGAAAGTAGTTATGTGGCATGGAGATAGAAAAAGGAGTATATAGCTCCAATGCACTTTCATATATATATCTAGGAAACCTCCAGAATTGGCACCTGGAATGGGGTGAGATGCATGCAAGAGCAAAAGATAGTAAGATGTGGCCCGCATAGTCACAGTCACCTGCATAACAAGAGTTCCTTCCCTTTCCATACATGTTGCTTAGTAGCAGGAATTCCTTACTTTCAACACCCTAACCATTGTCTCTTTTCTCGTGTTGTCACTGTTCACTTGTCACTGTTCACTTGCGTGATTATGTTGTGCTACTTGCCCGAAAGTTTGGGAGTAAGGAAAATTGTGATGCTTTTGTATTCCTTCCTTCCTTGTCAATGGTTTATTTTTCGGGGGGGGGGGGGGGGGGGGGGGGGGGGGAGAGAAATTTAGTAATACAAAAACATCCCATTTTCGATACGAACTGTTGTGCCTTTGACGCTTCCTGCCCCCTCCCCGCAGTACTTCTTCCTTGTAAACAGGCGCAAGCAGCACCTCAAAGAGACAGACCATGCGACCTGCCGCAGCATAAATGGCAAGGGAAGGAACACTCGAGCAGGCGACTTCGTGTAAGTTCCACTTTTCATCATCCATCCAGAAATAGACAGGAATCAGGTGTATTCACTCACTAACAAACAAGAATGTCATGTCAGATAAGTCAACATGCTGGTTTGAAATATCCCTCTGAAAATGGTTTCTGAAGAGGTTCAGAGTTTAAGAGTGGTTTCGGAGTCAGCTGAGCCCAGAAATGTCTTACAGTGATTCAAAGGATGGTAGACTATCAGACATTAACTAGTTTCATGTAAGATGTCTCCTTGTAGCTTTTTTAGTTAACTGCTCAAAAGCAGCATCACCAGCAGAGATTTTTCCAGGCTGAGCATCCACTGCCCCTGATGCTGTTTTTTGGACATTCCAGTAATCAATCCAAAAGTTTTAATGCATTCAAACAATTCATTATAAGTCATTTCAGATCGACTATCAAGAACGCTAGTGTCAGCTCAGATGAGCCTCCCCAGGTGGGTTCCAGGGCCCGGGGGGGGAGGGGGGGGACTCATTGCTACCCTAGCAAGTATATCATATAATGTGACTAACTGGGATAGTTTCCTTCAAAGTCAGAGTACATCTGCCTGAGAGGTGAGGAACCAGTGGTCTGCAAACCAGATCTATCAGATCAGATCAGACCTGGAACAAGACCAAAGTCTAGAAATGGATGAACAACCAGAACTTTCCACTGGATTTTCTTGGTGAACGCTGTGATGACTCTCTGGTATAGCGGCAGAGGTAGCTTGCATATCTGCCTTTTGATTCTCCATAATGTCCATTTGCCGTTCATGGAAATTCAGTCTACAGCTGAAAGCACAAACTACCTCATCTTTCCTGACCAGTTCAATAAACTTAGGTGTGTGTATGTTGAGGGTTGACGCCTCGTCCCTTGAAGTTTCAGAAAAAATGCTTTCATTCGCACTCAAAGGCCAACTGGTACGTTATGTTGTTGTTGTTGTTGTTATCGATCCAGCGGCGCATGAGCTTTCGCCCTTTGGCCCAATGCCATGTAGTGGAATTTGCATGTTTTCACAAGCTGTTCTTTTCCTCCGTACAAGGTGTTCCACTTGTCTGGTCTCGGAGGGAGTAGCGTTCTTCTTGTCTCACTGAGTTTTGGGCACTCAAAGAGATGGTGTTCAACAGTTTCGTAGGGGTAGTTACATAGCTGGCACTCTGGGGAGTGTTGTGGCTGTATTCTGTTTAGGTGTAACTGGTACGTTATGTTGTGGTTTACAGCCAGGCTGTGATATGTCTTTCGGCATACCATCCAACTTCAGCAAATCCCTAAATAGTTGTCTTTAACGACATGCATGATAGGGACAGTGGGTCTATTTTTTTCTTCCCAAAAATGGGACCTAGGAAACCAAACGAGGAAAGCCACAAAGCCAAAAGCCAACCCTGTTTATTGCGACCAAATCAACGTTCTTTGGAAAACTGGTCAGAGATGGCTGAGGTTTCAAGGACAGAAGAAGACAAGCACAACAGGAAGGTAAGTCTGTGGCAGAACAAGAAAATTCAAAAAAGCAAACCTGTAAAAATCCTCATAAATCCGACCTCTGTAGTCTGTCTGAAGACATTCTCTCACTGAAACTGGAAACTCATCTGAGCAGGAAAAGCAAAATATGTTCACTAACAATGTGGGGAATGTTTCAGATTTTATGAACGGATTATCAGTCTGGTTGTAACATTTTTCTACCTTATCTATCAAAGATTTAGACTATAAAAACCTGACTAACAATACAAACAAAGATCTTACAAACACAAAGATCTTACAAACATAAAGGTCTTACAAACATAAAGATCTTACAAAGATTGAAAAACAAAGGTCTTTCAAACACAAAGATTGTAGTGAGCCTCATTTTCTCCTAGATAAATTATGCCCAGACGGAATGACATCAGTAATTAATGAAAATGGAATATTTTAAGTGTAATACGAGAAATGCTTACCAGACGAACTATCATTAAAATCACAAAGAATTGCTGCCCGGGTGAAATTTACGGGGATCACATAGAAAGTGCTGGCCAAATAGAATGCGTGTAAATCAGGAACACGGAGAATTCGGGAGTACAAAGAGGGGCATTAGAAGGCTATATAATGCCATAGAAAGGGCTGGTAGTCAGTCTCATTTGGGCCCAGGAACGGAGTACATGGATAACGGCGAAAGGTGTGTGGATCCAACATGTGTTCGAGAGTGAATGTCGTTCCTACGTTCAACTTGGCAAACGGAGCGAGCAGACAAGATGTCTGCCGGCCGTGATAGTTTTCCGTCAGGACAGCTGTTGTGTTTTCGTTCATTATGCGTGTGGTAGGACGATTGTGATTTCAGCTAAAAGGTAAAGTGATGTATTTTGAGTTACAATGTATGATTGGACGTCTATTTCATGTACCAGCCGAGGAAGCAGCGAGTGGAAGAATAAAGTGCAGAAACAGTCTTGTGTTGTTTACCAGTCGTCCATTTTCTGCTCGTCGTGTGATGTCGGTGTGCAATGACGACAGCCACCTAGAAGAGTTAGTCATTGCAAAGATCTTACAAAGATCTTACAAAGGTCTTACAAACACTAAGATCTTACAAAGATCTTACAAACAAAGATCTTACAAAGATCTGAAAAACAAAGGTCTTACATGCACAAAGGTCTTCTTACCTACTGACTGGGCTTCATAGAAAATTCTTGAGAACAAGACAACGGTTACATCATGCACACAGTTCTGTTCCTGTATTTTTGTTAAAAATAAAAAAACTGAATACATAATATGTCACAAATTTAGCAAATTATGTATGTATGAAGCTGCAGTGACTAGATGCTTATCTGCAGATCCTAAACTCATGTGTTCAGATCCGGAAGGAGCCAGACTTGTCAAAAAATGACCTTAGCTCTCAGGTCAACCGAGCCTTAAATGGGTACTAGGTAGAAAGTCCTGGGAAGTAAAGGTGGCTGGCATGACGTTGGCCACAACACCCACTGACTGCCAACTAGTCATAAAATATAGGTCTAGTCCTACATGATCAATACGCCTGAAGGTGGGGAAAAAGGGGTAACTTACTCACCAAAATGTTGAATGCTGAATTATTATTATTATTCTTCGTTCACCGGCTGTGAATTCCAGCGGAAGGTCCCAGTAGTTCGTCTATCTGGACTTTTGGCTTCTACCTGGACCTGAGTTTTGCATGTACATCCGTTTTAATGGCTTATTTGTTTGCCGTTCCCTGCCTCACCGGCAGATGTACTCCGACTTTGAGGGAAGAATGTTCAATTAAAAATCGACATCACAGAACTCGGGACACCCCTATAAGCGCTCCGTCCCCATCTTCAGCAGCAAGCGAAAAGTTAAAACTCTGATGGTACCAGGAACTGTATATCTATCTTGCCTTTCACCTGAGTGTTGAGCGTCGGCCAGATCCCCTTGTTAACTCCTTGGCGCGCCATTCTCCTCAGACTAATGATCTATCTGTGCCTCGGCACTGTGCACTCATTCCCAAAGGGCCCTCAGTTCACCATCGAGTGGTACTTACCAATGTATTTATTAGTAATCTAAATTTTTCAGTATAGTTATACATGCTTCATCTGAGCAGTTCATCACAGTGTCTATGTAGGCTGGGCATACAAACCGCAGAACATATCTTGCAAAACTGTCCCTTGTACATGCAGCCCATTAAGACAAGAATACTGTCCCAAAGTGTCAACACCATATTCAAAGCTGTACGAAACTAAAGAAAAACTCCAAAAAAATAGCACATCTCTCCAAAAAGAACTTGTCTAAGATGCACCCACAAGAAGTACAACTTTTTTTGGTCATAACAGACATTGTGCTTGATGCAGCCACCCTGAACAAGACAAGTATTCAGTCCCTCAAAGATAATGACCCATCAGAATAGCCACATGTTCCTTAACCAAACAGTGCAGTTGCAACTCAGGTGTTCTTTCTGAAACAATGAATGCAAGCAAACTGCTCAAGTCACAAGCTTGGCACAGAAACAGCTTTCAAGATTACAATTCACTTCTTTGCCATATATGCATGTAGCCATGTCAGCCATACATTTTCCATTCCCAGTGACAAAATATCTTTCCATTTTTCTGCTCTTTATCCTCAAATGGAGCACAGGCCCTCATCAATTCACACACAGTCTTTTCTTTTGTTTTTACAGGCCCCAGTCCCTCAATCTTTTAACCTCTCTCTCTAACTTCCTTATCCATGTGGGGTTCCCCCCCCCCTCCCCCCATGGTGGGAGTCTCTGCTTTTACTCTTCCGATTATGTGGGTTCCCGTGCAAAGACATTAAAGTTATATATCCGTACTATGCTAAATTCAAATGTCCAGTGTTTCCAAAATCCATAAAGAAAATTAGAAATCTTTAATTAATATTCTAAGGTAAGTGTGTACATTTTTTGGATATCAATCAATCAAGGGCCATCTTCACAACAAGGGTTGGCGTACTGGATCAAGGCTGTCTCTCACTTTATTGTACATGCTCTCAGACTGCTGTTTAACCATATCTTGATATTTTGCCACATGTAACCACTACCTCTTGCGTTCACCTGTGACTTGTCTTTCCTTTTCACTGGCTACGAACTACGGCAGAAAGTTCCGGATATTTGTCTACCTCTGGACTTTAAGTCTTGTTCCAAAACCTAAGTGTTACATGCACATCCATTTTACAGATTTGACTCGTGTGTATGCAGACTGCTGGTTTCTTGCCTCTCAGGCAGATGTGCTCTAACTCCCAATTAGTCGACTCTTATTTAAGACATGCATTTGGGTAGGCAGTGGGCTTATTCTTGTTTCCGAGGCCCGGGAATCCACACAGGGAAGATTTGTTGCAACCTGCACACAAAAAACTGCAATGAGTCAAAAGCATCAACTAGTCATCCATACCTTCCATTTGTCAAACAAATCGGTCAAAAATCCATTAACTGCCTTCTCAAAGTACATGTCACCATGAAGATCAAAATCCCACATTTCTTCACTCATTTGCATGAAGATCTGCACAACGGCTGTTGGGGATCGGAACACAAACTAAAAAATAAAACAGAAAAAGACCAATGAGCCAAATGTGTGTGCGTGTGCATTACTGTTGCGCCGTAGTAATCTAATCTGACATGACTTTGCTCCCCAAGGCTAAGTCAACAAAACCATGTTTATCATGGCCATTGAGTCACATGCATGTCAAAAATTACTGGGTTCTCAGAATCAAAGATCTGAGTGGTAATTTTTGTCTGGAGATCAGATTACAAAGAAAGCAAGGATTCTTCTGCTTTTCTTCAGCCAAAGGACAGCAGGTGCTAAACCAAGCCATGCATACCTTTCTTTGTAAGCTTGTTCTTGATTAGTTAGATTCTAGAGTTTTATTTAAATGATGAGGCAGTCAATAACTGGTTAGATTCTAGAGTTTTATTTAAATGAGGCACTCAATGACTGGTTAGATTCTAGAGTTTTATTTAAATGAGGCACTCAATGACTGGTTAGATTCTAGAGTTTTATATAAATGATGAGGCACTCAATGACTGGTTAGATTCTAGAGTTGAATATAAAGAATGAGGCAGTCAATGACTGGTTAGATTCTAGAGTTTTATATAAATGATGAGGCAGTCAATGGCTGGTTAGATTCTAGAGTTTTATATAAATGATGAGGCAGTCAATGACTGGTTAGATTCTAGAGTTTTATATAAATGATGAGGCAGTCAATGACTGGTTAGATTCTAGAGTTTTATATAAATGATGAGGCAGTCAATGACTGGTTAGATTCTAGAGTTTTATATAAATGATGAGGCAGTCAATGACTGGTTAGATTCTAGAGTTTTATATAAATGATGAGGCAGTCAATGACTGGTTAGATTCTAGAGTTTTATATAAATGATGAGGCAGTCAATGACTGGTTAGATTCTAGAGTTTTATATAAATGATGAGGCAGTCAATGACTGGTTAGATTCTAGAGTTTTATATAAATGATGAGGCAGTCAATGACTGGTTAGATTCTAGAGTTTTATATAAATGATGAGGCAGTCAATGACTGGTTAGATTCTAGAGTTTTATATAAATGATGAGGCAGTCAATGACTGGTTAGATTCTAGAGTTTTATATAAATGATGAGGCAGTCAATGACTGGTTAGATTCTAGAGTTTTATATAAATGATGAGGCAGTCAATGACTGGTTAGATTCTAGAGTTTTATATAAAGGATGAGGCAGTCAATGACTGGTTAGATTCTAGAGTTTTATATAAATAATGAGGCAGTCAATGACTGTTTAGATTCTAGAGTTTTATATAAATGATGAGGCACTCAATGACTGCTAGATTCTAGAGCTGTATTTAAAAGAGGCACTCAATGATTGGTTAGATTCTAGAGCTGTATTTAAATGAGGCACTCAATGATTGTTTAGACTAGAATCTGGGTTAGAATTGGACATTACCCACCAAGTGCTGAGTGGTCTTTAAAATATAGATCAAGCACTAAACAACCAATATGCCTTAAGGATTGGAAGGGGGGGGGGGGGTCCCTTTTTCAGTCACCTATTCCAGCCCTCAATTCTTACAACATACAGCTTTCCTTATAATCCCTGTGTGAGTTACAGGGCCTCATGGGAGCCTGCGGGATTGGGGCAGGGGGAGGGGGGGGGTATAGACTTCATTCATTCCTAACATGCAATTGTTCGTAAATATCACTTTTCCCAACTTATCTAAAGTGATTGGTTAACAAACGCATAATTAAGCTGGGAGATTTCCTTAGACATCTCATTTTATAGCTGTATAATGCACATTAATATTTTTTTCAAGTTACTTTACTGCTCAAATTATTAATTATCATAATACAAGTATATCAACAATAAAAGACAAATCTTACTCTAGTGTCTTCAGTGATAAATCCAGATGTGACATTTTCTCCAAGTGCCCACAGTTCATTAACACTTGCGCTGAAATTTTAATAAAATAACACAGTATACCTAATTTGAGCATATTAATGTATATAATTTAATGCTTCAAGAACTAAAATGTTCATCATGTTTTAACATCACATATTTGAGTTTTTGGATTCATCATGTCCCCCAACAAAAGCAGATAAACACACACACACACCGATGACTAGAAGACTAAGTGCAGTCATCTCACCAAAAAGTTCCACAAGTTAAAGGTTAGGACTAATAAAGCAGACATATCTGGGCTATCCTCCGAATAACAATCCCAAATTATCAAGGCCGAAAATATACCCTAACAGGGCCTCAGTCACATGTAAATTGCGGACTTCCGGCGCCTACCACCACCGCCGAGGGTATCTTCCGCATCGCTACGCGCTGCACTTGGGCTAAACTAGATGGCTGGGACTCACAAGCAAATAAAATGAAGGAAGCTGCAGGAGATGCGGTAGCTGCTGCTCATGATTCCCAGCCAAATAGTTTAGCACCGCTCCTCGCCACGCGTAGCGGCGCGGGAGATACTCTCGGCGGTGGCGGTAGTCACTGGAAGTCCGCAATTCAAGTCACAGGAAGTCCTTAATTTACATGTGACTGAGGCCCTGTTAGTGTATATTTTCCGTCTCGATAATTTGGGACCGTTATTCGGAGGATAGCCCATATCTGGATTCATCATGTCAACCAACAAATTAAAAAAGGATTATCTTCTTGTCATCTCAAACAGATCACAGGTCCTCCGCTAACTCGTAACTCCCACAGGAACTAGGTGATCAGGACAAATAAAGCAGACATATCTGGCTCACATATAAACTTACCGCATTTCAGCAAACTCAACTGGCTTCTTGAGGTACACACAAGTGTTCACCTAAAGGGCAAAGGGTAATTCATATATAATTAAAGTGATGAACTAACTTCTAGTACTAAAGAATAGTTATAGTTAATGCACTTATAATTCTATGTGTGATGCATTGCTTGGTATACAAAGAGTTAAGAATTAAGTTAGCCTCTGTGGCCTAGGAGTTATGAACATGATGTCATAATTCCAACATCCTGGATTCAATTTAGCTGCAGGCAATTTAGCAGCAGACTGCTCTGCCTTGATTTCCACAATGAAATAAACATCAACTGTCTCGCCCATTGGAAAATGTTCCTTAGCTTGTATTTGATCAACTTTAACTTTTAGCCCCACAAGGTCTTAACTAACGTTCAAAGAAGTTAAGAATGGTTATACTAAAACTCATCTGCATACTACTTCCGACTGATTGACTGGCACCTTTTTATCTTTTCAGACGAGAGTGTTATATTGTGCTATGAGGAAACATGGGACTCACAGCCTACGGAAATGGCGAGTCTGACTAGCAAGACCCAACCGCGTTTAAGAAAAATCTTCCACAATTATAGCAAGGGATTTCAGGACGGTTGCCAACATCTGAGTTTAGTGTGATTCTTCTCAGATGCTCAGCTCTCATCCTCTCAATACAACTACTTCCATAGAGGCCAAACACACAACCAATGCAGGAAATATGTTTTCAGAGTACTTCGGAGTCGCTCACTAAATATAAGATATAAAAACACACACGACTGATACAGGCGAATACCCAGCCCTGCAAAGTGTGAGTTTTGGACAGAAAGATATAATTTGGTTTGCAATGGTTTCATTATATATCAGCAGTAATGTGAAAAAAAATTCAGCGTTAGACTGACCAGAGTTTTGCAGAGCCTCCACATGTCTGATCTGCCAAAGTACTGGTCTTTAAACAGCAACTCAACCAGATCCAAGCTGACACTCTGAAACAGATTGGTATCATTTTAATTAGGTGACTTGTATTCTGCGGAATTCGGCAGGAGCTGCCATAGTGCAGCGACTAGGCACTCTCCTGTGGATTGGAAGGTCATAAGGTTCAGGCCCTAATGGAGCCAGACTTTTTTTTAAATGACCCTGGCTCCCACGTTGACCCCCTCCCCCCCCCCCCCCCCTTTTAAACAGGTACCAGATAAAGTCCTGGGAAATAAAGGCGGCTTGATGATGCTGACCTTATTACCCACCAAGTGCCGATCGGTCAACAAAATATAGGTCTAGCCCTGTATACCCAACACACCTTAAGTTGTGGAAAAGAGTCCTTGTGTTCCGCAGAAATAGCAAACAGTTTATTATAAAAGAAGTGTTCAATGATTTCACTTTCTCTTTTACCATTTTGAGTGTCAATGGAGATACAAGGTTATGCTTTTTGCTCTTCTGTTCGGTGTCCGTGGCTCAAGCGCTGCGAGTTCGACTCCTAATTCCAACTTACCACAATTGAAACACACTGCTGGAAGCGTGGATTTTAATCATGGTATGAGGCGCATAAATGCATTTGAATATAAATGTTACAGACAGGTTCTAAGAATATCTTGGGTAAAGAAAAGAACAAATGCATCCATACTTCAAGAGCTGAATATTGAAGAGGGTTGGCTAGTAAAGACAATAAAACAAAGAAAATTGAAATATTTTGGTCACTTGAAACGTCATGGAAGTCTAGAGAGAACAATAATGGAGGGGTATATGCCTGGGAAGAGAGGAAGAGGAAGGCCAAGGAGAAGATGGGTGCAGGATGTGGCAGATGATCTCCAGATGGGTGTATCAGACGCAGGACATCTTGCTCATGATAGGAAGGTTTTCCGGAGGGTTGTTATGGCAGCGAGGTTCCGCGAGGGACATGCTACTGAATGAATGAATGAGGCGTTGCAGGTCGACCCAGCCTAAAATGGGTACCAGGATGGGCTGTCCTGGGAAAGTATAGACGGCTGGCATAATGCTGACCACATTACCCACTTAGTGCTAATTGGTCTGTAAAAATATGGGTGCTCTTCCCATACACCCAAGGCGGATAAAAGCGTGAAAAGGGATCTTTGCTTTGCTTTATTGCTCTTCTGGCAACCTCAACCACAGACACAATCTCTTAGGTTTCCATCTGGTTCTTGGTCTACCTTGTGCTTTACATCCTTCTCGTTTTGTGTATACCTTGTATGAAGTGACATAACACAGCATTCTCTCTCAGTATATATACCTTTTGGTTTGCTGTCTACGTATGTAATTTAGAGCTGGTTTTGTGCTGATTTTTTTCTCTTATGACCTCATTCCTGATTTTATCTCTTCTGGTCACTCCTGCAGCCCTTCTCAAGACATCTCATTTCCTGGTTACTAATTCTTTACAATGACCAAGTAGATAAACTTATGTCCTTAGCAGTCACAATGAAATATGCTAGTCTAAGCAATGGTGTCTCCATGGTGAAATTGTCAAGCCATCTGCCTTGCGCTCTAAAGGTCATGGCTTTTTTTCAAGGCTGCGCCTTTCAGTTCACAAGTGAAATTTTTATGGAAATCCTGAGGATCATCACCGGAGCTACTGGGCTCATGTTTGGTGTGACACTCATGGCGGGTGGCTAGTCATTCTGCGGAGAGAGAAAGAGCCATATGTAATAAAACCAACCTTTAAGGCTTTTTAAGTATTAAGTAGAGAACCTGTCTCATGCCGCTGGTGTATAAGGCATATGATGCTAGACTCAGTGAAGGCCGATGGACACAATATGTGATGTGGTAAACACCATGCCTGGCACCTTTATTTCCCAGGTTATTTCCCTGGGAACTGCTTAAGCCTTCAAAATTATGCACCAACAAATTAAGATAAGGCTGATCAACTGCAACATGAAGTAAACAAAACTCTGCAACGGTAGTAATGAGATATTTTAAGATGTTAAGGGTTGATGAAAATGGAGAAAGACCAGCTTGATTCTGTGCGAGGGCAAAATTATTAACTCTTACAGTCCAGAGGAACACACATATGTTCATAGGTTCCTGCCGAGAAGCCCAATGAACGCAAGATGGCTGATTATGTTTCCATTTACCGCCCTTGGGTCTCTGAGGGTAAACCCCCTGGGACTGAAGAGTTAATGCAGTGTAAGAAGTCTCTTGTGTACTGTGTAAAATAATGATGGTTTCAGTGACTGGTTTCAAATGAAACTGGAGTCAGACATATTTGATTTGATCTCATTTGGCATTAACTGACTCTTCCGGACACGTATAGGACTATAAGTTACCTCATCTTGTGATGGACGAGCGAGATGAATCAAAGAAGGGGGGGGGGGGTCCCTGGACAATCGCTGGTATCAACAATAAGACAAGGATGGTTCTGTACTGGCACATCCTAAGAAGCAAACAGTATCCCCAATCAAGCCCTAAAATGGGGCTGTATTCCCTGGCTGTGAACTCCAGCAGAAGGTTCACCCACACATGGACTTCCTCGTCCTTTGCTTTTTCCGACTGTATACTCTGGTAGAAAGTTATGGTTGTTCGTCCACTTCTGGACTTCTGGTTGTGTACCAGAACTTCAGTTATGCGTGCATATCTGTTTTACGGATCTGGTTTATTTGCATGCAGACTTACTTCCTTGTCTCTCAGACAGATTCACTCCATGTTTAAACACACTAGTCACCTTTTATGAAGTACTTGTCAGAAGGCAATAGGTCTTTTATTCCCACCCTACGCACACCCCCAGATGGGGCCTAAGAACCCACTCCCCCAGATGGGGCCTAAGAACCCACTCCCCCAGATGGGGCCTAAGAACCCACTCAAGAAAGTCTAGTTCCAAGACATGAGTATTCTGTGCACATCCTGTTTTAGGTCAGGCTTTTCCCCAAAGCAATGAAGCCAATCACATTTTAAACACCCAACACCCATAAAAGAACTGACCTGTGAATCCACCCTGTTGACAACGATGTCTTGATAGAGCCTCAAACTGAAGGCATTGACAATGCTCTGATCTACACTGACAGCATCTGGCAGGCACAAACCAATAAATGTACATTTATTTAAATAGCAGGAATTCTTCTTCTTCTTCTCTTCCACCTTTTACCTCATTGAAGTGTCGGGGGGAGGGGGGGGGGGGGGGGGGGGGAGATGTTCGTTAATGAGCTCTGTCAAGAGCACTGTTAAGACTGATGTTCATTTCTGTTAGGCTGTTCTTAATGCCATCACTCCATATTTTCTGAGGTCTTCCACTCACTCTATACCCGTTGTAACGTTTAAGTGTGGCTCACTGTGGTGGATAGTACCAGGGCAATTTTGTTAGGTGTCCAAACCACTTCATTTGTTGTTCTTTGATGACCTGTAAGACTGGCTTTATTCCTAGCATTCGTCTGATTTCATATTCTGTCTTTCCTTGAAACTCCTGCAGCTCTTCTAAGGCATTTCATCTCTGTTGTTACAATTTTACGTTCATTTAATAGCAGGAATTCGTGTTTTTCTAATGCTCAGTCTAAGAGGCCAGGTGGCTGCATTACACCTGGAGAATGGAAGGTAGAGTCCCTAAGGACATCCTCTATGGTGAATTAAAGATGAGTAGAAGATGTTGAGGCCAACCTGTACTATGATATAATGATGTGTGTAAGCAGGACTTGAGTGATACAGGTACTCAAGTGGACTTGTGGGAACAAAATGCCATAAACCATGTTATGCTTTGGGGTGCAAATCAAGAAGGGATTGAAAATGAAGGAAGAAATTATTGCAGAAAGGATGAGAGCTGATCATCTGAGAAAAACACTAAATACAAAATGATGGCACGTCTTGCTGGTCACATTTGCCAACGCTGTGGCAGGTGATTCCCAAACCTTCGCATAACACATAACACTACTGCCCGGAAAGATCGAAATGTGCTGACCCAAAAAAACATTGGGGAGGGGAATGTTTTATGTTGTGTGTGTGTGTGTGTGTGTGTGGGGGGGGGGTAACTCATGGCAAAGTAGTTTAGCCGTCTGCAACATGCCAGTTCACCAGTATAGTTTTTACAGCAACATCCAAATCTGGCCCACAGGGACAACCTTGCAGGACAAACAGCAGCACAGGTTTAAGGTTTGAACAATGGATCAACATCATGGCACACTGGTAGTAACCCATAAATGTTCCATTCTTCTTCTAACTCAAGTCTAATCTGAAGAAGCTCAGCACAGTGCACAGGCTCTGTAGCACCGATGAGGATCCTGAAATACTTTGGGTAGGTTTTTAACTCCAAATTTTGCCCGGCCAGCGCCATTAGGCTACACTCTTCAATTTCCAACTGCCAAGGGATTTTTTTATGTGCGCAACAATGCACATGGGCATCCGATCATGAAAAAATCCCAGCCCTTACCGGGGATTAAACACAGCACTTCTAGCACTTGAGGCGGACACCATGCCTCAAGACCACGGCACAAGTAAAAACCTCAAGTTCAGCCTTCTGTGAACATCTAGCCATAAGCACAGAGAGATCAAACAGGGTAAAGTATTGTCCATCCCAAGAAGATACTTTCCCCAAAATCACAGTCTGGGGAATGAGGAGTGGGGGTATCTGAATTTTAATATTAAAGCCACTGCTTACACTGTATGTTCCCCACTTAGTATGCCCTTTCTCTTCTGTTTTTTATAAGGGCTTAACGCTATACAATTTCTCGGATGCTTAAACATTCTTTTTTCTGTTTCAAGAAACTCGAAACAACCATTCTCAAGCATCTGATCTAAGGCGACTGTGGCATGTTTACAAGGTTTGACTTTGAATACCTGGAACGGTGACAAAGCAAGAACAAATAACTCCTTAACTACATAAAAGGACATTGCTATAGCGATATTCAAATTGTACTCTACATATTGGTATCAACAGACAAAGCAGATGGTGCTTTATTGGGCACATCCTTAGAAGCAAGTAGAGAATCACTAAATATAACTGAAATGAGAAAAAAATAGATTGAAGAAACAATATCCAAGTCTGTTGAATTAAGAATCGACATCACAGCACTTAGGACACCCCCATAAGTGCTCAGTCCCCATCTTCAGCAGCTAGGTAAGATTTATGATTCCGATGGTACCAGTAACCATCTGTATATCCATCTCATCCTCCCCCTGAGTGTTGAGCGTCGGTCAGATCCCCTGGTAACTCCTCATAACGCCATTCTCATTAGACAGTAATGATCTATCTGCACCTCCGCACTGTTTACTCGCTCCCAAAGGGCCCTCACAATATCCTACTTGTTATACATCAACTCACCCCCAAGTGGTGCAAAGCCAGCCAGTCTACCTGCCTGCTCATTTCCCAGCACACCTGCCTGCTCATTTCCCAGCACACCTGCATGACCCAGAGAAAATATCCAAAGGATGCTAACTACCTGGAACCTCTGAAGGGATGCTTGCCCCGCTGCCTGTTTTCACCTTTCTCAACATGCTCTGTGAGTCAGTTACAATCACAGCATCTGTGTACAGCTGATTCTCAAGCCAGTGGAAGGCAGCAGAGACTGCTTCCACCTCCATTCTCCAATTAGACGTTCAATGTCCAAGAGACAACCTAACAGGAATGCTAATGAGACCAAACAAGCTGGGGTGGATTCAACCCGTGATATCAAAAGAACTGCACAGGGTGGAATGGAACAGAGGGAGAGACTGAGCCCTAAGTGACACACATTGGCATTATAACTTGATGATGTAATAATATATAAAACTGTACCTCTTTGCTGAAAATCATCCGGCAAGCTTTTAACTTGCAACAGAAGGCGGCTGAAAATATTAGAATAATTAGTCTCTGCAAATGTTACATATTTCTGACATGTTAATTCTAAAACAAGTTACAATTCATGCTAAAACATTTTACAAAAAAGGAAACACTTTACTTTTCAACTGTCAACACAAATCACATATTTTAACTACAAATACACACTAGGGCTAATTATTTGGCCACTAATTTTTAAAAGTTATAATTTCAAATTATTCTTCTGGTTTTTCTGTTTCATTATCATACAGAATGCTTTCATCGGTTATGCGTTTTGGAATGCTAAAGAATGCTTTACTAAGTAGCTATGTGGTTTAACAGGTTAGTTGCGTATCCTTTACAGAACGTTGCAGAACCAATCCCATCAGCCCTGGCTGTTGTGTGGTTTCACTAGGCAAATTTACATCCAGTAGTTTGCCACATGTGGTTTAACAATTTGGCTATAAATATGCATCTGAAATTAATTGTGCTATGTAAACTATTTCTCTACTCCTGTATCAGAGGTGGAAGGGATCCCTGGTCCGGGCCCTTTTATTCACTTTGTATAGATTACTTTTCAGTATCTCTGATATTTCCTAGATCCGTGTTCAGCGTGGTCGACCTCGGTCTCTGTTACTGCTGTATGTGTATAACACTGCTCTCTGTAGTGCCCTGTTGCTTATCTTGTTACATGACCAAAATATTTGACTTTTCTAAACTAATATCCATTAATCTATATAATTTTCCTGGATCAGATTGCTAGGACAGATTCAGAGGATGGCGGATGGTAGAGACTCCAAGGAAATCCTCTATGGGGAATTACAGACTGGCAGAAGAAGAGCCTTGATTTGACTTGCTTTGAAAAAAAAAAAGTGTTCAACCTGCATCTCCCGAAGGGGACAGCTTTTGGTTATAACTGTGACTAGGTTTATGTGCGGCATATAAAATGGCTTAGCACTGCTCGCCACCACCAAGTAGCCCTAAAAAGGACTCTTGTAGTGTTGATGAGGTCAAAAGAGACAGACACAAATACTGTCCCGACCAACAACAAAGTCGTCCACTGGCTAGCGAATGGGTGACACGGTCGCTGATGTGAAGAAGAGAAAGGTCTCTACTAATATCAATCAATCAATCAGGTGCCATCTCCACAATGAAGGTTGGCTGCAATGGATCTCCAACAAGCCCTGTCTCTTGCCCTTGATGTACACTCACTCATACTGCTGTTCGTCCATCTCTTGATGTTATCCTCCCACTTGTAACGCTGTCTGCCTTTTGCACGCCTACCTTGAACCTTTCCCTCTAGGATGATCTTTACAATACTGTTATGTCTTTTAATGTGGCCAAAATATTTCACTTGTCTCTTTTTTATTTCACCTAGCAACTCTCTTTTCATTCCCAATTTCCTCAGTACCTCTGTATTTGATAGCTTTTGTTTCCATGAAATACGACCTAATCTTCTGTATATCCACATCTCCAAAGAATTTATACGATTTTCCAGTTGTTTGTTCATTGTCCATGTCTCTGTGCCATACAGTAAGGTTGAGAATACATAACATTTGACAATTCTCATTTTTAATGTCTACTAATATACATGAATGCTAATACAGATTTGTAGAAACAAGATGTCATAGACTATTTCACATAGAGGGCTCAAATAAAGAAGGGAACCGGGATAAATGAGAAAATGCCTGCTGACAGGTTACGAGTTGAGCATCAGAAGATGCATATTAAATACATGACAATGATCCTCAAATTCTATGCTCTAATTGGGAATGACTTCTTAACTAAAGCTGGTCTTGCTAGTGATGCTTGCCATTGTCAAGGGCTGTGCGATTCCCATGCCTCCCAACAACAATATAACACTATCATCTGGAACGAGCAGAGGTGCCAACAACAATTTCTATTGTCTGCGTTCACCAACAAAATGATCTGGTTGTTCATCCACCTCTGGACTTTTCGGCTTTGTTTTACAGATCTTGCTTATTTTATGCAAACTGTTGGTTCACTGCCTCCCAGGCAGATGCACCCCGACTTTGGAGGAAGCACCGCGCCCCCCACCCACCTCCACCACCCCAATTAGTCGACTTTTACAAAATGCTTGTTAGGTAGGTAGTGGGTCTATTTTTGTTTTCCCCACAATGGGTCTCCAGGGGAAAAATTACTATTAACTCTTTCATAATTCTGAAGAACAATTGTCCTCAATTTTTTTTTTAACAATATTTTGATTATTTTCCTGTACACAATTTGCAGAATTTTACACATTCAGACTTCACTTACTTCCATTCATCATCCGGATGGTACAGTTCCAAGACATCACCGACTTTAACATCTGCAAAATCTTTTGAAGAGATCACTATCTCTTGGTCTGCAAAAATACAACCGGAATCTAACAACAAAAGTGTACACTCTACCTGCAATAAAATGTTGCCTTTTTAAAATTTCCACTCACAGCAATTTACTACCATGGGTCCTTAAAAAAAAAGGACTCATAATTTTTGCTCCGAAAGAGACCTGACGATTTGTTTTTAGGAAGCATCTTTTTATGTACAAAAATCTACATTTGAATTTAAAGCAATGTCAATAATAGGCTATCCTCAGAATAACAGTTCCAAATTATCGAGGCTAAGTAAATACCCTAACAGGGCCTCAGTCACGTGTAAATTGCAGACCTCTTTTCGGCGACTACACCGCATACCACGAAAAAGCTTCCACTGAGTTAAAGTCACTGCCAAGAGCTTCCCACATGCCACTACGAGCGGCACGGAAGGGGGCTAAACTAGATGGCTGGGACTCACAAGCAGCAGCTTCCACCTGCAGCTTCCTCCATTTTATCTGCTCGTGAGTCCCAGCCATCTAGTTTAGCCGATACGCCCGGCACGGGGGATACTCTCGGCGAGGTCCGCAATTTACATATGACTGGGGCCCTGTTAGGTTATTTTTTTGGACTAAATTTGAGACCGTTATTCGGAGGATAGCCCATTAATACATATATATATATATATTTACTTTTGTTAATTTATAATTTAATATATCCATCTTGTTTCAACGGACAATTGAAATTCTCTCATAAGGCCGCTGATCTTGAGTAGGGCTTATATTAGAGTTTATTACAAACATCCTAAAAAATTACATTAGGATTTATTTTTAGGTTAAGTCTTTTGCATCCGACATTGTAAAATATGAAAAAAAATTGTATTACAAGTGTATCTGCAAAGTAATTATTTACTTTTTGAAAATTGCTGTGATGGAAATTTCATGTCAAAATTGTAGCAAAAAATTAAAATTCTGCACCACTCAAATGGCTTTCAAATAACCAGACAGAAACCTTTATGAAAGCATAGCAGCAAACGAACTGATACAAGCTGTTGGAAACCGCAACAAATCCACTTCGCTTAGCCTTTTAGAGTGCGTACCAGGTGCAGTCCTGAAAAGTAAAGGCGGCCGGCCTGATTCTAACCACATCACCCACCAAGTGCCGACTGGTCTCTACAATATATGTCTAGCCCTATATGCCCAATACGCCTGAAGGCATGGAAAAGGGTTGCTTTCTTTTAGTCTGTTTTACTATTCATACATTCCTCCCACTTGGGTATTTTCTGCCAAATACTCTTGTGCTGGAAGAGTTAAGGAAAAGGGTTTTAAAAAAGTGGGAAAGGGGGGGGGGGCAATTATGTATATCAAGAAGCATTAAGGAGGGTTGTTGTGAGAGATACACCAATAAAATTAGCTGCAAAATTCAATCAGTTCATAATAAGTTTAAAAAGTAAAGAGAAAAAGGAAATGCCAATTCACAAATAATATGGAGAAGACATATGCAGGAGATGTCATTTTGTAAATCTTGAACAGGTTGGAAACATGCCTTATTGAAGGTCAAATACAGTGTAAGAAAAAATAAAACAATAGCAAAGAAACAAATGTGTAATTTACATGCAGACTTAACAGATCATCTCCATCAATCCGTGAACAATTTTTAGTCCCTAAGTGAACATCCTTTAGCATGCAACTGATTAGCAGTGTTAGTCCTTTAGTTTTTCACAAAGTGCTCCCCCTCTTTTGATGCGAAGTGTGTCTGGTCAAGGCTGTTGTTCTTCTTTGCGTTCACCAGCTGTGAACTCCGGCCGAAAGTTCTGGTTGTTCGCTCATTTATGGACTTTAGCCTTTTTTCCAGAACTTAAGCTTTGCGTGCAAATCTATATTAATAAAAATGTTAATTTTCAGAGTCTGTTAACTATAGACTCGCAAACTACTGAACCGATTGCTTTCAAATTTTCACACAACATTGCCTTTGACTCAAAGCGTGTTTTTATGTCAGAAAATCGCACAAACCACGAACAACATAGCTCTAGCAACATTCAATTCATTATTTGTTTCATTGTCGGCCCAGATTTGTTTTTAGTTGATTGGCCATTTTGGCTGCTGAGCAGGGCTGCCAACAAGTGCCCTTTCCCCCATGATCCAGATATTTATTTGACGCCTTGGGTTCACATTTTGCAGCGTTGTTTACTTTGTTGTTTTAATATATCCTTATATACTTACAAAACAGTGGATAAATTGTTCCTGTCATTACTATAAATATAAATATTTATCATTCTTGGCTTTTTTCGTGTTTTTTTTTTTTTTTTTTGCTTATGTTTTGCTTGGGTTTTTTAGTCACAGCTTGGGTTTTCAAACACATAACATTGGCAGCCCCGAGTATACTTTGTTTTTCCCCATTTTTTTGTATTTAATTTTTTAAAATATATTATTGTGCATTTCAATTGGCGGCGGAGTTGAACTGTCTTGATCTACGTTCGTTATGCACAAGACCATCTCCTGACTGAGTATTTGGACATGCAATGACCGGAGCCTGAGATGTTTCTTAATGAACTTTGCATTTTTAAATAATGTCTTTTCCACCAACTACTTGAGTCTTTGGTAGTGTAGTTGTAAATAGTCTGCCTATCACGCGGGTGACCCACATTCAATTCCCCGTTAGGTGATATCTTTTTTTATTTTGGCCCTTAATTGGGTGGCTGGCTGTGTTGTGGTTGATGGCTAGGCAGCGATATCTATGCCTTGTTTTCGGTTTTGGGGTTTACAGCTAGCTCCGCGCCGCGCGTAGCGGCGCGGGAGATACTTTCGGTGGTGACTTCAACTCGGTGGAAGCTTTTCCCCTGTATGCTGTGTAGTCGCCGGTAGGAGGTCCGCAATTTACAATATCAATGGCTAAACTTCAGCTTCCACAGCTACCTAGTTTATCTGCTTTTTCTGTTTTGTGTGATGGAAAGACGCACCGCTCTCTTCACACGTGTGCATATTCTAAGTTTTAGCATGATTGCTAGATAATTTAATCGGCTATCCTCCGAATAACGGTCCCAAATTATCGAGGCCGAAAATTTACCCTATGGCCTCAGTCATATGTCAATTGCCGACTTCTGGCGACTACCGCAACGGCCGAGAGCATCTCCCATGCCGCTATATGCGGTGCAGAGAGGGGCTTAACTTGATGGCTATGACTCACGAGCAAATAAAATGAAGGAAGTTGCAGGAGATGTAGCTGCTGCTCATGAGTCCCAGCCATCTAGTTTAGCCCCACTCCACACCGTGCGTAGCAGCATGGGAAATACTCTCGGCGGTGGCGGTAGTCGCAGGAAGCCCGCAATTTAAGTCGCAGGAAGTCTGCAATTGACATGAGACTGAGGCCCTGTTAGGGTATATTTTCTGCCTCAATTTGGGACCGTTATTCAGAAGATAGCCATTTAATCTCATATGTAGATAGTTGTGCCAGTGTATTAACACAGAGGACAAATTTTCTCATGCTGGGGATCTACATTAAAACAATTCTTCCAAATACAAAAATAATCGGCTCTCCTTTCAACTTCGGCTGGTAGACATAACTCCGACTAACCGGCCGTCGATGTTTGTCTACCGGCCGTAGTTGAAAGGAGAGCCAAATAATCTGTACCTTATTTCTAAAAATGTATATTTTTTTATTAAATGACTACTACTATTCAATATATACATGGAAAGAATAACAACAGCAGCAAACCATGTAATGATAAGCAAACTGTTAACTACACCAAGCAGTGAGTCAGAGTTAGTTGAAAAAGATCATTATAATGAAAACATACACGCCGATCCTGAAGAAGTACATCCCCAACTGAACGAAATACTTTTCGCAGACGACCAAAGCATAATACATAAAAACGAAAAAGAACTTCAAATACACGTAATTGCGCTACACACAGTCTGCAACGAATATAACATGAAGATCAGCATCACCAAAACAGAAATTATGAAAATAAGTAGAATACCTAATATACTAACAATTCAAGTTAACAACGAACAACTCAAACAAGTGCAGCAATTTAAATATTTGGGGAGCATCTTCACAGATGATGGAAGAATTGATAGGGAACTTGAGGCAAGATGTCAAAAGGCGAACGCAGTAACTTACCAAATCTCCCCACTGCTAAAACACCCAAGCATCACTATGGCACTAAAACGACAACTGATAAATTTGCATATTTATACCAACCCTCTGCTACCAATGCCAAACCTGGTCCCTAACAAGAGCACAGGAGAAAAAGATCACGACGTGCGAAATGAGATGCTTACGTAAGGCTGCCAATGTCACAAGGAGAGACAGAGTTCGAAACGAGAACATTAGAGCAATTGTAGGAACCACACCATGCCTGCAATACATAAAGAAGCAACAAATAGAGTGGTTTGGCCACTTGATGCGAATGCAAACCGATCAACTGCCTCTACGAGCATACAACGAACAGCACTACTGCCCTAAAGCAAGAGGCAGACCGAGAGTACGATGGATAGACAATATATCAGAGATCCTGAAGCAACACGGACTAACAACAACACGTGCAACACACCTGGCCCAGGATAGAAAACTGCGACTCCCCACTACGCTGTGAGGCAATTGTGGACAAGACAAGACAAGACAATGACTAGCAAAAGGCTCCATTTCTTAACTTTTCTTCAACGCTTTGAGAATATGGCTACACAAGAAAAGCAACTTGAAAGTGCCAGTTATGACTGGTCTATATTTAGCTTTAGCGCTATATGCCAAAGGCGTGAAAACAGGTTCTCTTCTTTATAAATACAGAATACATCTGCATGAATATACTAGATCCCTACTGGTGTTTCAACTCTTCTGATCTGAGCATTTCATGTATGTTATGAAAGTAGGTAGTCTTTGCAAACGTAATAATAAGATTATAATTAGTGTGTAATAAATGGCTCTCCTTTAAATAACGGTCGCTAGCTGGAAAGCCGACGGTCGCTTAGTCGGAGTGCGCTCCCTTGGCTGCATTGCAAATACGGAGTGGAAAAGTCATGAATTAAAGACAAGGTCAACACGGCAGTTAGACATCGAGCTCGGACTCACAGTAGCAACCACGCTCTTGCGACGCACGACTTAGTTGCCACGGATGTGACTCCTGCAGATCTGTATGCCTTAACGACCGATAAGTTTGCGTGGTTAGGAGTAGGGTTAGAGTTAGATGTGACAATTTTGACGCAGTTCCAAATTATTGCGCACAGTGACATACACACCCAAACAACTGAAGGACTGTGGATGCTACTCAGAGGAACAATTCGCTAACCCTACCCCTAACCCACACCCTACGCAACCGTATGATGACAGGTAAGTATGTCATTTGTGTCGTTCCCTCTTTACGCTCAGTATTTGCAATGCAGCCAAGGAAGCGCACTCTGACTAAGCGACCGTCGGCTTTCCAGCTAGTGACCGTTATTTAAAGGAGAGCCCAATAAATAAACGGGGCGCCGAAATAAGTAGCGACTACAGTTTCGACAATTAGCTGTCTTTTTGGTAATTTCCATTACCATGGAAACCGTTTGAAACTTGTTTAGGAAATGTCGGCTGGGGTTTCGGGATGGGTCCTAATCTCTCATGAAATTTTGCGATTGGTGTGATTTTCACCAGCTATAAATGGCTGAAAACGGCGGGAACAAGCCCGATTAACAGCGCATGTCTACGACAGCCGGACGTCCTCTGTTTTTCTGTTACATCACTTTGATTGAACATAGCGGTAAGTATTCAAGGTTGGCTTTAGGCCTTAAACATTACCAGACATGGTAATGCTAGTTATAATTGAATTCTCCGTCCAATTTTAAATTTGTGTATAAAATTTTTGTCTTATCTGTGGCTGTTTCGATTTACAGTGACATTTTTCATGCAATCGCTATTATGTGGCTGTGTCAGCCATCTTGTCAAATGAAAACAAAGCCAAAACGAAAGTTGCGCAGTTTGGTTGCGCAGAGAAAACTTCTTGTTTCTCAGACAAGTTTTGGCAGCTGTTTTTTACATATCTCCATAAAAACCTACATATCTCAGCTCAGAAATGACATACAACCCTAAATGAGGTACCGTTGGAAAGAGATTGTTTACAGCTATCTAGCTGTGCTGGTTTTATTGGTATAGAGGGAATTTTAAAAATTTTACTTAAGTATCTAAAATAAGCATATAGAGCGACAAGTTTGACGCAAACGACCTGCTGCTAAAATAAAACTTTAATGTGGAACGTTAAAACCTGTTAGCAGACGCTGTTGGAACATATTTTTTTACACAGATATAAATAACAAAATCCAACAGGCATAATTAAAACTGATATACTGTAGAAATGCAATAAGCATGGTTAGGTCGACAACAGCAGAGCAATGCTCATGATCAGCTGTTGATCATTAATTTTTGTCAGATGGGGGGGGGGAAAATACAACAATGAATGAATGACGGAATTTGCCCTCGGCAGTTCAATAAACTATACAGAAACAAATGCATTACTTTTGTTGGGTTTATTGTGGCAGGTAAGTCTGCACGTTTTCATGTTGCTGGGTTAAATAAAAATCCTTCAAGAATTAAAAACTTCCACTCATCCTTGCAAGGAGGCTGCCTCACGACTGGTCGCGAATGTCGGCTGCTTGATTTTGTCAACCATCTCGATCACGTGAACGGTGTTCACCCACTGTTTTATGCCACGGTAAAAACGTTCCTTTTTCATCAGTATCCATCAGTCTAAAAATATTAAACACGGGAACCCACTACAGCATCCTGCAGACTCCTTCGAAATTCGCACATTTATAAATAAGGACTTTTAACTCTTTAAATATTCGACAGTTTTTGGTTCCACAGTTTCTATACTATAGTGTATAATTTAGAGTGATAGTGAGATTGAGATAGTCTTTGCACGTCACTGAGTTAAAGTAATACAATAATGGGAGCACATTTAACATCATCGTCATTTCCCTGATGTCACATAAATGTCACATAGGGCTCTCAGACTACTTTTGTTCTCTCTCTTTAACGTTCTTTGTATTATTTCTTTTTGGCGTCCTCACCTCCTTAAAAGCTGCTTACGTATTGTCAGTGCGTACAATAATTTCTTGTTATTTTCTTCACCATCAAAATTGTTGTTAGTCTTCAATAGACTATGTCTTTTCAGAACTTATTTTTAATCCAACTTTTGATCTGTTTTTCTTTACGTGTCGTTGTTTTTACTTAGCAGAGCAATGTCATCAGCAAACTCGAGATCTTCCTTACGTGTGTTCTCTACCCGATCAATGAGGGTATTTCCGACACCGGCAATGACCAAACAGTTCGCATAATATTTGGGATGCAGACCAAGAGACATAAAAGTGCATGGCTTTTGACAGCTGCATGGAGGAATATCATCAGTGGAATTTATCCATAACACCAAAGACCGAGATCTGTGGAGATGCATGAACGCCTACGCCAGCTGACAAAGTACTTGTTGACACTTGGGATACAGGGGATTTCTGTAACAGAAAATTGTATGTGTAAAGGACCCTTTTCTAAGCCTTTCAGTCCTATTTTGATATATAGGGCTACCTATGTTTTGTAGACTAAACGGCACTTAATCGGTGGTGTTGTCAGCATCACGCCCATCGCCTTTACTTCCCATGACAGTACCTGGTACCCACTCAATGCTGGGTCGACCTGAGAGCCAAGGTCATTTTTGAAAAAACATCCGGCCCTCGTCAGGAACCGAACCCACGACTTTCCGATCCGCAGCCGAGCGTCTAGCCGCTAGACCACCGCTGCTCCCTGAAGTAAGTGTAGAGTATCTGATTAAACAAAGATGTAATGGTTTGGTTCTAGAAGAGTTAAAGTCTTTCTAAATCGTCTAATTCGTCATGCATTTATTTGTTACCCATTCACCACGTGATTTTCTACAGAAAATTGAAAATGTGTGGGTCAAGAGGCGAGTAACTGATAACGGAAAGTGTCAGTGTTTTTCAACACGCTCAGCTGTGACCAGTGATTGAGGATGTGCGAAGAGTGGCGTGACAAGGGTAAGTTACAAAGCGCTGATACGTCGTGCTTAATCATCATCATCATCATAAACCACTTCTGCCGTTAAGCGACGTGGGGAGGAATAATTTGCGATCCAGTGCACGTTGGCTGCCACTGGCTATTGTCATGCCGTGAAGGCGTAGTGTGTCTTTAATGTTTTCGATTCATGTTTTATGTGCTCTTGTAGCTGATCTTCTGAGATGTCGTGTTTGTGATGGTATATGACCTTGCTGCATTCTAACGAGATGGCCACTTGATATGCTGTTTCTCGATGAATCTAGTACAAGGTGTGGTTCCCACAATTTGCCTGATAGTTTCATTATTCACTTGTGCTTAATGATATGCAGTATTTATACGTTGTTCTATTGCAGTTTGCTTCTCTTTCCTCCCAGACTGTCTTGTTGTCTGGGGGATTCCAGCTTAGCCCTTCTGATGATATGACCGCAGAATGTAGATTTTTTCCTTTTTTTTTTTTTTTTCACTTCTCTTCGTAGGTAATTTTTTTTTTTTTTTTTTGTAGGAACATCTTCATTTTGGGATTTTTTAAATGCCTATTGCGTTGTTTTACCTCCCCCCCCCCCCCCCCCCCCCCCCCATTGCAGCTGTAGGATTAACATTTCAAAATTTTGGAAACCATGTTTAACCAAGTCCGTCTCCAGCTGAAGTAGGTCATGGTTCAACCATAGACATAGTTTTTTTTTTTTTTTAAGTTAGTTGTGTGCCCTTCATAGGACTTTGCAGAACTACCCCAGCATTTTTCAGTTGTTTGTTATTTCCTGAGGCAATTGTGCGTTCTGTAGTTTGCTACTGCTTCCTGAACGGTCCTTTCTCGATACCACTGTTGAAACCAACGCAAGGCGCTTTGCTGTCAAAACTTGTCAGTGACGTCTTTGTCTCCTGGGAAAGGGGGGGGCAATCGCCAGCCAACGTAGAAAAACAAAAACAACATAGTTTCAAAACTGAAGAAACGTCCCGCATGCTGCGTTTCCCCTGTACTACTTCTTACTTGTACACAGGCGCCTGCAGCACCTCAAAGAGACGCACGACAACGCAGCCTCCCACATGCATTACATACGACGAGCGAACGCCAAGCCATATCATAGCACCCCCACAAAATAGGAGAGGTCCTGTGACCTGATGAGACATGAATGGAAAGGGAAGTTACCCTCTTTTTGCGGCAATAAACGTTATTATAACCCACGGCCTTCTCTATTTATTAGAGAAGGCATTGTTATAACCCTACACAAAAATTGCATTCCATATTGGGACGGCGATACATGCAGCAACAAATCATGAAAACCCTGCTTAACCGTATCTGTACTATAAATCACAAACCCTTTTTGTATGTTGTGAGTTCATTTCAATTGAACTGTTAATTAACTTCTCCCAAAACGTTACTGTCACACAAGTTAAATCTTCACTTGCCACTATAGCTGTAGCGTTTAATGGAACAGTCAAACTGGCGGCCATGTTTATGAGCATTTCCTTTATTCATTGCAACAATCAAAGTAAACGTTTGCTGGGGTTTTATGCTTTTGAGTTTTCTTTCTATTGCGTCTCTTACATTACTTTTATTTTTAAATTTACATGTCACTTATATCTCCATTGAAACTTAGACTGTAATATATAGGCGCTAGAAGATGTGAATTCTTTATCGGTCAAATCTGGGGGAATTGCTAACATAAAATTACTACATAAAATTCTGAGAAAGGATAAAAGAGAATCACCAAGCATCCACTGAAATGGGACATTGATGGGTTGAAAAAAACGAGGGTGTCGAAGAGGAAAGTATAGACGAAAGGCTCCGCGAAGTTTCCAACACGTGTATAGCAGTAGTGGAGATCATAATGAGGTAAGGTACGAAAGGATAACATTTTCTTTTATTTTCACGGGCTTAGCCGGGGAGTTAGATCTGACAGTCCTATTCTGAAAAAAAAAATACCGTGCGTCCTTCATAGGACGTTTCAGAACCAACCCCCGCCTGTTTTTGCTAGTTGTGATTTCTCTATTTAATTTATGATCAGTAGTTTGCTATGTGCTGTTCGGTTCTCGATACCACGCCAAATCAACGTAAGGCAGTCTGCTGCCAAATCGCACCGCAGCCATATCGAACTCGGTGCCAGGGAGTTACGAAGTGCACTCGCAACGCAAAAGCCACATAGGCCGAGGTAGCTACTTCCTTATTGTTATGTAAAAGTAAAGTAGTTGAGGAGCCCTTTGCACCGGCACTCTGTGGGTTATGTGATTAACATCACGCTGGCCGTCTTTACTTCCCATGACTTTACCTTGTACCCACACAATCCTTGGTTGACCTGACAGCCAAGGTCATTTTTGTAGAAGACTAAAAAATCCGGCACCGTTTGGATTCAAATCGACGACCTTCGGATTCGAATCGACGACCTCCGGATTCGCAGCCGAGCATCTAGCCGCTACACCGCGACGGCTCTCCAGCCGTGTTTCCTTACACCGAAAATCTTAATAACATCCTAATAACATGCCCGAATATACCATGTTGTCTTGACAGATTTATTGAGATAACGATATAATAAGTAAGTAAAGTAAGTGTCCCTTTTCCACGCCTTTATGCGGATTGGGAATATAAGGCGAATCGGAACTTGGTGGGTGATGTGGTCTGCATCACGCCGGTTGCCTTCACTTCCTAGGACTGCACCTAATACCCACTCAAAGCTGGGTCGACCTGTTAATCAAGGTCATTTTTGAAAAAATTCTGGCTCTGTCAGGAAGCGAACCCACGACCTTCCGATCCGCAGGCGGGCGTCTAGCCGCTAACTCCTCGGCGACTCCAAGACATATAATAGGAAAGCGAAAAATATTGTATTTACAGCATCATGTTATTGCTGTGAAACTGTTATGGTTTGTTGTGAGCAACCATGTCTGGCACTGGAAGCTTTTAAGTGGGAATCATATGATTTGTATGCATGGACATGACATGCTGTGATATAGAAATTCGGTCGCATCAGGCGGCACGGTAAGTGGGAAGCCTTAAGCAGAGAAATCAATACACAATTTGAACTTTTGATCTGACAGCGCGAAGCTATTAGGGACGGCATTTCAAAGATGTGCATAATGCTGATAAAATATACGGCTTCACGGCCCTTTTTGTATAAGATATTTCTTTGTGTTGGTTTGGGTTATCTCATAAGTTGTGTTGTCACAGAAGGGGACGGGGGCTGTCATAATAAGATAATAAGATGGGGTCAACCACTGAATGTAAAATTGTCTTTTAAAAATACAAACACTCAAAAATCGTAATTTTTATTTGTAACCATGGATACCATCCCACTGTTGAGTACCCGGAAATGAAAAAGCTAATACCCTAGCTGAGTCGGCTCTATGGCTATGTCGACGCGAACGCTTCGTAATGCCGGGGTTCGATCCCAGCTGCGGGCCATACGCCTTGCGTTCGTTTCAACAGTGGTATCAGGGAGCCGACCGTCTAGGAGCAATGGCAAACTATTGGACGTAAATTTGCCTAGTGAAACCACACAACAGCCAGGGGCTGATGCGGTTGGTTCTGCAACGTCCTGTAAAGGATACGCAACTAACCTTTCAATACCCTAGCTAGTGAATTTGTAAATGAAGAACAACCTGATGTAAGAGTATCTTATCAACAGAGGAAGAGAATAAACAAATCAATCAGAAAGCCACCAAAACTGGCACAAGACGATTACCGAATTATGGGCGCCTTAGATCAGGACACAGTCGACATCGCAGCCACACGTACACACAATTTAAAATGGGCGAATCAGCCATATTCTCACGTGAATTGGCACCTGAGAAAACAGCCCATGTCCTCCAAGACTGTCCCAAATAGGCTACAACATATCAAAGCAAAACTGTTGGCCAAGAGAAACACCGTTGCAGACCAAACTTTACGGGTCGCTGAGTGAATTACAAAAGACAGAGAAGTTCATACTAGAGACAACATTGCATAAATAGATAATCTATTTCAATCGAACATAAGAAGAATAAGAGGTTTGGGACGTCCTGCAAAGGATTAAGGACGATCTATCGGTTAACACTGGTTTTATAATCCATGGGAGCTGCAGTGATTAGCGGTTAGACGCTCACCTGCGGATCTGAAGGTCATGGGTTCGAATCGGAACGGACCGAACTTTTTTTTTCATAAATTACCTTGGCTTCCAGGTCTATCCAGTTTCTTCTTATTCTTCTTCTTTCGTTCGCCTGAAATAAGTTGTCTATATCAGCAGTTTTTTTCCTTGTATAAATTTCACTGTCGTTGTTAGCTCTTTCAGTGGCCCATAGAGTTTACGTTCCACTGTTGTTCTTTCTGGCCAAAAGGATTGCCTTAATGTGTCAAATTCGGTGCTGTCCTGGAGTACATGCTCTGCTATCTGGGGCACATTTCCACAGGTGCACATCGCTGATACACCTATCTTGAATGTTGTGTACATGTGGTTACGTAATCGGTTGTGCCCTGTTCTGAGGCGGAGGATAATGACTTGTTCTGATCTGTCCATAATAAAATAGTCGTCTTGTGCTGGGGCGGGTGGTTTCCTGATCGATTTAAAGATTCTTTTCTTTTGGTGGTATGTGACTGATACATCCGGCTGCTCTTTTGGCGCACCTTTCCCTGCCAGTTGATCAGCTTTCTCATTTCCAGGCACTCCACAATGAGACGGTATCCACTGCATTACAACTCTTCGCCGAAGGCTGAGTTGTGTCAGCAGTGTTTGCAATTCTGGTAGTTTCCTAGACTGGAGTGCTTCAAGTACTGATTTAGCATCTGTCAGCATTACCACATACTGTGAGCCAAGATTGGTATTTAGCAGTTTCTCTGTTGCTATCTTGATAGCTTGAGTTTCTGCTTCATAGTTATGGCAGTACTTCCCGGTTGGTACGCTGGACTTATCCCTAGTACCATCTGGGAATTCGATGTACATCCCAGCACCACCATTTCTAACTGCACTTTCTGTGGACCCATCTGTATAGACTCTGACCCATTGTTCTTGTGGGTATTCTTCATCAATATAACTGAGGGTGGCCATTCTGCGTTGCTGGGGTCCTAATGGAGCAATGATGCGCAATACAAGACTCTTAATATCTATTAGCCTCTCTTGCTCAAGCCTACCTCACCTTCACGTGGTGGACCCTGTTCTTCCCAGCAATCCAGTTGAAGGTTGGGGTCTCAACCCCCAGCGGGAAACTGGATGGGACAACAAACGAGGTAAAGGCGAAAGACGAATGGATGAGCCTACTCTCCTCGAGTATGATCACAGTCTACTCTAGCAAAACAAGGTGCTGAAGTGGGAGGCAACCAGCCAAGAGGCGCAGCAATCAGGATGCCACGCACACACGCTATGGAAATATGTCTACCCAGTTTTCAGTGAGTGCTAGGTAATATCTTGGAAAGTAAAGGCGCCCCGGCGTGATGTTGACCACATCATCCGCCAAGTGCGGATTGGTCTATTAACATATAGGTCTAGTCCGAAATGCGCTGAAATGCCCAATGCGCTGAAATGTGGGAAAGGGGTCCTTTACTTTACTGCACCTATTAAAATCCAAAGGTCCCACTTAAGTCAAGGAATTAACGACTTCCGACTCGACCTGAGGTTTTGTCCAAGAGACTGACTCCTCCTCCTCTTGTCACTTGTAGCTTAGACGACTTGGCACGAATCGTTTTTTCCGGTAGGGCACTGTGATGTTTGGTGATCAACGTCATATTTCAAAACATCTTCATACAAAATAGGACAGAATAAATTCTGTTTCGATTTGTCAAGCTCTCACATTCGACTTCTTCCGCTATTATATAAAGTCATTTTTCGTGTGGAATCCGGCGCCCCCTTGTGCGGAAAACAAGAAAAGGACCACTGCCTCCACAGAAAGCATGCCGTAGGAGTCGACTGGAGCTTCCTTCGAAGTCGGAGTGCATCTGCCCGAGCAGCTATGGGACAGCCAGCTACACATCAATAAGCCAGTAACACGGATGTACACGCATAGCTTCAGATGGATGAACAACCAGGACTTTCCGCTGAAGCTTCCAGCTGGAGAACATGGAAGAAGATATAAAGGCCTAGTCAGGAAGTCTTTCTTACTGTCATTTCCAATTTTGTATTTTCGTCATTTCTAATTGATTCATTTGCATTGGTCCATGCACGATTTGAAATGACTTGAAACGTGAAGTGACTTGACTCGGGATTCGACTTGAAAGCATTTTTAGTGACTTGAGACTTGACCTGGGACTTGGTAGCAATGACCTTGGACTTGACAGGTGGCAACTTAGTTCAACCTCTGTTTAAAAAAAAAAAGTACACAAGAATACAGGTCGAGGACTATCGAAAGAATTTTAATGTTTCCATCCTAATGGATGATCATAATGCTGACAGTTATACGTGACGAAGTGGTAAAGCCGTTTGCTTCGCATTCTCAAGGTGGCGAGTTCCTTTCACAAACGCGTTTTTCAGTCAATTTTACGGAGATCCACAGGGATCGTCGCTGAAATTACCAAGCTAGAGTTATGTGTGACCATTCTCGTCAGGTAGTAATCTTCTCTGCAGTCAGACACTGAGCCACATAGGATAAAACCCAGTGTAATAATGTCGATTCTTTCCGAAGACGCCGAAAACAGAATTATTCCACTGGTTCTTGGTGGAACGTCGCTAGCTAGCTTGGTTTGGACGTGGTGAGACATGATTCGGTGGCAAAGACTGTAGTTCAGTGAACATTGAGGGTTAATCGAAGAAAATGAGAGCAAAGAAGAACCTGGAATACCAACATCAAGAAAGTTACAGGATTTGGTTATCATTATTCATCAAGTGGAAGACAAGAGAAAAATGGCTGGATTGTGTACTACCAGGGCTGTCAATGCTGGGTTTTCCCCCCAGATCTGAGTTTTTCTTAGATGCCTTAGGGAAATCTTGGGGTTTTTTTTCTTTAAATATATCCTTATATAAAAGTGGTAAATGTTTCGTTTCCGAACTATAAATTTTGTACATTTTAACAATCTGGGGTTTTTTTTTTGGTTCTTTGTCTATGTATTGCTTGGGTTTTTGTTTAGCGAAGCTGGGTTTAAAAAAAAAAAACAATTGGCAGCCCTGACTACTACTAGTGTTTTCATCGATACACCCCCGCGACCCTAAAGGGTCAATGGTTATTTTGTTACATATGATCTGGCTCTATCAGATATTTAGCTCGCTTTCATAGACTTCTCAACAATTTATTTAATTATAAAAATTAAAAGAATCTCTAAATTCCTAGTACAATTTGTGTATTACGAAAACATTCAACCACACTTATGGTGAAAATTGTTAAAAAGTGTAGAAAATTAATAGCGTTTATCCAATTAAGTAAAACATGGCTGCAAATGTATAGAAACCTGGCAACGTTAACCAGTAACACGTCCATCACCAACAAAATGGCTGGTGTGTTTGGGGATTTGGGTCTGTTTTCTGAATTTGAGAAGGACCGGGAGGCGCAAGGAAGTTTTATACATTACGACGAAGAAAATGTAAGGTCTAGAATTGTATTTGAAGATTACGCGGAAGATGAGAATAAATCGGAAGACGAGGGAAGGAATGAAGAGATTGAAGAAGCATCAGCAAGCGATGTTGTCGTTGAGAACAGGAAGGTGCAGAACCGTGATGTTGAAGATTCGGATTCTTTGCCGACTAAAAGTCCTACTGAAGATCGTGAGGATATAAGAGAGCAGTCAGCACTGGGTGCTAAGAAGGGAGCATCATCATCATCAAATGGCGGCCCAGTGAATAAACGGCAGTTGCCAGAAGATGATGCTGCTAGAACGGCTTGGTTGAGTGAGCAGTTGTATGCAGAAGCAGGGGAAGAGGCAAAACACAGCAGTTGTGCTAGCACACAACAACTGATTTATGAGAGTATCCTTTTTTAATGAGATTTTTGTATGAATTTAATGCATGTAATTGTAGTAATAGTTAAAAAATATTGGCAATAATTTAAGAAATAATAATATTCAAAAAAACAATTTTTCTTGTTATATTATAAATTGGCTCTCCTCCGAACTTCTACCCCCGCCTTATGGCGGCAACAAATATATTCTATTAAAAATATGCCGGCTCCATATATCGAAACAAATGCTCTAACAGGGTCTCAGCGATATGTTACTTGTGGACCTGTTTCTGTGACTACGCCTCACCGCCAACCATATCTGTATAGATGGGGGCTAAACTAGATGGCTGGGACTCACGAGCAGCAGCTACCGCATCTACTGCAACTTCCTCCAATAAATTTGCTCGGTAATCCCAGGCACATAGTTTAGCCCCCCATCCGCGCAGCGGCGCGGGGATACTTTCGCGGTGAGTGTAACCACGTTTTGCGCATGCCGAAAGGTTTGAGGACAACAACGATGCTAATCTGTGTCGGCGCACGTGGTCTACCCGCCATGTGGCTTTTATGGTCAGCAATGTTGCGTGTCGAAATTGTCAATGGTCGCTAGTATCGTCTGCAGAAACACTCGAAAGTGTCAACGGTCGCTATTATCGTCTGCTACTATCATCTGCAGTGTTGCGTCTCTTGAAATTGTCAGGTAATCCTAGTTTTGCAGGGATTCGTTCGTCGCCGGAAGTTCGCATATTTTTTATAGGACTGTTGCCGCCATAATGCCGGGGTAGAAGTTCGAAGGAGAGCCTATAAATTTAAATGAGTAGCCCACAGAAGAAACAGTAAAAAAATGTATTTTTAAATGTTACTGTAATTGAAAACATTATTTTGCAGTTGTAAATTTAAATAATACGGACACAAACAGTGTCAGATGCATTACTACGATTCAATTAATGTATATTGAGCATAAAATAGATCCTCAAATGGGGAAACACTCAAAAATTTATGGTGGAGAGATGTACAGCCAAACGTGACAATGTGATTGTTTTTTTTTTAAAACTTTTTTTATGTCAGCACAAAGGATTTTCATGGCATGTATGCGTGGCATCCTGATTGCTGTGGTGCGCCTCTTGGCTGGTTGCCTCCGACTTCAGCACCTTGTTTTGTTAGGGTAGACTGTGATCATACTCGAGGAGAGTAGGCTCATCCATTCGTCTTTTGGCTTTACCTCGTTTGTTGTCCCATCCAGTTTCCCGCTGGGTGTTGAGACCCCAACCTTCAACTGGATTGCTGGGAAGAACAGAGTCCACCACGTGAAGGTGAGGTAGGTTTGAGCAAGAGAGGCTAATAGACATTAAGAGTCTTGTATTGCGCATCATTGCTCCATTAGGACCCCATTAGAAGAAGAAAAAGAATGCTTAATAATTTGTTGATCTAACTCTGTAGACTACAGTGTAGTAGTATTGAAGCTAACAAGATGCAGTGAAATATGTCAGGCAGTATATTGTGCAATGTAATGTTTGTTTGTCGATGACTTAGGCCAATTCTAGCACTGACAGTTCTTGAGCAGTGTGCACAGGGAATTGAGGCTGCATTTCTCTGGTAATTTGCTTCAGTGTCTTTCCTGGCTTGTCTTTTCTGAATTGCTGCTGCAGTTCTAGCAACTTCATGGGCCACAACTCCTCAATGTAGCGAGGAGCGTCAGGATGGGCGGTCACATGCAGCAATTTCCCAAGTTATAGGATCAATACAGAAGTCTTTCAGTGAGGTGTTGAGGTTGTCCTCAAAACCTTTCTTCTGTCCACTTGAGAGTGTTTTCCTTTTTATAGCTCACTTCTTACGTATAATGTTTTGCAATGCCACATAGCTGACCCTAAAATGTATTGTTATGAATTACTTCCTGAAACATTGCTAGTCTTGCCATTACCTTGGCTGTGATTCTCATGCCCTCCTGTAGCACAGTACCGAATAACAGGGAATGTGACAATGAGTATATATTTGTTTGCTCTTTATACTTAAAATGTAACATTCAAAATAATTTTTTTTTAAATGGGGATGTAACAGTTTGAACGAGTGAACTGGACATGGAAAAGATCAGTTGAACTAATTGTTAAATGCACTGGTGAAAATATATGATTGAATAACAGCAACAACAAAAAACCAAAAAATATGGATAGATGGAATATCCGAGCCTGTAAAAAAGAGCATCTATGTGGCACACACCCAATGCCTTTTCAAAATCTTTTGCTGAAGAGCAGAATAACACTTGAGGAGAAGGATTAAACAAAATAAAAATGTATGGTTGCAATACGAGATATTGCCTATTTCTGAAGGTAAACCGTAATTGCCATTTTCATTCAACTCTACCTTAACCAAAAACAGGAAATAAATATCGCCGATATGCCAAGATACTTGATTCTACAAGGTAGGTCCTGTATTCAGGTTCATGTTTTGTGTTTGTCAGCGTCATTATGTTCTGGAAAAACAATAAGAATTCTCCACTGGATTTTACAGCACAAAAAACTCAGGTTATGGAAAAACAACCAGAATTTTCTGCTGGAGTTTCATCATCAGGTGCCTTGCTGACTAACGTGGGAGACTGTGCCTCTCCACAATCTGCGATCTCCTGCAGCATGTATCAGTTCGTGTGCTGACACACCTCCATGCCATGCAACAAGACTGTCAAGAATCCTCTCTCGTTGTCTTCCTCCTCAATCCTCCATCCAGAGATCTTTCCAGTGGTCACATGATGTTCCTTTTTTTCCTCTTCTCATAACATGTTCGAAAATGGTGACTGTCTCCTTCTGATGTCTGGGATGAGCTGTCTTCGGGCTCCCGCCTCTTTCAAAACCTCTTGGTTGCTATTTTTGGCTGTCCAAGGTATTCTAAGTATTCTTCTGTAAAACCACATCTCTGAGGCGTCAAGAAATTGTTTGGCCTGCCTACCGATTGTCCAGGATTCACAGCCATATGTTAAAACTGGATGTATGTAGCAAGCAAGAACTCTTTTTCTAACTCTCAATGACAAAAATATATTGCACAAGGTGTTCTTCATTTTATAAAATGCAGTTTTTGCATGTCCTATTCTGTTTTTTATTTCAGTTATGCATCTTCCATCTGATGTTATCCATGTGCCCAGATACTTAAATTTCTGTACTAGCCCCAAAATAACACTGTCTACTTTTATTACACATTTAGGAATAATTTGTTTCCCCAATATTCAAACTGAGAGCTGGAGTTTACAGCGCACAAATCTTAAGTTCTGGAAAAAACAATCAGCTTTTTTCCACTTGAGTTTACAGTACATAAACATTAAACTCATGTTCTGGAAAAACAAAACAAATTTTCCCCTTGAGTTTACAGTACATAAACATTAAACTCATGTTCTGAAAAAATTTTTTTTACAAATTTTCCGCTGCACTTTACAGCACACAAAACTCAAGTTCTGGGGGAAAAAAACCAATAGGAATTTTTCTGATGAAGTTTACAGCCTGTGAACACTAAGAAGAAGATGAGGCCCAGCTGAAAACGAGTACCTGGTAATGTTCTGACACGTATATTTGGTCAGCGCGCAGTTGATCACATCATGACTGAGTGCCGATAGGTTTATACAAATGTGTATAGCATCAAATGCATAACCTGCCACTGGCATAGAAGTGAATCCTTTTTAAAAAAAATTAAATTTACCCTCTGAATACTTGCATATTGATCTTCTTATCTGCCCTTTGAATTCTCCTAATTGTGTGAATATACCTTCTTTTTGACTTGCAACTTACCACCATCCGCACTTACGACCACACAACAAAAAGTAAACAAAGATAGATACCTAAATTGGGAGGGTCAGAAAGTTCTCAGAGTTGATGCAACAGAGTTCATATATGTATTTTCTGCATTATATGCAATAATTATTTATACATAGATTAAAATTGTGTGTGTTTCATGTGTACTGAATAACTAGTTTGAAGGAAAATAGCGTTGAAATTTAGAGCCTTGGTCAGTTTTTATTTTTAAAAAATCCAGGGGTATGAAACTTATAACCACCAAGCAGACTGACAGGCCTGCTAACTATTGCAACATCATGGCCTCCAGTTACTAAAAACATGGATTTAAAAAATTTATTTAGAGTCATTATTTTGTGCAAAAGTTATTTTTTCTTTTATGTAAAGGAAAGTAATCACCAAATGTAAATGAAACAAATAACTGCTTTCCTTCCCTTTGACCAAGAACACTCAGGTTTGGTTGACACAGCCACCTAGAGCAAAGTGATGGCATCATAATTTATGATATTACAGTGACAAAAAACAAATTTGCTTTTTTAAACCCCGAATAATATCTGTAAAAATTTGTTGTTGTTGTTAAAATATAGTCATACTCATTACTGCAACCTGACTGGGATCTTTCTAGACAATTGTGTTATATTGCGCTGTAAGGGATCAGGGAACTCACAGCTCATGGCGATGGCTTGACTAGTAAGGCGCACCTGCCGCAACCAGTACCAAAGCATATAGGTATATAGGTCAGTACACAAAGACGTTATGTAATAGAAAACCCATACAAGTCAGAGAAACCAAAACCAGCTTTCTCGGGGGACAGGGTTAAGTGAAACAGAATGTTCTGTTGGAGTGTATTGTTTAACTTTGTGGCCTGATAAAGCAGGACTGCTTCTTGTTTGTTTGCCGAAGGTATGTTCCCGATGAGGACAGTCCATCTGTGCAGCTCATCTTTAACAACAATTCCTTTGCTCGCAAATATCGACAACAAATTGAACAGTTCATCAAGAGTCTTTTGTGGGAAGAGCTCAACTCCACCAGCCATGAAACAGTTCCAGAGATCACTGTAAAGGTAAATGCCCTGTCTACTCTTTTAATATTCTTCAAGCTATATCTTTCATTTGTGGGATTTACAGTTTGTGTGTACAGAGTGTTTCAGAAAGAATAAAGAAGTCCCTGTGTGCTCTTCATTTACTTCTAGCCGTGGCTTTAGTTTATATCATTAACAATTTGTATATGTAGAGTTTCTCAAAGGGTAAAGGTACCTAGAAGGTACACGTTTTGTGTAAAATCTTCTGCATGAGTCCTCAGAACAGCTGCTGGCACTTTATGTTGTAGTTTACAGCAAGGCTGAGATATCTGTGCCTTTTGGCCCAGTACATATGATTTTAGCATACTATTAATCAGTGCCTTTTATGACATGCTTATTAAGTGGAAGCAGATCTAACACCCCACTCCCCATCCACCCCCAAGGGACCTCGGAACCCATGTGGGAATTACAGTGCTTTGATATTGCACATAGATTTAAAACATTCTCTTTATGTCAGGTGATAACCGAACTCGCTTACCTTTAAAAACAAAAAAAAGTTGTATATTTCAGAAGCAAGATGGCTAAAGGCCTGAAAATGAAAACACCACATTAGGAATGGTTCTACATATAGACATTTTCTTCCCTTGCACTGTCCAGCACCTGAGATGAAAACCATTTTTTTGGTGTCAGGTCTTTATTCCTAATCAAGAGAGCTTACTTTATATTTCATGGGAAGCAAAATTGATGAATTTTGTAGTTACTATAGCAGTTTACATTCATTAAACTTGTATTCTTTAAAAAATAATATGTATGTTTGTTAGTTTGTGTTTGTGAGGTATAATGTCCTTTACAGGGGTTCTTAATCTGATTTTGTAAATGGGTTTTAAAACTCTGTATCACGATGTCCTGTTAGGTTTGCACTCATATCATGGTGGGCAAGAGACCTTCATGGTTTTGATACCAACTCTCGACAATTAGGGCACATATAACCCCACAGGGTAGGGTGGTGCACATAGTTATTTCATGCGCATCATGATAATTTGCCATGGAACACATGGTAGAGGGTAGACAGCCTATCTCAGGCACCAGCTGTCAGGGAGAACCTTTGGGTCACAAAAACAATTTAAGTATTTGTTTGTCTCACCTTTAAGAGATTGATGTGGGTCACAGATCCTAATTTAAGAACCCTTGCAAAATAGTCATAAGTGTATGGAGATCTTGCAGTAGAAAATATTGACATGTTGATAAAATAGTTACAAGGGTGGACAGAAGATGTTAAAGACAAGCATTAGTTATCATAAATATCACTTATGTATTTAACTACAGTAAAACTCATTAATACGAATTCCAGTGGATTGAAAAATCAACAGTTTGTGTCAAAAATCATTCTAACCATTGACTAATAATAATACACCTTTGCTGGTACTAAAATTTTGTTCGTGCTGTGCCATTGTTCTTCTTAAGCAAGTTCGTATTAATGAAGTTTTACTGTATTTGTTAATAGTTTGCTGTAGTTTATGTAACTGCTTTAACAAGTTGATTCTGAGTTTTTCCATTAAAAAGTTGAGTGTGGTGAGGTTATACAGGGGTGGACATGGGAGAAGATGTATAAATAAGATAAGCAGATCATTTTAATGACACGTTATTTTCATCATCGCAGACGGATACAGTGGTCTGAGCAGGATTTCCTCTCACCACCTTGTTCTGCTGCAGTGAAACAGTGCCACATCAGTTGATGCAATGTGGGTGGTTAGTCAGTGTACAACCTTAAGTAGTTTACATCTGCTGCAAGCATTTGTCTAAATAAGTTTGGCAGCTTGAACTGTGAAGAAGATGGTGATTTGTTGTGTAAGTTTTGAGAGGTGGAAGTGAAGACATGTTTAGATCTTACTGTAACTGTGTTGATACATATTTTGTTTAACAAAGAAGACTCAGACAATAGATTGCACAATTTATTGCCTAGTGTATTTCGCTGTATCTCGTCAGGTGCATACTACAGTAACAATTACATAAATGAAGCAGATAAGTGAATCCTTTATAACTGAAGTACAAATTCAACAGCGATCAAATATGATTGCCTGTTTTTACCAGGGCAGCCGTAAAGACAGAACCATATCTTTCTGTATACAGAGTTCCGGGCGCAGGTGACGAATCGAAGAAGCTTCTAGAAATTTTAGCGTTCTGCCACTGGTTGGCATATGAAAGATTTGAAATGCGTTGTCCTTAGTTACGTGTCCAGATTTTAGAAGATGGCGTGCTATTGCAGAGGGGTGATCTTTGTGGCCAGTATTCTCATTTTGAATATTATTTTGCTTGGCTTTCCCCCCATACTTAGTGGGCTCAGCGACTCATTTCTCTAGAAAGATATGGTTCTGTCTCTTTGGCTGCCCTGGTAAAAACAGGCAGTCATGTTTGATCGTTTTTGAATTTATACTTCAGTTATAATGGATTCACTTATCTGCTTCATTTATGTAATTGTTACTGTAGTATGCACCTGACAAGATACAGCGAAATATGCCAGGCAATAAATTGTGCAATTTGTTTGTGTCTTCTTTGTTCAAATTTACAACGGGGAAACATATTTTTTTGTTTGCATTAGAAACATGATTTTAAGTGAAGCAGTTTTGCAAATCTACTGTGACTGAGTTTGGTGGCCAGGCTAGAAATACGTGTTAGATATTATTGTTTACTAAGGGAGTCTGATGTTTGGTGGTGAGATTTTAACTTGTACTAGTTATTTGAATTGTTATTATACGAAAAAGGAAGTAAAGACCCTTTTAACACTAGTGGCAGATTGGGCATATAGTGCGGTTGTTATGGTGCATGTCATTTTGTAAGTATTTTAAATATTAATGTGTTCATTATATTGTTATTAGCCCGGTGCTCCATCGTGCGTGGACATTAACAGTAGTCTGCCTCCAGAGAAAAGGGGAGAAAGAATGCGGCAGAGACATGCGGTAGGCACAATAGTAGGGATTTCTTGATGTTGTAGATTGATGATTTTGGCAAGATTTTGTTTCAGTGTGATAGTCGCATTTATCTCCTCCCCCTCTCCTTTTTTGGGGCACTCCTTCTAACAGCGACCCTAGAAGGCGCAATCTGTTGTTTGATTACAGCATGACCATAAGGTACACAGTCCATCGCATGTGTACATTCACATAATAATGTTAAGTAATATTTAATATTGCTTCACGTTTGGGTTAGGGTTAGCTCTAAATGTCACCTAGGTTTGGCATTTGGTGTAAAGTTGACTTACAATAGATTGCACCCCCTAGGGTCGCTATTCAAAGAAGTGCCTTTTTTTTTCTCTCCACGTGGTTCCTAAGGCCCTTTTTCCTCCCTACAAGCACTCATAAAAGGTGACTAATTAAAATTTTACTGAAACCGAATGTGTTGGGCTGAAAGAAGCATAGATGGCAGCCTGTAAACTGCAACACCATGTGCCGGCTGCTCTTTTAAGGCCAAATACAAAAAAACATATATAAAAAAAATCCCTGTGTGGGTTCCAAGGCACAGTTGCGGAGACAACAAGAATGTACCCACTGATTCCCAACAGGTATGTTGTAGCAGTCAACTGATTTGGAGCATCCTTCGAAGTCGGCAGGTAGCCAGCCGTCTGCACACAGATAAGCCAGATCTATAAAACATATATGCACACACTACTCGGGTTCTAGAACATAACTGAAGTCAAAAGGTGGACAAACAATCAGAACTTTCTGCCAGAGTTTACGACCGGTGAACCAAAGAATAAAAGGAATACACAATTTTATTTGGTGTAGTTTCCTACCCTCTTCGAGTAATGCAAACCAAACACCCCCATTTGTTGACTGTTTATGGTTTTGCTAGGCAGGTATACATTTAGTAGTTTATCTGTGTTTGCTGAATGGCTAACATTGATATCATGGTCAGAATCAGTGCCAAGCGGTCTGCTGCCAAATTGCCTGCAGCTGAAACATCCAATATGTTGAAATTAAGAAACTGCATGTATATATCCCACACCTCCGACACCAACTTGATAATTTTAAGGAGGTTAAATTTTATGAGTCTTGCAGTTTTCTTATAAAAAAGTAAATTTCAGCATTGTATAAGAATTGTTTGCTACTTGAAAGGAGCTTGTCACAATCAGAAACAGACAGCCATCATTTGTTGGTCATATTGTGAGAAGAAAGAAACTGGAAATGTTTTGACCACTGGAAAGATCTTGTGGAAAAGGGGACTGAGGTAGACAACGCAAGAAGATTCTTGGCAGCCTTTTGTCAGGGCATGGAGGGGCGTCAGCAAACGAACTGAAACAGGCTGTTGAAGATTGCAGATTATGGTCAGGAATGATCGCCCACATCTGTTAGCAAAGAACTTGATGATGATGATTTACTCCTTGATTTGCTTGTTAAAACTGGCACCAGATTTTGGGAAATTGCCTTATTGAAGAGTATGTTTTTATTTGTGTTCCTTGTCCTGGTTGTAAAAATGGTACCAGGTTTTTTGGATTGCCTTTTTTGTGTGTGTTTTATTTTTGTTATTTCTTGGCTTGGCTGTAAAAGCTGGCACCAGGTTTCGGGGATTGCCTCTTTGTTAATTTTTTTTTTTTTTTTTTACAAATTTGTGTTTGTTCCTTGGCTTGGTTGTAAAAGCTGGTACCAAGTTTTGAGGATTGCCTCATTGATGTGTGTTGTTTTTCAGATTATTGGCAATAGCCAGTTTCACAAGCAGTTTCTGATTGACTTCTTGGGTTGGCCATTCCCAGTGTCCGAGCCCACAAGATGTAACGTCAACTGGGAGATACCTTTGTATCCTTTTCTCTCATGAAGACATGAGTAGTAAAGATATATGCATGTGTTTTGTTGTTGTTGTTGCTGTTTTTTTTTTTTAACTGTATAAGATGTGCTGGCTGAAAAGCAAACCCAAAAATAACATAGATGATAAGTACTGTGACATAAATAATAGGTACTGTTGTAATGTAGATGATAAGTACTATAAGATGGTGCAGAAGATATCTGCTGTGACATAACATAGCTGATAGTTATATGTTGTAATGCAGTTGATAAGTAATGTAAGATGGTGTAGATGATATGTACTTCAGCATAATGTAGATGATAGGTACTGTGATGTAATGTAGATGATAAATACTGTAAGAGAGTGTAGATGATGTGTACTTTGACATAATATAGATGATCGGTACTATGTTGTAATGTGGATGATAAATACTGTAAGACGGTGTAGATAATAAGTACTGTGACATAACATTGCTGTTAGGTACTGTGATATAACGTACATCAGGGCTGTTCACCTAAGTTTGCTCTGGGGCCAAAATTTTTAACAGAGGGTTTTCATGGGACAGTGGTCCAAGCCCAAGCCGATACAGTAGAACTGGCAATGATCTGCACGACACTTGTTCTATGTGGGCCAGATTTGACAAGTGGGCCCCAGTTAAATAGCCCAGATGTAGATAGCCCTAGACATAACATAGCTGATAGTGTGACATAACATATACATGATAGGTACTGTAACATACTGTAGATATGATGTTTACTGTGGCATAACGTAGAAATGATAGATACTTTGGCATAATGTAGATATGTTAGATACTGTAACATAACATAGATATGAGATGTACTGTGACATAACATATATATGAGATGTACTGTGACAACATATATATGAGATGTACTGTGACAGAACATATATATGATATGTACTGTGACATAACATATAAATATATGTACTGTGACATAACATATATATGATATGTACTGTAACATAACATAGATATGATAGATCTCATGAAAATTACCATCTTCTTCTTTCTCACTTTATTGATTGGTTTGAGAGTCTCGTACGGTATGGGGTTGTGACTGTGTCAGTTAGCAGGGCACTGAAAAAAAGGTGATTATAATTAGTATATAATTTATTTTCAAAACTATATGAATGTTGAAAAATCGATATCACAGCACTCGGGACACTCCCATAAGTGTCTTATCTCCATCTTCAGCAGCAAGCGAAGAGTTCCAATTACGATGATACCAGTAACTGTCTGGTTACATGTCCGTCTCGCCTTTCTCCTGGTTACTACCCGCAGCACCATTCTCCTCAGACCCTAGTGATTTATGTGTTCCTCCTCACGGTTCACTCTGTCCCAAAAGGCCCTTAAAACATCTAGCTTGTCATACATGAATTCACCACCAGATGGTGAAGAACCGGCCAGTCTGTCTGCCTGCTCATTTCTTAACACAGCAGCATGACCTGGAGAAAAATATCTAAAGGACGCTAACTGGCTGGGACCTCTGAAGCAATGCTTGCCACTCTGCACGGAGTATGCCTGTGTAAAAAAACTTTTTAAGAAACATCACAATATAAATATAGTCTGATAATATATTTGCTGTTTTCATTCACTAATTTTCGGAGCAAACCTTAACCACTGTAACAGATATGGCCAAGTGTTCAATGAGGTGTATGCAGATCCTACAAACAAAGCTAAAAAGCCCAACAAGAAGTAAGTGTCTTAAGTTGACTCTGATAAGGTCAGGTGTTTATTTGTTTGTATGAACGCTGGGCTCTTATGCAGGAGAGGCGAGTTCGAATCCTCTGTAAAGTTCTGGATTTGTTTTCTGTCAGGGAAAAAAAATCCTAACCTGTAGTCTGTAACTCTTTTTTGGCCAGGAATATCTCGTAGGAAACCGAGCTAGTTCACTACTCCTATTTACCAAACATCCTTTCGGGCACCATTAATTGGTTTAAAATTTAAAGTATTTTACTTTGTCAAAGGTACTGAAAACAGTTTTGGGGTTTGAATAGATCCAAAATTGTGTAAATAATTTGTGTATGATCATAGCAATGTTATAGATGTTCTCCTGTAATAAGAGTAGGTTAGGGAAATCGTAATAAAATGGTTGACAAAGCCTAACTATGAAGTACTCTCTGCAGACTGTTGTAGGGGGAGCGGGTTAGGTCTGATGAATATAGAACTTCTATGCCTCTAAACTCAAGTGCACGTTGATGAAGATTGTAATGGGTAGTGGGGTGTAGAAGTGCATGGAGATAGACCTCGCGTGCCATTGAATTCATATGCTCTCAGTGACGATTGTTGTTGGGTGGGGGTTAGGGGTTGAACTAGGGGAAAGGTAGTCTGGTAATATTTACGTTTTCCAGCCTAACTGCACACTGATTGACCTTTCATTCATGCTTGCTCAGGCTGGTCTATGTCAGAGGCTGTAATGTTTTACTGTTTACAACAAAAAAACATTCTGCATTGTGTCCTATTTACGTTTTCTGCCCCAGAAAGAGAGTGACTTCCCTTGTCATTTATGAATCGCCGTGCCGCAGGGCTTGTCCTATGTTGTGGGGGTGTCGTGCTTTGTCACGCTCTTTCTGGGCGGAAGACGTAAACAGGACCTTGTGTTGCGTGTTAATCTTTATTGTGTCAAGTTCTACTTCTCTCAGTGTCAGTCCATGTGTCTGCACTACTTATTCTACGATTTGTCCTGTAATATATCCCATCAGTCATGATTTCCCACTATGTACCCCCACTTGTTTCCAGATACCTTCTTCTGATTTGTTTCGATCTGTAATATAGCCCTGATGTCCGTATTTTCTTCTGTTATATATTTCTGGTTTCATATTGACTTTAGTTGTTTGCAAACTATGTTTTTTTTTAATAGTCAGTTTTGAGTCTTTTTTAGCACTCTGTTGATAAAGACTTCCATTGACACATTGGGTTGTATTTCTATGCATCTTTTCCATTCCCTCCTTTGGGCTTATAGTCACAGTTGGTGTTCTGTTTAGTACTGCTGCTCTGCAGAAAGGCTTGGGACAAATTCAAAGGCTGAGTTGATTTGATTCAAAAACCGACATCACACCACTCAGGACATTCCCATAAGCGCTACGTCCCTAACTTCACCAGCCAGTGAAGAGTTCCGATACTAATGGTGCCAGTAGCATTCTGATTAAATGTCCGTCTTGCCTCTCCTCTGAGCGTCGAGCATCCGCCAGAACCTCTCGTCGCTCCCCGCTTCATCAATCTTACCAGACTGGTGAAACATCTGCTCCTCCAAACTGTACATGCTCTCCCACAAGGCATTAACCACGTCTGCCTTATCATGCATCAGTAGTTCATCAAGTTGTGCAGAGCCAGCCAGTTTGTCTGCCTGTTCATTTCCCAACACACCAGTGTATCCCGATGAAAAAAAATCCAGACAAAGCCCTGGAATTCAAAGGTTATAGAAGGCAAACCTTTGGTGCACCACATCCAATTTGATCAAACCACTAATTCGGCTTCTACAGCATGCTTGTTGGAGAGCAGTCTTGAAGTTGGTGTAACGACTAAATGCTTGCCTGTGGATTGAAAAGGTTCAGGTCCTGACAGCTGGACTTTTCAGAAATGACCTTGACTGCCAGGTCGACTTAGCCTTAAATTGGTATCAGGTAGGGTCCTGGAAAAAGGCCGCTGGCACGATGCTGACTACATCACCCACCAAGTACTGACGTCTATAAAAAATAGGTTTAGCTTTATATGCCCACCACACCTGAAGGCTTGTTTGTTGGGACGGAGCAGTAGGTCTGTCCCCCCACCAATAGGGTCTCCTCTACCCTCCTCCAAAACCCACATAGAGATTTATGTATATAATTCTTGTCTTGTGTAGCAGTTTCATATTGGTTGTGATCTCAACTAAATGTGAACACTTTTCAGGCAGAAACCAGCTTGCTGGAACTGCGGCGAGGAGAATCATGCAGTGAATGAGTGCAAAGTGGCCAGGAATCCAGCCATGATTTCTGCCAACAGGCGAGAGTTTTTAGCACAACAGCAGCAGAAGCAGGGAGGCTTTGAGCCCAAATTCACGTAATTATATACATAATTATACTTATTGTACATTAGTCTTCACTCAGGTTTTCTGAAAAGGAAAGGATGGCTTAGAGAGGGACTGGACATATGTTCTGTTTGTCTTCACTCGTGGTTTCTGAAAGGGAAAGGATGGCTTAGAGAGGGACTGGGCATATGTTCTGTTTGTCTTCACGCATGGTTTCTGAAAGGGAAAGGAGGGCTTAGAGAGGGACTGGGCATATGTTCTGTTTGTCTTCACTCATGGTTTCTGAAAGGGAAAGGAGGGCTTAGAGAGGGACTGGGCATATGTTCTGTTTGTCTTCACTCATGTTTTCTGAAAGGGAAAGGATGGCTTAGAGAGGGACTGGGCATATGTTCTGTTTGTCTTCACTCATGGTTTCTGAAAGGGAAAGGAGGGCTTAGAGAGGGACTGGGCATATGTTCTGTTTGTCTTCACTCATGGTTTCTGAAAGGGAAAGGAGGGCTTGGAAAGGGACTGGGCATATGTTCTGTTCGTCTTCACTCATGGTTTCTGAAAGAGAAAGGAGGGCTTAGAGAGAGACTGGGCATATGTTCTGTTTGTCTTCACTCATGGTTTCTGAAAGGGAAAGGATGGCTTAGAGAGGGACTGGGCATATGTTCTGTTTGTCTTCACGCATGGTTTCTGAAAGGGAAAGGAGGGCTTAGAGAGGGACTGGGCATATGTTCTGTTTGTCTTCACTCATGGTTTCTGAAAGGGAAAGGAGGGCTTAGAGAGGGACTGGGCATATGTTCTGTTTGTCTTCACTCATGTTTTCTGAAAGGGAAAGGATGGCTTAGAGAGGGACTGGGCATATGTTCTGTTTGTCTTCACTCATGGTTTCTGAAAGGGAAAGGAGGGCTTAGAGAGGGACTGGGCATATGTTCTGTTTGTCTTCACTCATGGTTTCTGAAAGGGAAAGGAGGGCTTAGAGAGGGACTGGGCATATGTTCTGTTTGTCTTCACTCATGTTTTCTGAAAGGGAAAGGATGGCTTAGAGAGGGACTGGGCATATGTTCTGTTTGTCTTCACTCATGGTTTCTGAAAGGGAAAGGAGGGCTTAGAGAGGGACTGGGCATATGTTCTGTTTGTCTTCAATCATGGTTTCTGAAAGGGAAAGGAGGGCTTAGAGAGGGACTGGGCATATGTTCTGTTTGTCTTCACGCATGGTTTCTGAAAGGGAAAGGATGGCTTAGAGAGGTATCGTTCTATATCTGTGTCGAAATATAAAAATATGAATACAAAAGGCATGAGAAAGTTTCATAATACTATGAAGTCTGTGAAATTAAAGGAAATTAAAAAGGAAATTAAGAATACATTAAGAATATTTCTTGTTTTGTCAGTATCTGCTGTGTGTCGCAGCTTCCAGCGGAAGGCAGCATTGTCCAACTCCACTTTTGTTCACAAACTAGATGTTGTGATATCACATACATAAACAATGAAAAGAGCAGTTAGATACAGAGGTGGGGAAGACATTGAGTAAGCTACATACCATAGCAAAGAAAATTATGAATTGGCTTGAGTTAGTTGGCACTACAAGAAGAAAACAAAAACTGTTGTGTTCTCAGCACTCTACTTTGGGGCAGTGAATGACACTTTGTTCAGCTTATTCACACTAGGAGAAATAGCTAAACAGATTTTGCATGCAGTAATGCCTAAGAAGAATACATGGCATTAAGTGTGGCAAGACACTCATAAACACTGAGGTATTGAAAAGAGCAGGTACCACAGCAATTTTCTCAGTTTCCGAAGGCGCAGGTGGCTATGTCACACAGTCACACATAGAGAATGGAGGTTGGCAGAGTAGAGAATGGAGGTTGGCAGAGTCCCCAAGGACATTCTCTATGGGGAATTGCAGAAGGGTAGAAGATTTCGAGGCTGGCCTCTACTAGAAAATAAAGATGTATGCAAGTGGGACAGACGAAACCTATGTAGGAATTTCCTAGAGTGCATTAATGTTAATTCTGAACGTCTTTAAAAAAAAAATGAAAATAATTTTTACATTGATATTCTTCGCAGGGGTCCCTCTCGCTATCACTTAGATCCTGATCTGGCTTCAGCATTTTCAAAGTTTAAACCAGGAGTTATAAGGTAAGTAGGGCTAAGAACCTTTTTCATGATTTTTGCAGGTAAAGCATATAGTGAAGACCTGTATTTTTATATACTAATCATCACTCAATGGGTGATGTGGTCAGTGTCATGCCGTCCACCTTTACCTCCCAGGACATTACCTGAGAACCATTTTAGGCTGTTCACGCAACACTCAGATTCTGGAAGAAGACTAAAGTCCACAGGTGGACGAACTACCAAAACTCTGCCGGAATTAACAGTCGTTGAATGTGAAGAAGAAGAAGAAGACATACTAGGACAGTGGTCGGCTCTTTAGTCACTTGAGTGCGGCTCAGCCAGTCAGCCACAAATCGATTTTGACGCCAAAAAAACATGGTCCTTGACAGGTTCTTGAACAGAAATTTGGCTCTCAAAAAATTGTAATTGTACTGCTGCTGATTTTTGGCTCTTTTGTCTCATGAGTTTGCCGACCACTGTTCTAGGAGAATGGAAGTTTTGAAAGAAGATATGCCTGTTGGTGGCTTCTTTAGATGTAGCCCATGAGGAATGATACGTTTAATATATAGAAATGAGGTTAAACAGTCATGAACAGGACGGGACGATTCCTTGGGTGAGCCCAGTACCAGAGCACCATGTATTGGTTCTGCATTTATGGAAGCCCACTTTGGATGATAGGGAATGTTCATGTTCTGCCCCTGCCTTCTCTTGAGGGCTGACCAGCATTATATGGCTTCTCTAGACCGGCCTGATGTGGAGCACCACCTGTGACCTGGGAAACAAAGATGACCACACAACATTGAGACTAACCGGGAAGGCTAACCCGGTCAATAAATGTCAGAAGTGTCGACCGAAAGGTGCAAATATTGCAGCCATACTGTAAACAGACACCGCGCAGTTACATCTTCAGATAAATGCAAAAGAAGAAAGAAAATATGCATTATGTTTTGATATCTCACGTTGAAATTTCAGCGAAGCTCTTCGACAAGCTTTGGGATTAACACAGGACCAGCTCCCCCAACACATATATAAGATGCGGTTGTATGGCTACCCGCCAGGTTGGCTTGCTGAGGCCAGGCAGATTCAGTCGGGAGTCACCATATTCGATAAAAATGGAAGAGGTGAGTTTCATCTTTATTCCTTTTGAAAAATTATCTTTCTCCCCTTGTAGGTTCTGGTGGCTATTTTTTGATAAGAAAAGAATGGACTCACTGCATCTCTAACAGGCACGTTGTAAAAGGTAACTAGTTAGGGGTGTTTACAGTCAAAGTGCATCTGTCTGAGAGGCAAGAAACCAACAGTCTGCATACAAATAAGCCAGATCTGTAAAACGGATGTGCGTGACCTAAGTCCAGAAGTGGGCGAACGACCAGATCTTTCCGCCAGAGTTTACAGCCGATGATTGCTAAGTAGCAGAAGAAATCTATTTCTCTTATGGCTAGCTCATAAGCAGCAGCATCTTTCAGAAGCTGAAATTCATTGGCCATGTTAAACACTGCACTAGTTTCTGTCTGTATCCTCTTCCTCTTCTTCTTCTTGTTGACACATAAGGCAGTCACACATGATCTCCACTGCTGCTTTTCTGCCAGTAGTGTCCCATGTCAGTTTACATTACTTCATTTCCTTCAGGTTTCCTTAGTTCTGAAGATCATGGGTTCAAGTCCTGATGTGGCCGGACTTTTAAATATTTTTTGTATATACAAAAATGACCTTGGCTCATAAGTCAATCCAGGGTTAAGTGGGTACTTGGTAAAAGTCATGGGAATTAAAGGCAGCCAGAGTAATTTTGACCATATCACCCACCGAGTGTTAATTGGTCTATTAAAAAAATATAGGTCTAGCCCTATTTGTATGCCTAAATGGGTGGAAAAGAATCTTTTATTTTAGACTGGGCCAACCCGAGAGCCAAGGTCAGTTTTAAAAACAAATAAGCAGTCTGACGTATACATAGTGTTTTGATGAATTTCTAGTTTGCTAGACTTTTTCACAATGTGCATGCTGTGTGGCATTGGTAGTCATGTCTACCCACAACCCTCTGTCTCGAATACTTTTAATCAGTTAGTTTATATGAAATGTTTCATTTTCATTCCCTTGCGCCAGTGACCTTAATAACCGGGGAGTGCCTTGAAGATGGTGAACTGCAAGAAGATGCTGCTGTCGAAACTAAAACAGGTTTGAAAAATTTGTTTCTTCTAATTTACTTTATGTCTAGGATATCGCAGTTTAAATTGTTTGTTAGTTTTGTGGACCCCCACTACAACTAATGAGCTGAAGTTACGAGATGAGATGTCTTAGGAGAGCTGCTGATGTGACAAGAAGAAATAGAATCAGGAATGAAGAAATTAGAAGAAGACTAGGACTAAAACCAGTCATACACTTCATTAAAGAACAACAAGTGAGATGGTTTGGCCACCTGACAAGAATGCCCTGGTACCAACTGCCACAGAGAGCCACACTGAAGAAATATAATGAAAATAGAGTAAGGGAAAGACCATGCAAGAGATGGATCAACATCATCAGGAGCAACCTAACAGAAATGAATACCAACTTGTACAATGCGTTGGAAAGCACACACAATAATTACATCTCCCCCCAACACCTTGCTGAGATAAATGGTGGAAGTGAAGAAGTTTTGTTTTTTACTTCATTTTTTTAAATAACAGTTCATTTTATATTAGAGAGACCAGGTTGCTGAACTGGATTCCATCCATGATATCGAAAGGACTGCACAGAATGGAAGGGAAATGAGGACTGCGAGCCTAATGTAATGTATAGCAGCACAAGATGATGATAATGATGAATGTTATGTTAGCCAAGGCAGTATTGGCAGGACCGTGGCTCCCAGGTCGACCCAGCCTTAAATTAGTACCAGGTAAAGGTGGCTGGCATGATGCTCACGACATCATCCGTCAAGTGCCGATTGGTCAGTAAAATATAGGTCTTGCCCTCTATGCCCAATATGTCTTGTGGCGTGGAAAAGAATCCTTTACTTTACTTAACCTGAACGGTCGCAACCTGCTGATTGGTTTTGTTTCGTTAAGAGGTTACACACCTATAGCTTGAATATACTTAAGCACGAAAGAAAAGAACAGTAAGCTTGAGCTCTCTAGCAGACAGCACACATATCCTCACCAGTACATTTTAACACAGAGATCAATAGGTTTTGTCTCCCTGACAGACAGCACACATATCCTCACCAGTACATTTTAACACAGAGATCAGTAGGTTTTGTCTCCCTGACAGACAGCACACATATCCTCACCAGTACATTTTAACACGGAGATCAGTAGGTTTTGTCTCCCTGACAGACAGCACACATATCCTCACCAGCACATTTTAACACAGAGATCAGTAGGTTTTGTCTCCCTGACAGACAGCACATACAACTCTACAAATACATTTTTTTCTGCCCTTTTTCCTCATTGGAGCAAATGCCCCAAACCAGCTCATACCATGTTGTCCTATCTTTTGCTGTCGCCTGCAGCACACCCCATGTCTTCCCTAACTTTTTAACTTTATTCTCTAGTTTCCTTTTTTGTGTTTTTGTGTGTGATCTACCTTTATTTCTGTCCCCTTTTGGGTTCTGATGAATACACCTGAACAGACAAGACAAAGTTGATGTCATTAGAAAGTCAGTTCCACCATAATAGTTATTTTTCTCTCTTTTGTTTCAGAATATGATGTTGGTAAAATAATAGAGTACCCCGGCTTCACAGTTCCTGTTCCTCTTGGTGTTATTGATGTAAGAAACCACATCATTCTTTCTCAATATTACAAGTGGATTGATGCTCAGATATTAAAAAAAAAAGAGGAGTAAAATTAATTTACAAAGGAAACAATGAATACAATTGTAGCACTTGTTCCTGATAACATAAATGAGTTTGGTATTCTTGGCTCTATTAACTTTGATGAAATGGTTTTGAGCCGAAACTATGAAATCTGGCAATGCAGCTGGCAGTTCAGAACAGATACCATGGTGCTAAGAGGAGGAGAAGCAGAAAGTGGGGAAAGGTTTGGATATAAGTCTGTTCTGATCAGCAAGATTGTTTCAAACATAAGTTGAAGGTTTTTGCAGCCAAAATTTGAGAACTTTTCCCAGCCATCAGTTACCGACTTTTCCCAACCATGGGTTGAGGGCTTTTCCTAGCCTTGTGTTAATGTGAGGACTCTCCCAGCCTTGAGTTGATAAGTGAGGACTTCCCCCAGCCTTGAGTTGATAAGTGAGGACTCTCCCAGCCTTGAGTTGATAAGTGAGGACTCTCCCAGCCTTGAGTTGATAAGTGAGGACTCTCCCAGCCTTGAGTTGATAAGTGAGGACTCTCCCAGCCTTGAGTTGATAAGTGAGGACTCTCCCAGCCTTGAGTTGATAAGTGAGGACTCTCCCAGCCTTGAGTTGATAAGTGAGGACTTCCCCCAGCCTTGAGTTGATAAGTGAGGACTTTTCCCAGTTATAAATTAAAGACGACTTTTTCCCAGTCTTAAATTAATGGTTGTCTAGACCGTTGAGGATTTCTTAGTCAAATTATCAACATTTTAAGTCTTAAGTGGCATGGTTGAGTATACAAAGTCTAACCTCTTATACACCTTTCTAAGGGTTGACATCTTTCCTTAAAATAATGCCGAAACGCCCAGAAACCTCTCTGCCTTCCTCAGGGCGCTACAGTGAAACATTGTTGAAAACAAGACTTCTGCACTGCTTAAACTAAGTGCCTTCATTTTCTGAAAAGATGTCTGCTAAAAGATAATGAAACAGCTAGAATGAAGACAAGCTGTAAAGCATTTACTTGCAGCATAGATGTGATTTCTGAGAAAAGTGCAAAGAATAACGTATTGGGATACAAAAAAAGAAATGAAACGGTCCTCACCGAGACAGATAAAAGTCATAAACTTATTAGAACAGTTAGACATAGACAGTCAGTAATTTGTGGACATGTTATGAGAAGGAATGGATTCGAGAGCTTGGCAACATCTGGCAGGATTGATAGAAAGAGAGCAAGAGGAATGTGAAGAGATAAATACCTGGATGGCTAAGCCAGACAACAACATTGACCTGGTCAGTGATTCTGGTGATCATGTGAGCTGGCGAAACGTGACAGCCTACACTTACTGGCATTGCCCATGATGATGATGAGAATGAAGAGCATGTGTTAGTCCGGTGAAATATATTGGTAATACTTCTAAATGGTCAAATACTGTGTGGCAGATAGTACCAGGGTTTTCCTGAAAGGTGTCCAAACCACTTCATTTGTTGTATCTTGATGACTTGTAAGACTGGTTTTATTCCTAGCATTTGTCTGATTTCGTGATATTCATGTTCTGTCTTTCCTTGAAACTCCTGCCGCTCTTCTAAGGCATTTTACGTTCATTGGAGGATGTAAGTGTCCACGTGTTATTTATTTTTTACAATGTAGAATGAATGTAACTTCACATTGAAGGTTTAGGAAGCTGCCGTGGTGTCATGGCTAGATGCTCGCTGAAGGTCGTGAGTTACCTGACTTATTTAGGCATTGGTTCCCAGGTCCACCCAGCCTTGAGCGGGCACCAGGTAAAAGTCCTGGGAAGTTAAGGGAAGCCGGCATAATGTTGACCACATCACACCTCTAGTTCTGATTGCTCTATAAAATTTAGGTCTAGCCCCGTATGCCCAATATGCCTGAAAGCTTGTTAAAAGGTACTTTACTTAAGGTAACTTTCTATATTTATCCTTTACATGATCACATCCAGGAGCACAATGTGTATATGATGCCACCCATACAGCAGCACCAGTTGAAGAAAACCTTGATGACCCAGACTACAGATAAGGTACATTTGTTTGTGTATACCTCTTCTTCTGCTTCTTAGTGTTCACCAGCTATAGACACTGGTGGAAATTAAAGGTTGTTCATCCACTTCTGGACTTAGTCTTAATCCAGCACTAGTTTTGTGTGCACATCCATTTTACACATCTGGTTTATTTGTAAAGAGACTGTTGGTTCCTAACCTCTCGGGCAGATGCACTCCGTCTTTGAAGGAAACAGCCCAAATTAGCTGACTTTTACAGCCTGCTTGTGTGTATACAGGCACAGAAGTGTCTCTCACATGTCTCGAGGGGACTGCTGGAATCATGTTTGAAAGATGCTGCTACTGAAGTTTTTGAATGTTGGCAACAAGGAAGTGGATATGAACTCTAGGCACCAGATTCCACACAAAGAAGTCACATGAATAACTATAAGGAAATGTGAAATATCACACTTCATATCAGTCAGTCACTGTGTCCTTGACAGAACATCACTCTCTACATGTAAAAAAAAAAGTAAAGGACCCTTTTCCACGACTTTAGGCACAAGATGGGTGATGTGGTCAGCATCACACCGGCCGTCTTTACTTTCTCGGGACTGCACCCGGTACCCAGTCAAATCTGGGTCGACCTGGGAGCCAAGGTCATTTTTGAAAAAAGTCCGGCTCCGCCAGGGAGCGAGCCCACGGCCATCCAATTAATGATGAGCGTCTAGCTGCTCGTCCACGGCGACTCCCACTCTCTACATGGCATGACTAAAAGTCTCTCTTTCTCTAGTCAGTTCTTCAGCCCTGTGTACTTTCACAGCTAGTGCGTCTACAGTGTCCTCTGTCTGCCTTTGTGATGATCCGGCCCCTACTAGGTTTTCATTTTCAGCTTTCATTTAGAATTTTTAGGGATAAATCATGTGGTAGTCTCCCCTTGCTATGCACATGCCTGAGCACCGCTGAGATGTCCACTTATTCCGGCAGACATTTGTTCCCCAAGACTGCATTTCTTACCACAACAGCAAGGAGATGCAGTTGGGATTTTCCCCTTCATCTGGACGTGAGGCCAGAATGCCATTTCCCCAGGTTCTGGGTACTTTTGGAGGTCTTACCCTCTGACTTCATTCATATTTAGAGAATATTTCAAATTTCCTTATACTTATTCAGGTAATACCACTGTGTATTGTCTGATGTCTAGAATTCCAATCCTTTTTCTTGTTTTGATGCTCACTGATAGTCTTCAGTCAAACATTCTATTGTTTCTGTTCATGCATCCCACCACCTCCTTCCCCCCCCCCCCCCCCCCCCCCCACCCCTTTTTTTTTCAAGTTTGTATTCAGTGAATTTATTTCTAGATGCCAGTCCACCTGCAGGCACCCATTTTCATTACTTTTGGAGTTTGGAAATACATGATGTTATTGGTAAAGAGCAAGCAGGCAGATGTGTATGATCACTGTCTTACTGTAACTTTGAGAATGGGACAGATCCAGCAGGCAGATTTGTGATCACTGTCTTACTGGAACTTTGAGAATGTGACAGATCCAGCAGGCAGATGTGTGATCACTGTCTTACCGTAACTTTGAGATTGGGACAGATCCAGCAGGCAGATGTGTGATCCCTCTCTTACCATAACTTTGAGAATGTGACAGATCCAGCAGGCAAGGGTCTGATCACTGTCTTACTGTAATTTTGAAAATGGGACAGATCCAGCAGGCAAGGGTGTGATCTCGTCTTACTGGAACTTTGAGAATGTGGCAGATCCAGCAGGCAGATGTGTGATCCCTGTTTAACTGGAACCTAGAGAATGGGACAGATCCAGCAGGCAAGGGTCCTAGCCACCAAGTACATTGACTAGTGTCTCCGAAAGAACTATGCAGGCAGGGAATTAATTGTTGCTTCTTAGTCGCTGTTTCCATCATTGTAAACTGTTTTCTTTTTTCTTCACTTTACCAGTCTTCAAGCAAGAAAAGAAAGAGAGGCAAAGATCGAGATGCACATGCTGAGGTTAAGAAAGCTAAAACAGAGGAGACAAAATCGGAAGATGGAGAAAGTAAGAAAATGCCCAAAATTGCTGTTTAAATTAGTTTTATTTTAACCATGTCATACTGTACCTCCCATACATCTTTTCTTCCTGGAACTACTTCTGACAATGACCCCTCAAAAACAATCCTCAGACCAGTGTTAGTTAGCTAAGACCTGCGGACTCCTCTCATTTTCCAAGATCTGCCACGGATCCCATACTTTTCACTAGTCATACTGAAGAACTTATTATAATTTATAAATATTAAAATCACAATAAGGATTACATTGTAAAGTTAAGTTTTAATTTTTGTGTGTGTTGGGGAAAGGGGGGGGGGGGGGGGGGGGAATGATATTACAGACCCATTAAGTTTGTTCCATGAACCCCATGAAATCTGTGTCCACCAAATGAGAAACACTGCCATGGAACTGCAAAATGCCAACCAAAAATTACATTTAGTTATTAAGACATTCAGAAAGTCTCGAACTGGCCTCCATAATTAACAATCAAGCCTATTCCACCTACCCCATCAAAATTGAGGTCACTTCGTAACTGTCAGGGGCCCCAGTTTAACCTTTGGGTTGAACAGGGTTTCTGGAATTTTTGTCAGGGGATTCAGCTCTGAATAGTGACTCTCTGGATCACCCGTGTTGTTCGTTATGTGGTCATAGTGGAATTCAACTTCACTAGAAGCCTGTGCAGGTAGAAGAGGACTGGCCTAGCCTGTCTGACCTCCCTGACAGTGTTTTTGTAGTCCTGTAAGAGGACTGGCTGAGCTTCTAGACCTCCCTGACAGTGTTTTTGTAGTCCTGTAAGAGGACTGGCCTAGCCTGTCTGACCTCCCTGACAGTGTTTTTGTAGTCCTGTAAGAGGACTGGCCTAGCCTGTCTGACCTCCCTGACAGTGTTTTTGTAGTCCTGTAAGAGGACTGGCTGAGCTTCTAGACCTCCCTGACAGTGTTTTTGTAGTCCTGTAAGAGGACTGGCTGAGCCTCTAGACCTCCCTGACAGTGTTTTTGTAGTCCTGTAAGAGGACTGGCTGAGCCTCTATACCTCCCTGACAGTGTTTTTGTAGTCCTGTAAGAGGACTGGCTGAGCTTCTAGACCTCCCTGGCAGTGTTTTTGTAGTCCTGTAAGAGGACTGGCTGAGCCTCTAGACCTCCCTGACAGTGTTTTTGTAGTCCTGTAAGAGGACTGGCTGAGCCTCTAGACCTCCCTGACAGTGTTTTTGTAGTCCTGTAAGAGGACTGGCTGAGCCTCTAGACCTCCCTGACAGTGTTCTTGTAGTCATGTAAGAGGACTGGCTGAGCCTCTAGACCTCCCTGACAGTGTTCTTGTAGTCATGTAAGAGGACTGACCTAACCTGTCTGACCTCCTCCCTGACAGTGTTTTTGTAGTCATGTAAGAGGACTGACCTACCCTGTCTGACCTCCTCCCTGACAGTGTTTTTGTAGTCATGTAAGAGGACTGACCTACCCTGTCTGACCTCCTCCCTGACAGTGTTTTTGTAGTCATGTAAGAGGACTGACCTACCCTGTCTGACCTCCTCCCTGATATTGTTCTTGTAGTCACGTAGAGGGGATGAACCTAGGGTTGTGTGGCATAAACAAACCCTGCTTGTCCTGGCACTGAGCCCAAGAGTGCAGGACAAGTGTGTTGCATTCTCTTGCTACATGATGTGCATTAATGGTACATTTTAGCGAATGTACTGAAAAATATGCCAGCATCTATGGCTTATCGGTTGTGAGTATAGTTTGTGAATTCTGTCCTATGTTGGATTCAGTAGTTTGTGATTTGGCAGCAGAATTTGACAACGGTATGGGCGTCAGACCATTCAGAGAGCAATGGCAAACTACTGAATTTAAAATGGCCTAATAGAAGCACAAATAGCCAACAAATGCTGGGTGGGTGTGGTTTGTGGTGTCCTGTAATGAGTGCACAGATTAAAAAAAATATTGATGGCCGTCTGCTACCTGGGTTATCACAGAGAGACTTAATACAGTGTTTCAGAATGTCTATTACAGGATATGAGGAGTGGCTAGAATGCTTGACTCTGTTGCAGGAGACCTTGATTCAAATCCTGGGTAAGATTGGGGGGGGGGGGGGGGGGGGGGGTCAAAGTTTTGAGAGCGTGCATCTTCCCTGTGGCAACATATAGATGTGAGTCTTAGACTATCTTGCTGTCATAAATTAACTAAGCATGGACTTTTGAGCTGAAAGGCTATAGAAAGATTCTCAGAATCGAAAAAGATCAGAAATACTGATATCATAAAAGATTTTTTCTTCTTCTTCTTCGCGTTCACCAGCTGTACACTCTGGCGTAAAGTTCTGGTTGTTTGTCCACTTCTGGACTGCAGTCCTGCTCCAGAACCTGAGTGTTGCATGTGCATCAGTTTTACAGATCTGATTCAATTGAATGCAGACTGCTGGTTCCTTACCTCTCAGGCAGATGCACTCCGACTTCAAAGGAAGCTCCCCAGTTAGTCGACTCTTACAACATGCTTTTGGGGAGGCAGTGGGTCTATTCTTGTTTTCCTCACAAAAGTGCCCCGGAACCCACACGGGGGCCTAAAAGATTTGATCATCGTATAGAATTAGGTTAATTGTGTATCCTTTACAGGACATTGCAGAACCAACCCCAGCATTTTTTAGCTGTTGAGGTTTTTTCTAGGCAAATTCACATCCAGTAGTTTGCTATTGCTTTCTGAATGGTTAGCTTCTCCATACCACTGTCGAAACCGGCACAAGGCCTGCAGCTGGGATCGAACCTGGCATTACAAAGCGCATTCGCAATATCTAAGCCACAGACGCTGACTCGGGTATGGAGACAGGATGTTAATAACACCATGGGTAGGAATGTGCAAAAGGCAGAAGATCTGGCAAGAGACAAAGCTGAATGTTGAATTTTGAATTAAGAATCGACATCACAGCACTCAGGACACTCCCATAAGTTCTCATTCCCCATCTTCAGCAGCAAGCGAAGAGTTCCAATTCCGATGGTACCAGTAACCGTCTCATTGTATGTCCGTCTCGTCCTTTCCTTGAGTGTTGATCGTCGGCCCTGGTAACTCCCCGTAGCTCCATTCTCCTTAGACTGTAATGATCTATCAGCGCCTTTGCACTGTTCACTCGCTCCCAAAGGGCGCTCACAATATCTGACTTATACACCAATTCGCCACCAAGTAGTGCAGGAGACAAAGCTTCCTTCAGTGAGAACAACATTATGTGAAGGACCTGCTGCATGATCGTGAAAGACAGCTCCAACATGATGTTTGTTTATTTATGTTCACAGTTAAAGAGGAGGGTGAAGAAAATGGCATGGAAGTCAAGAACGAAGACGGTTCAGAGGAAACTACAGAAGGCAGCAACATTGAGGCAGAACAAGCAGCAGCATCTTCCATCAAATGTCTGGAAGCAATACCAGATTTGCCTCTGTCATCTTCAACAATATCTCTAAGCAGGGATTATGGTACCCCTGTTCTTGTAAGCATTTTGTTTGTTTTCTGTTCATCTTTCATTAATGTGGTTGAGCTGCATTTTCCAAGATATTACTGCATCTTCTCCAGATTTTTGGTTTTAAAATAGGTGTCGTCTTACAGTGTGATTAAAATATTCATTCTTAAGTTTGGGCTAAAAAAATTTTTTTTTTTAAAAATAGGTGGTCTTCATCATGTGCCCTGCCAACTGGCATTGGCGCTCATGCATCTCCACAGATCACGATCCCTAACTGCCTGGAACAACTCTCTTGATAATATCCCTCCATGCCGTTTCAGCCCATCCAGCATCATCTCTCTTGGTCTGCCTCTACCCTTTTTCCACTGATCTTTCCAGTTGTCATGATGTTCTCCAATGTCTCTCTTCTCATTATGTGGCTAAAGAACAGTGTTTGTTTCTTTCTTATTGTTGTATATAGAGATCTACTTTCATTAGCTTCTTTCAAGCAGTCGTTAATTATTTGGGCCATCCAAGGTATTCGTAACATTTCATCTCAGAAACCACATCTCTGTTGCTTAAAATTCTTCTGAATTTGTTCACTGATATTCCAAGAAGGGTCGTCTTATAAATGAAAAATTGTATGGTGATTTTGGTCACAGTCAAGAGGGAAAGTTAAGGCCATTGTCGTGTGAATTAGGAGATACTCTGTACCTCACCTCGGTCGCTAGCTGGTTCTGTGCTGGTTTGACAGATTCTCACGCAAGACTCCTGCCACACATCCTCGTCATGCACTACAGAAACGGCTCATTTTAGCTTGAACTGTGCTGTTAGGGTTTCTTGGAGTTTGTGGCCCTCAGAGATGCACTGTCCAAAAAGGAAGGCATTTTTTAGCATTGAAAGATGATATCTAGGTAGTATTCTTTTTTTTTTTAAAGTCAAGAAACCATACGGAAGACAGCAGGCAACTTCCTGCAGCCGTAGAGTGCCCCAATGTAATGTTTGATATGGTTGAGCAGGGTGTCTGATATTTGCTCCTATTAGGTTGACATCCAGTAATGGCTGAGTCAACGGACATCTGACCTTCAATTTACAATTCTGGAGAGGAAATAAAGGGAAAACCCAACTCTATTAATACCAACTTCTCTCAGAAAGGAATTTTTTTAAGTAATTAAAGAACCTTTTACGTTCGACAAGAGCACCTGTGCATAGAAATGAGTTAACTGATTATAGATCACTCTTCTGCATCTATTTTTTGGGTTAGATTGTGCTGACATTGCAGCCTAGCTGTAAACCACAACCACAGTAACCGCCCTGTTAAGAGTGAACACAGAAGAATCCTGAGATATCTTGAAAACAAAAATCTGTGCTTGAACACCAGATTGCTTTCCTGTGTGTCATCGTATACCAGTGTTCCTCAATCATTTTACATCCGAGGCCCCACCCAAACAGAGGAACTGGTTTTGTAGCCCACCTGACAGCTAACCAAACACAGAAACAAACAACAGATGTGGATAGCAGCTTGTCACATCTGATGTCACAAAATTACAATTTTCAGAGAATGCCACATTCGCTGCTGCTGAGAAGTTAGACAGTCTTATATATGTGGCTGGGGCATTGTTTCTGACATATGAAGCGCTGCAGTAACATCCGTTTGATTTATGCATTTGGTTTTTAGACCTTAGAAAGTCTTTTCAAACAGATAGGAAGTCCTTGAGGTGTTGTTACTCCTGTAGACTGAAAGAACAACCGCCTAAGGTACCAAGTTAAGTGATTAAGCAGAACTTTTTGGCAGCGCACAGGGACTACAAGTTGAAGAACACTGGTCTGCCAGGTTGCTGGCTTTGCTCTGAGTTTTAGTGGAGTATTATCCCAGCTAGTGTGGGTGATCATGCTTCTCCAACAGGATGTGGTCATCTAGTGTGCTGATGCCCCTCCTTGCCATTAGTAAAGGCTGTCAAGCATCTTCTCCCCCTTTTTTTTCTCTTTATGTATGTGTGTGTATTCTTCTTCTGCCTTTCCAACCCCCAGTGGAGCATAGGCCCTAAGCCAACTCATGCCAGGTCGTTCTATCCTTCGCTATCGCATAAGGCTCTCCCCCATGTTTTCCCTGTCTTTTTAACTTCTCTCTAGCTCCCTTCTCCGTTAGTGTGTGCGTGCGTGCACGCTGTCTATACAACGAATGGTGGCTGCATTGTACCACTGTTGTCTTTGGGAATATTACCCGATAAGGCCCCAGTCTTGTCCACGGTGTGACTCTCGTACCACGGTGCAAAAACAAAGAGAACTGATTGTTTTTTTCCTGACGCCGTAGTAAACAAACCCCAACATTCAAGGATCATGAAATAGCTGTTTTACATCTTTTCCTTTGTCAAGTTTCAAGTTTTTTTTTTTTCTGTATGTAGCCACATAAAAATCACTCTTTCTGAGAGGAATAAAGTGCCAAGAACAGTAGCTAATGATCTTTGGTCAAGCAGTTAACTGGCATTGCAGTAAAGTTGAAACCTAGACTAAGTCAACTAGCATATGTGAAATGTAACTTTCCTAATCTCTCTTTTAGTATCAGTTGTACCTGCTATTTTCATGCTGTTTAGAACTAACAGCTGTAACAAAATTTGTTTCTATAATTTCAGACACGTGAGAATTCAGGCCTGCCAGATGCAACCAAGTTTGGCCAGGGTATTGAAGAGCACATACCGTTTGAGAATCTTCCTAATTCTACTGGAACTTTTGAAAAAATGAGAAATTTGATAGACACCATACGTAACAAAACAAAGCAGTAGAAATTGCATATGTAAGCACATACAGTGAGAAATGTCCAGTAAACTTCATACATTGCATCTTTTTTTTCCTTGTTAGATGTAACCAACTGCATTTCTACTTTTTCAGTGAGGAATGCCATGTTCATCTTGTCCTTCAAGTGTTTTGTCAGATCATAAAATTTTAAAGTACTATAAAGGTTTTTAAAATGGAAACATATAGTGTATGTCTTTGTTTTGGTTTGTAATGTGTAATCCTGTTTTTGTAATTGTTCATGGATACAAGCTCCCTGAATGATTGTGAGGAAAGGACTTTGTTTGTTTTAAGGCTTATGGCATATCGGGTATTTTATGCTAGACTCATATTTTTAGAGACCAGTCGATGTTTGGTGGGTGATGTGGTCAAAATCACACCGGCCGCCTTTACATCCCAGGACATTACCTGGTACTAGTTTTAGATTGGGCAAAAAATATTTTTTTTCAAGTTGCATCTACTGCAAAATTCTTTTTTTTTTAATTCACAAAAGTGTGGGGGATTCACCTCTAAGTGTCTGTTACAGTACCACTGTAGACAAAAATTATGCCAAAACAAATGTGCCAGAAACCTGGTACTGTTGTGTAGTGGCAGGAACAAAGCTTTTGGTCCACGTGACCGCCAAGGTCAGTTTTGAATAATCTGGCTCTGTGGCTCCAGTACTGCTATGGCTCTCTCTCTCTCTTTCCCCCTTCCTCAGTAGCCATTGAAATGGTCCTATCATCACCAGCTGCAACCTGATAAGAAGTTCCCGTGCCTTTTCCCCTGTGGCAGAAAATACCCCACGAGACAATCTTGTTTTGTCCTGCTGCTTATGCATCGCAGAGAGGAGTTAGGTGTAGTTGTCCCGTCTCTTACTAGTTGCATAGCTTGTGTTAATGCGTTTCTGTAGCGTCTCTTGTACTCTATCCATCCGCGTCTTTCTTGGTCACCCTCTTGCCTTGTAGCCTGCTGTTATTATGTAGTATCCTCTAGCCGCTGGTGGATTTTGCTCCAGATGGCCAAACCGTTTGGTTCTTTGATGTTCCGTAAGATCATTTGCTGTTACTGTACTGATAACCGCTTGTTAATTGTAAACAAACACATTTCTTGAAAGGGATGGAAAAACAAGAGGAATGGATCTTTTTCTCTTTTTGAAATATTTTTTCAATTAATATATGAGGCTGTTGAAGAATTGTGTGGCACAAATATAAGAATAATATCATAGCTAGTGTGACTGATCTGGACATTCATTACTGCCTTTGGAAGAACACCTACACTGGTGGCTAAAAGATTAGGACCACCTATAAAATAATAGATTTCTACATGCTGTTATGGAGTGTTGCATTCATTGCTGTTATCTTTTTTCTTCTTCTGCCTCTGTAACCCCCAGTGGAGCATAGGCCCTCAACCAACTCACGCTAAGTCGTTCTATCCTTACTCTTGCATGCAGCTCAAATATTATATCACCTAGCGGGGAATCGAACGCGGGTCACCCGCATGATAAGCAGAATAGTTACCAGCTCACACCATATCCTCTCCATCTTTTTTAAACCTAACTTTCTAGCTACTTTCTCCGTTTTTTTTTTTGTGTGGTCTTCCTTTATTTCTGTGTTCCAGTGCAAAGATATTCTTAGTCATATTGTTCTCAGGTTTTCTCAGCGTACGCCCCATCCATTGCCAGCGTCTTGTCTTCACCTCTTGGTCCACTGGAACTACTGCTGTTTTAGTTATTGCTGGAGGCAATCGCTGCAGCCACCAACATTCTACACCAGGAATAGCAGTTGATGCAGTACTCCATAATAGTGTAGCAATATCAGTTATTTAGTCAAGTCCAAGTAAAGGTCCCTTTCCACGCCAGTGGCATATTGGGCATAGGAGGCTAGACTATTTTCATAGATCAAACGGATCTCAATGGGTGTTGTGGCCGACATGATACTGGCTACCTTTACTTCCCCAGACTTCACCTGGTACTCATTTAAGGCTGGATCAACCTGAGAGCTTGAATTTTTTTTTTTTGAACCCACAACCTTCCGACACGCGAGCGAGCGTCAAGCTGCTAAACTACGGCAGCTTTATATAAAGTTGTGTCGTTTTTGACTGTTTTGCTGTATGCTTTTTTTCATATTCTGCTATAGGAAAATTATGGCACAAAGAGGATTTGATTTTGTGCTATAGATATGAGACTGATTATGAAAATAATGCTAGGTATTAACAAAAATAGCGCAAAGGCAATCAGAATTATACCTATAAGAGATTAATTCATTAAAAAAATTATGTGGCCATTTCTACTGCGTTGGCTTTTAACACTTTGGAAGCAAGTGACAAGTGCAGAGGCACAAATAGATCATTATGGTTTGAGGAGAGTGAGGCTGCAAGGAGTTACCAGAGGATCTGGCTGATGCTCAGCAATCAAGGGAAAGGTGGGATGTATATACAATCAGTTACTGGGTACCATCGGAATTGGAACTCTTCACTTGCTGCTCAAGATGGGTATGGAGCACTTATGTGAGTGTCCCGAGTGCTGTGATGTTGATTCTTAATTCAACATGCACCTTTAAAAGGGTGGCTCACATGTTTGTGTGTGTGCTTTAAGTCTAGGTTGTCATACTTGCACCTTCTAGCCCAGTATATCTGTCTGATCTCAGCAAACACCCAGTTAGTTACCTTGTTTGATAGGCTTTTTATGAAAGGGATGGGATTTTTTCACATGGACTGGACTTCTAGTAATTCCCTCTGGTCTCTGGGAAGTGAGATCGGACGCCAGTAAGCATTGTTGCACACGTAAAAAAAAATCCCTTGGCAGTTGGAAATTGAAAAGAGTAGCCTAATGCCTGGGCAAAAATTTGGAGTTTGAAATCTACCCAAAGTATTTCAAGATTCTCGCCGGTGCTTCAGAGTCTGGGCACTGTGCTCAGCTTCTTAGAACTCAAGACTTGAGTTGGAAGAAAGGAGCACTTATGGTTTACTACCCTTGTGCCATGATGTTAATCAGTCGTTCAAACCTCAAACTTTTTTAGGGGGTAAGTGGTCTTCCGCCCCCACTAGTGGACTTTCTTTTAGAAATAATGGCACAAAGTTAATTAGACCTTGTTTTATCTATATATGAGAAACTGTTTGATTACGAGCACTTTATGATATTTCAGTGTTTTAAAAAAAAAAATGACACAGGTGATTGGAACCTTTTCTGTAGTTATGAGAGGCTGATTAATTAGGAAGACTGTGACTGACCTAATTAGAAAATAATGGGCACAAAGTTGATTAGAACTTGTTATATAATATAAATATGAAAAACTGATTTATTACAAAAACTTTGTGACAGTATTTTAAATAATGACATAAAAGTGATTGGAACTTGTCCTGTGGGTCTGCAATTATGAGAGACTGATTAATTATGAACACTATGGCTGATCTAAATATACAATAATGGAACAGAGTTGATTATTACTTTTTCTTTTGGTATGAGACTGATTGATTGGGAAAATTGTCACTCTCCCTTTCCCTTAAACTGAGTTGAAAACCGACATCTCACCAGGCAGGACATTCTGATGAGCGCTCCACCCCGAAAATAAAATCCTAACTTACATTCTGTGGCGACAGCCCTAGCTATATGACCCCCCAAATCCTCAGGCTCAAAGACAACATACACCCCCCCCCCCCCCCCCAGAAGTGGTAAATACAGGCAGTAAGAGCAGTGGCTCCATCCCCATCTTCAGCAGCCAGTTCATCCATTTCCCTTTGTACCAATAGCATTGTTGCTAAACCAGCAGTGGGCATTGTGTCAACTACTGAACAAATCATCCATTTTGTCACTGCCATCTTGACTACTGTCCTTCCTTGGAACATAAGGAACTGATACCTTCTGATCTTCTTACCTGCTGATAGTACCTTGTGACAAGGGCTGAGTGAAAATGAGTATCTTCTCCTTTACTACCCCTTTCATAGCCACAACTAGCTGAAATACCATTTCACAAGAAGACTGTTGCCTTTTTTACTACATCATCTGCCATAGACACTGGGAGCTCAGCACTATGAGCACACTCCACCAACACACCCCTCCCCCCCACCACCCCTCCTGGATTTTTGTGGCTTTTTTCTCAGCCACTGTGTTATATCCAGAGCATTTCAGCAGTTTCTAAGACTTGATATTGTAAAGAGTTATTCCCCCCCCCCCCCCCCCCCCCCCCCGTCCCTTTCCCAAATTTTCCATTGATGTTTTTCCCCCTGACGTTTATGGCCAGGTTATTTCGGTTTGTTTCCAAAACATGTTGCTGTTATGAGTTACACCCACCCCCAGCAAAAAATCCATTCATGTTTTTTTTCCCCCGAAGCCACTGTGTTGTGGCCGCGGTATTTAAGTTTCCAGAACATGATACTGTTATGAGTTATTGTACTAACACTGTTTCACAGTTGCTTTAGGGTTATTATGCAATCCCAAGGAAGGTACCAGCTGTTGCAGAGGGAAGCGAAAGACCTTCTTGTCTACTAAATCTCTTTGAAATGAGGTTTGGTTTCCAACTCCCTTTCCTACCCACTTTACAAGGATGAGTTAACTTTTAAGCTGTATATTTATGCCTGTGTTTTAAAGGTTAGTGAATGAGTTTAACAATACCAAGGTCCTCATATACTAAGGTTCGATTTCTGCAGTGGACATTGGTTTTTATACACCTCTTCTTGTAGTTTTTGGACGACAATACGAGAATCACACCATGGAAACGATTAGGGCCTCATCTCATAATATTCCTAAAGACAGCAATGGGTACTTTATAGCCAGTCTTTATTGTGGATCAGCAAGCAGTTTGTGTGTTCTTGCTCAACTACGCTTTGAACTTCTTCTGTCGTGTGCACCATCCACTGCTCTGTGCTGTCATAGCTTAAATTAGTATTGTTCCTTAGTTGCTTTCTTCTTCTTCTTCTTTTCTCTACTCCTGGAATGCCTCGCGGCGTCAGGGGAGGGAGTCTCTAGAACAAGCCCTTCTGTTCACTTTGTACATAGTATTTTTAAGTGTCT